TATGAGTGATGTCATGTAATGAATCATAGAGGGTTGTAGAGATATGCTATGTGGTCATATCGGCCCAGTAACTAAGGAGCGATGACGTGTAATGAATCATAGATGGTTGTAGCAATCGTTGAGTAGTATTGCTCTTGTTGTTGGTGTGATAAGCCAAAATATGTATAGTGACTTGTAGGTTTGAGGAGGAGATTTCCAAGTTTGCTCTTGAGTTTGATAGCAAACTGAGTGCAACGAATGTCAGTATGACACTAACGAGCTAGTAGGACACTACACAAGTCTAGGAGGTTGTAGTTCACACAATGAGGCGCTAACTAGAATACCTATACTAGCAGGAACCCTATGGAGCAAAATACACAGAGATGAAAGCCACAATTTAGCTAGAGTAGAAACTCTGTGAATACAACGTCTAGGGTGCTATTGCAGATTGGAGAATCGTCAACATACACCACCCTAAAGAGGTCTATGAGGCTTGATGAAACAACCTGTTGCAAGTATTACAACAACTAGAACAGGAGGAAGAGTACGAAACATCACAGCTTGCAGAAATCTAGACTGCAAATGAGTACCACTCTGAGGAACCCATTCTAGGAGAGAAGAGGGAAACACAAGCATTAGAAGCCCACTAACCCTACGCCTCGAAGCAAAACGAAGAAAAGAAGGGACACCAGTTCCACGGAAATACTATCTAGTTATACAGTGGCTGTAAGGATGCCTCCTTACCTAGATACTCGAAGAACCTGACTCAGAGCTGTTACGGTCACCACAGGCATGAAATCCGACTCGGTGTGGTTCCGAACCAGTAGAGGAGCACATAGCGAGTTACACTATAGTGGGGGATGGTAAGGGTGTAGGGTTCAGGGTCGATGCGGACCTGTTGCAGTGGAAGGTTCAGGGCTAGGGTTGGGATAACCGAGTCGGGCCCATTTCGGGTACTTAAGGAAACAGACTTAACAGGGTTCCCCCTTCATCTTTTTTGTATCCTTCATAGTAGACCTATAGGATAGCATCTGTTTAGCCTCCGACTCGCACTCTCATATGCTATTACTGTGAGCTGGGTGCCCTGTGTCCTTACATTATACAAAAAAGATCACGCCTGCCAGGGACGGCCATACTTAAATAATATCCCACACTGGAACGACTCAGGAGAACTACCGTTACACCATCGACTGCGACTCGGTGACGTTTCGGAGGAGAGACCTGACGACTTCAAATAGCCGTGATTCCAGAGATCTCACAGACAGCCAGCAGATCAGGGTTTGATTCTTCAGAACAAGCTGGTAAAGTCGCCGACGCGTTGGCGCCAAATAGGATGAGGCAATATGTCGAAAAAGCCGACATCAAACATACCCCAAGACAACAACGGTCAACTGCCCAGAATGACTACCAGACAAACCACCGCTGCAGCTACGACCGCTGTGCCATCCGAAGACATCCCGAGTCGAATGGCCCACCTCGAAGCACAGATACAGGAGGTCAAGGATCTACTAGTTACCCTGATGGCAGCCCAGACCAGAATCGTCCACACCGCCAGTGGACACCCCCATACCCACAGTCGAAGCTACGGAGCAATGAACGCCTCACACACGAAACACCCCTGAGACAGCTCAATTGCCGCCTCTTCGGAACACTCGTTCTCCATCGATTCCAAGGTCGTCACGAATGCTCACCGAGGACCCTCCGACACTATAAGAAATCAACCATCTCTGAGAAAATCCATCCTCTCAGCGATGGGGTAGAACATACCTTCCTACAATGGAGCGCTTCGATTCGGGACCGACTCGTAGTCAATGAGGACCACTACCTTACCGACGTGTCGAGAAGAGCATTGATATGGGGAACTACGACCGGCCTGGCGAAGACCTACCTAGAGCCCCAATACCTGTCAGCTACGCATGGGTTCCGCAGTGCTGAGGAGATGATGGATCTACTAGGTTCATACTACCTCACAGGCAACGAGACGGAACAGGCCAGGAACCTCTTCGATGACCTGCAAATTTGAGAGAAGGGGCATGCTAGTGAAACCTTCCCAGAGTTCAAGGCTCGTTTCCAAAGTGCAGCTATCACAGGACAAGTCTCCGAGTCGGAATGGTTTCGGTACATGTGGAACAAGTTGACTCCTCAATTCCGCAGCCGAGTCGCGATCACCAAAAACCAATGGAATGGAGACTACCAGACCATGGTACGAGAACTTACTGCCTTTGATCAGGAACGGCGCCGGAACAACGAATTGAATCTGCTACCCACTCTCGCAAGGACGTCCACATGTACCACGGATACGGCAAAGGCATCAGTGTCCGTCTTCATCATCTTGAGTATCCTAAATATATTATAATACAACGTCTTGTAATATATCATTACTATTACTTGCCTCCTCTTGTACTGATTCATCAGCTGGATTTAAGAAGTTTGTAAGGTCTATAGCGTCGCTGTAATGGTGGGTGCACCAGATGTGAGAATCTAGCCACCCAAGGAAGGGATGATTTTACTAAGACAACACACTGTCTTAGAAAAAGAGCCAAAGGGTCGTATCTTAGACTATTCCACAACGCAGCAATCAGGTGTATGATGTATTGGAGTGGTTTAGACAAGTTGCAACAAATGTTGAGTCTGGGAACTCAGGGGTAAGTCAGAGGTCAACACCTCACTGACTTTTCAGAAACAAGGAGTAACAAGATGAATGCTTGGAAGCTTGGAAAAGACGTGGAAGTATGTGATAGTCGATTTACTGTATTGTCTGCTTGCCCTTTCTTAAGGAAAGGGCAATCCTATTTATGCTAAAGGAGTGTAGTTCTCGCATTTTCCAAGACTTTCCATGATTAACCAGGCTTGGTAACTGTAGTCAACGTAAGAGAATCCCTATAGGAAGTGAAAGGAGGTCCAAGGTCAGAGTACCCCTATAGACAGATTATGTCATAACTTAACCAATCTTGTAGGAAAATAAGGAGCGATGACGTGTAATGAATCATAGAGGGTTGTAGCAATCGTTGAGTAGTATTGCTCTTGTTGTTGGTGTGACAAGCCAAAATATGTATAGTGACTTGTAGGTTTGAGGAGGAGATTTCTAAGTTTGCTCTTGAGTTTGATAGCAAACTGAGTGCAACGAATGTCAGTATGACAGTCGCGAATATGCCTAGCATTGTTAACTTGGTTGTATAGGTTGCTTAGCGTAGGGAGAGGTTCAAGAGGCAGCTGTAACAGTTGAACAACTATAGTGCTTTTGCGGAAACAGTTATAGATAGTTGTATTCGTAACATCGTGATACTAAGCGCGAATTAGCTAGAAAAGTGCAAAGTGAAGAGACATAAGATCAAGAGGATTGGTGTTGTTCTCAAATGATATAAGCATGAATTCAAGCCATTGGACAGTAATGAGCTTTTGGAGAAGCTATAATGCCTTGGTCGAGTGGTTGGAATCAACTTGTCAAGTTTGGAGGTAGCTAAATAATCTGTATGTTCAGAGGAGGAGGATTATCTTTAATAGCTGCAATGTGTGTAGAGAAGTTGTCCATGGTAAGGAGTATATAATAAACCAAGGTCGGAATCGGTCTAAACCTATAGCATTAGTACAAACTACAACAGTAATGCATGCCTTGTCTTTCTTCAATCTAGGCCTTCCTTGTGATAAGAGTCCCCTTGACAGTGTCATCCTCTAGTAAAGCCCTGTTTCATCTATGTTATATATATCTTCCTCTTTGAAATCTCCTGCTAGCATTTAAATTGCCTTCATCTCGTCTTCTGCTGTTGTAGGAACTGAACCTACTTCGCCGTGTCTAACGTGGTTTTTGATCTAATGTCATTTCTTAAAATTGTTGAGCTAACCTATACTAAAATTAGGTATAGGCTTATCCGTGTATTATGGTAACAACTACCAGATTTGTTTCGCTTTCTCTTGCAGTATATCCCTAGTTGTTATCCCTCCTTTTTCTTCAATGCGCTTTTGCTACTCGAAAAGAGCAGCCTTAAGCTCTAGCTAAGCAGGAGCTTTACGTCGTTTGGCAGTAAGAGGGGTGCTCGAAACAGGGCTGTCTAGGCTAGTAAATCGAGAGCTTAACGAATCAGAGACCGTTGACTAGGTAAGATGGTGATTATACTGCTGTTAGAACCATTTGATACAGGCTCTCTAGGTAGGTGGTCGAGGATACTGTCGAGAGAACCAACTTCTGAGCGCATGACGCTGCTCAGTCGTCATTGTGTACAGCCGAATTGGAGGCATCGATTCATCTGATAAGTCTATAATTTGGTAGATGAGGTCAATATCGAGTGAATCGCGATTTGTATGAGGAATTAATTTGGCCAAAGAAAAATACCGAGTTATCGCGATAATCGACTAATCGCGAATCGACTTAGCGCGACTCGACTGTAGAATTTATTTATTGTTTTACTGCCTATTGGCACTTTTGCTAGCAATCGCGAATTGCAAGCTTGTATATAGCAGATCGAACGAGATGCCTAATTTTCTTGCATCTATAGTCATATATAACTCTTCTCCCCATACTGTCCCATATATACCAACTTTCCCCATCGCACGGTCCGTATTTCCATCAGTATCACTTACTTCCCCCTAATCACGTGCTCGTCCAGCCACATCTGCATTTAAAACCTCACAACTCCAATAGGTACACAAGTACCCCGTATCCACATTCCAGGCAACAACATTGCAACCGCTCGGCCCCCCGATCGGGCTACTGCGCGCAGCGTGTGGCGTGTATGGATGTTGAAGCTGTGTGAGTCATAGGTGGATGTATCGATACTTGACCGTTTGATTTGGTGACCGTGTCCTTTTTTTTTTTTTTTTTTTTTTTTGGCGCCGCACGGTTCGGGGGGCGAGGCTGAGCTATTGGGGAGGCAAGGCTGGGCGTTTGAGGGTGACGTACGTACTGGGAGGAGGCAAGGCTGGGCGTTTGAGCGGGTGATGGTACGGTACGGGATGGGATAGTGCAGAAGTGGCTTGATTGATTGTCACGATACGGCACGATCGGGTGAGAGCTTACGGAGGGGATGCGGAAAGATGGCGACGGCAAGGTGGTGATAAGCGGGAGTGATGCGGTGGTACGTGAGGGTGGTGTGAGTTGGAGATGCTGGGGATATACGGTTTACGGTATACGATATACGGTGTACGGCGATATATATGGTGAGATGCGACATGGTGATATATATATGGCGACCGAGATAGGTTGGAGAGGGAGAAGTGTGTGTGGGTGTTGGAGTTGATTTGATGGTTGGAATGTACACTTCACTGTGAATCTGCTGTGAGATACTTGCGACAACTGTGAACGGGGCTGTGGGATTCTTCACAGGGTGTTGGAATGTACTCTTCATACTAAGTTTTGCCGTGAGATACTTGTAGCCCCTGTTTTAACAAGGCCTTGTCTGGACTGAGATTGTGGTGTTCGACTGGGGTTGTTGACTGATGTACCCTCTACTTGCCAATATCCAAAGTACCCAGTACATTCCTTCCCAGACTATCCCAGACTATCCCAGACTATCCCCATGTATCCGTCCACGTACGCGTCTTTCTGATTCGCTCCTTCCTCAACTCCTGTTGCCCCCAAAACCCGTCTCATCCACACGCTAGTCCCAATCTCACCCACTAGTCCACGCTAATCAGCCACTCATAACACTCTCCCACCACCAAAAATCACCCAAGATCACACCAACACCTACGCTAAACCACATCCTGTAATCTCGCGCCACCACCCGCAACTCAGGTATCTCTGTCTTGCCCCCGCCAGGCAACAAGGCAGCAACATCCGCGAGTTAAATAGGCAGCCCATCTCCTGGTTGTTTTTCTCGATCTTTTTGCGAGCCTGAACACACATTTCGGCCAACGTAGTCGTCAACAACCATTTCACTTCCCCTCCTCTCCCCCACTACCCCCACTACCCAAGACACTACGTAACTCATCAAAAAGTTGCCAGAACAACAGGAAGAAGCAGAAGAAGCAGAAGCAGAAAAGCAGAAAAGCAGAAAAGCAAAAAAGCAGAAGAAGCAGAAGAAGCAGAAGAAGCAGAAGAAGCAGAAGAAGCAGAAGAAGCAGAAGAACGAAAACACACGCTCTCTCTCAACTCTTCACCCACTCTTCCACTCCTTCTGGAACTTGTCGCGATCTCGATCAACCGAGTCGATCCATCGTCATCGTCGCGTTTTCCACGAACAAACCAAGACATCAAAAAAGAAAGAACCATCATCCTTCACGTCGAGCAGCGACTGTAGGGGAGACATTGACTTGTTTATCTCCCGCAAACGGTACGGCGCCAGACCAGTTACTTCTCTCGACGTCTACCTCTCACTTCTTTCACCCACACTTTACTCTCTCTTCGCGACCTCTCTTCTCTTCCGACTTCGAACTAGCGATCTTACCGCGACTTCGAACGTCGTCCTCATCTCATCTCAAGTCTGAAATCGATCTGACAAAGCTTCTCTCGATAGCCTGACACACGATATATCACCTTGCGCGCACGTTTCGTAGATCGTAAATCACAAATACCGCCAAGATGAACTCTATCCAGACTCATCCTGAGAACGCGATGCAGGCGAAGACCTTCATCGCGCCCGGCTCTCTCTCCTTCCCAGGTGGCGCTGGCGATCTCACTCCACCCTCCTCCGAGGCCGAGAAGATGAATGGTCAGCAGAAGCAGGGTGCGAATGGAGGTCAGGCAGTCCAGGCCAACGGCCAGACGAACGGCCACGGGGTGACTCCCGCGACACCGGCTGCCACTCCCGGCGCGACTCAGGGAGTTAGCGGAATTGTTCCTACCTTGCAGTATGTATGACCCTGTTCTGGCACCTTGGTAGAATCTAGAGGCTTATCTCGCATGTTCCTAAAGAAATATCGTTGCCACCGTCAACCTTGATTGTCGGCTGGATCTCAAGACGATCGCGCTGCATGCGAGGAACGCGGAATACAACCCAAAGGTACTGCTGACCACCCAGATCCTGGCATCGGCGCCGCACGTTTTTCATGCTTCGTCCTTGCTAACTGACCTTGTCTCCAGCGTTTCGCCGCCGTGATCATGCGTATCCGTGAGCCGAAGACAACGGCGCTCATCTTCGCGTCGGGCAAGATGGTCGTGACGGGTGCGAAGTCGGAGGATGACTCCAAGCTGGCGTCGCGCAAGTACGCGCGCATCATCCAGAAGCTCGGCTTCAACGCCAAGTTCACCGACTTTAAGATCCAGAACATTGTCGGCTCGTGCGACATTAAGTTCCCCATCCGCCTTGAGGGTCTGGCTTCCAAGCATCACAACTTCAGCTCTTACGAGCCGGAGCTGTTCCCTGGTCTGATCTATCGCATGATCAAGCCCAAGATCGTGCTGCTCATCTTCGTGTCGGGCAAGATCGTCCTCACGGGTGCAAAGGTCAGGGAGGAGATCTACCAGGCCTTCGAGATGATCTACCCCGTGCTCCAAGGTAAATTCCATCTTTTTAACTTCCGTCGAATGCACAATACTAACACCACTAAGATTTCAAAAAGGTCTAAACCACCTTCCAAACCACGGACGCAAACGGGTCTCGATCAACTCTTTACCTTGCTGCTCATCCAGCTCGGTGTACTACCACCTTATCCGCAACTGTAGATTATTGTTTTCACGATACCACGATTCACACCCAAAAGCTTCGTACTCTCATTTTCCTTTTCACACACACACAACACGACAAAGGGCCTTGATGCATGCTTGCGGCGCCACTCACGACCTCGGAGTCTGGCCAAAACAAACACATACCCTCCCGCAGAACCGGGGAGCCACACATCAACTCAGATCACCTTTTCGTCGTTATCATCGCGACCGTTATTTTTGTTACCTTTCTTGCATTGCACACGGCGTTTATTTGGGCGGGCGAAAGATGGGAATCCGGGGGGGCGCGGGCAGGACTTTTTTACTTTACGTTACATCCCGCAGCTGTGCTGAATCTCCAATTTTTGAAGGGGACACAAATATTGACGCGGCTTGTTTTTTTCCTCGCCCTCTGACCCTGTGGGTTATGGTGGAGAACAACAGCGCGGAGAGAGAAATCGGGGGCTTTTATTGGGGTGTTCTTTTTACTTAATTTGAGCGAAATGGGAAAGATCAGAGAGAGAGAGAGAGACCAGCGTATTTATTGCCTGGCTTTGAGTGGATGAGGGGATGAGGGGATGATGATATTATTGGGAGCCTCCAGGGGGGAGGGGGAGCGAGCAGCTTCCGAGTTTTTGAGACGGGGCTGGCTCAGGTGGCTCTGAGTGAGGGATAGAGAGATTATTTGCGTAATGGTGTCGCTCTTGCGGAGGAGTTGCATGCATGGGCTGCAGTTTAGTGGTGGACTAGCTGTGAGGGAGGGCTGAGGGATAGTGAATACCAGCTCTTGATAACATGATTTCGTCTGATTTGCATGTGATGTGAGTGTCATAAGTTTCCTGCTGGAACTTCCCAACAGCAACCACGTGACCGATTGGTGACCTGCCACACAATCATTCCTATCAACATCTTCATCTTCACCTGTAAGTAAGCAATGAGCGACTGCGCTAGTGAGGCTCTTGCAGAGGGCTTCCTGCCAAGGAGAGCCACGAACATACGATGCCATTTCAAAACGTAAAATCCCATTTTATACCATCTACGCTAGGCTGTTTCAACGTATCACTTAACCCATACAGTGTAGCGCGGAAATGGCGATGAACTAGTTTTCTAACAACCTAACAGTACAGTATGAATTTCGACATTTAATAGCTAATCAATTCTAGCACGTAAGATCCAACGAAGCGGCAGGGGTTGGCCATAAGACAGTATAGTTTAGATATCGAGGCCTAACAGTGTCGACCTGTCAAACGTAAATGGTCCGTGCGTCGCGCGATCTAACACGAGGCTCCGAACAAACGCAACGACGCGCACACGCAACACGTTGGCATCTACCAGGCAGGATAGAGATGTGCAATCTGATCGCCATCAACACATAAACCGCTTCTCAGCACCACTCTACAGTGCCTGTCCACACACCACAATCCATAGCCCGAGGGCGCGGCCCCGTCCACCAAGCTGAGACTGCCACAATGGACAACTCCGCCTACAGCGGCAACAACAAACACATCAAAGAATTCCCAGCCATAGACAACAAACTCCACGCCCTAACCAAGAAATCCCTCTTCGAGAAGCAGCGCGCGGAGGCGGAGGCGAAGCGCGTGAGGGAGGAGGCAGAGACGAAGGCGGTGTATGAGAGTTTTGTGAAGTCGTTTGACGACGACGAAGGCGGTTATAACGCTAATGCCAATGATGGCGGGGGGGATGGACGAGGTGGCGGGGGAGGTGGAGGGGGATATGGAAAAGGAGGTGGTCGAAAGGGGGGAGGGGGGTATACAAGCGGCGGTTATGACCACGGTGGGAGAAGGTTCGGCGGGCCACCACCGCCAATGGGACCTATGAGAGGGTCCAGCGGCCCAGGTAGTTTGGGTCCTATCCATGGACCGCGGAGGAAGAGGGGGTTTGAAGCTTCTTTCAACAACAGCAGTAGCAGCGCGCGGCGCAGCGGCAGCGGCGTTGGTGGCGACAGAGGCGACAGGGGCGCCCTCCTAGGCTTCGACGATTCGCCTCCCCGCGCCACACCACGCGGTTTCGGCGCCTCAGACGATGAGGAGGAAGACGATACTGCGGCAGGGAGGACGGCGGGTGGGAGAGCAGAGCCGGCGCTGGCGAAACCGACGTTGAGACTTGCGCAGTTGCCGCCGGGGACGTCGACGGCGGCGATTAAGGCGTTGATTCCGGGGCTGACTGTTGATGCTGTGAAAATCCTGCCTCCGCCACCTGGAGGGGTAGGAGGGGGGGAAAGAAGGAGCATGACGGCCATTGTGACATTATCCCAGGAGACGGCGGCGAATGATATTGATGCCGCTGTGCATGCGTTGCAGAATAAGTATTTGGGGTTTGGATTCTGTCTCGAGCTGCATCGGTATTTATCGTCTGCCGCGCTGGAGTCATCCACCGTCGGCGCTGGCACCGGGCGCGGAGCGGGTTCCACCGCAGGAGCAGCTGCGCATCCATTCGGCGCGAAACCAGTGGTTGTCGAAGGGGTCCCAAACACGCAACAATTCGCACCAAACCAGTACCGCGGCATCGCTCCCCCGACTTCCTACGCCTCCACCCCACGCGGGCCTTTAGGACCCATCCTCCACGTCCCAGTGCGGCAACCATCTGACATCAAAGAGCTCCGCGTCATCCACAAAACCATCGAGTCGCTGCTCACGCACGGCCCGGCTTTCGAGGCTCTGCTAATGAGCAGACCAGAAGTTAAGCGCGAACCCCGCTGGGCGTGGCTGTGGGACGCCAGGAGCGGGGGGGGTGTATACTACCGCTACCGGCTGTGGGAGATGATGACATCCTCCTCCCCCAGCTCTGGTCGCTACGTCCCCCTCTTCGAAGACAGCGCAGCGTGGAAGGCGCCTGAGTCTGGGTTACCCTTCGAGTTCGTCACGCGGCTCGATGAGTTCGTCGAAGATGCTGCTTATAACTCTGACGACGACGAGGAAGATTCTGGCGACGAAGCAGCGGGGCGCGGGAAAGAAGACGAGGGCGGACCGGGTTACCTCAACCCCCTCGCCAGGGCAAAACTTACGCACCTCCTTGCCCGCCTCCCTACTACGACTGGGAAATTGAGAAAGGGGGATGTAGCACGCGTAACCGCCTTCGCCATAACCCACGCCGGGCGTGGCGCCGACGAGGTGGTCGAAGCACTAGTTGCGAACGTCGCGCATCCCTACTCTTTCACCTCCGCCAACCCCACCTACCGCCCCCCCCCCCAAACAACTGGAGGCGAGGGGAAGGAAGCAGCGGAGAAAGAAGACACCACCCCCGCAACCCTCAACGCCCTCCACCTCATCTCCTCCCTCCTCTCCTCCTGCTCCACCTCCCGCATCCGCCACGCCTGGCGATACCGCTCTCTCCTCGAATCCGCTCTCCGGCGCTCTAAAACCTTCGAGCACCTCGCTAGTCTGGAGCGACGCATGGGCTGGGGCCGCATGCGCGGAGAAAAATGGAGACGTAGTGTAGGCGCGGTACTAGCGCTGTGGGAGGGCTGGTGTGTGTTCCCTGCCAAGGCGCAGGAGGGGTTTGTAGAGGCTTTCAAGGTGCCGGTGAGGGAGGAGAAGGAGGTTGAGGAGAAGAAAGTTGGGAGGTGGAAGGCTGTTGAGCGGGTTGTTGGTGCGGAGGTGGATGGGGGGGAGGAAGTGGAGGATGTGGATGGCCAGCCGATGGTGGAGGACGAGGAGGATTTGGATGGGGTGCCCATGGAACCGTCTGAGGAGGAAGAGGGGGATGTGGATGGAGAGCCGATGGTTGTTGATGAGGAGGAGGAGACGTATGAGCCGCCGCCGGCGGAACCGGTTGTTGTGGAGCAGCTGCAGCAGCAGGAGAGAGGGATGGAGAGGCCGGTTAGGAAACGACCGAAGGCGGAGGATATGTTTGCTGATTCGGGGAGTGAGGGGGAAGAGGGGGGGAGGGGGGGTCTTGAATACGGGGGGGGATATTAGTTACTAAAAGGACTTTGTATACTGGAAAGAATCAAGCCCTGTTGGCGCAGTGACTTAAATTGAGGTTTCACGCCTTTACCAAAGCTTAAAGGTACGACGGATCACTGCACCAAGCGACATTGCTGGGAGGGAGACCTGTATGCGAAGCTGGCTATTCAAAAAGACCCACGAACCAGGTCAAACAGTACAAGGCATTCTGATCGAGCAACTACATCATGATGTTACTGAGACTGATATTCGCAATGCTTTTTCAGGGTGTCAATGTGACATCGAACGACAGCAGTTTAAACTGACAACAACTTCGATGGGTAACAGCAGCATCGAGAAACAACAGTAGCTTCCAACGACAGGAAAATAATCGACAACGTCACCAATCGACAACAGCACCGCTCAACGACATATCAGCCTCGTACGCATCATAGCGCGTCAATACCATACTGAGCTAGCTTACCGAAGGTCTACTGATGAGACGTAGGGGGTATCTGATACGATGGTTGATGGAATGGCTGACGGGCGTCCATCGCCACGTCCCAGTGGCTTTTGCCTAAGGCGGCAAAAGATCACGCTGACAGGATCGCAAAGATAAACCCATTTCAGAGAATATATATCCATTGCGGCATCTCAATCTACACCTCCCATCCCCATCTATAATAAATCCTGTCTATCCTAATGCCCCGGTATAGGGAGAGTAGATACACCTAGCCAATGCCGCCCCAACGCCTTCCATCCAATTCATTATCCCTCCCAAAACTCCTTCCATCACATCCCATCCAAAAACACAGCAATTATCATAACACCCTCCTCCCCACTTTTAAGCACCCGGCCCCATCGCATCCCCACCCCCCTTATCAACCCTCACCTCCTCCACCGGCAACTCCACCCCCTTAATCGGATGCAACAACACGGGGGGCACACACATCCTCCCCTCCGACCCCTCCCCAACCTCCATCTTCTCCCCCCCCAGCTCATCAACCTTAAGCCCCATCCACCTCCTCCACAAGTTCCCCGCAAACCCCGAATTATAATACCACGTCATCCCCAGCAAATTATGCTCTCTCTCCCCGAAAATTCCCATGCGACTCGCCCCCGTCGCTCCGTTACGACCACTGTTCATCGTGGCTCCCAGGTACGGCAGCGGCCACACGCGATCCACAAACATCGGGTGCGGCGCGTACACGGCCTTGTAGCCGTGGTTGAGCGCCACCTGCGCGGGCCACATCTCTGGGAAGGCGTGGTGCTTCTTGATCGCCGTCTCGCGATGCATGGTGTTGAGGAGGCGGCGGGAGAGGCGGCTGGCGGTGACGATGGAGGCGCGGCGGGGGGGGGGCCGTTGGTGCGGTTGTACCCCGTCACGTCCTCGGCGAGGAGCCAGGTCGTGTAGTCCGGGTCGAAGAGGGGGTTGAGGGTGATGAGGTCGGCGTCTTCGCCGACGCCCCATTCGTACTTGTCGTCTTTTAAGAGGCGGGGGGGAACGGGGTCGTTTTCAGTCTCGAACCAGTCCTCGGCGTGCTGGGGGCGCTCGGGGCCCCAGATGGGTTTGTCGCCTTTGGGGCCGTTGTTGACGGATTGGCCGTCCTCGTTTAGGCCGGACCAGATGTTACCGGGGGAGTCGGTGCCAGACTCGGTCTGCACGCGTACCATGTGGCTGAAGTCTTCCCAGCTGCCGTGCACGGCGGGGATGTAAAAGCGGCTGTTGCGCTCCCAGAGGAACTTGCGGGGTTGTGCCTTCGTCCAGGTATCCATCTTCTGAAAGAGGTTGTACCAATGCCCAGTGTAGCGCACATCCATCTCCCATTGCCAGAAGAAGTCGTACTCGGGGTGTTTCTGGGCGAACCACTGGAGAGCTTGAATTAGGCCACGGTATACGCCATGAATCGGCAGGTTGCGGAAGTTCGTCTCTTCCACGCCGTTGTACAGCATCACCATCTGGGTCTCGGACCACAGTGTTGCGATGCCTTGGAACTCTGCAGGGACGCGCTCTCTGAGATGTTTCTCATAGGTTTCTTCATCCGCAAAGACTGGGATCGATTCATCCTTGACTTGCACGAGAAGGTGGATATCATACTCGCCACCAGAGCCCAATGACAGCTCAGTAATGAGACCGCGGAGCCACAGGATGTCTTCTTCGCGGTAGATAAATTCGTCCCACGTGCGTATGACAACTGCAGTTCTATGGACGAGCTTTGCTCCAATTCCATGAGGCTGAGTGGCCGTAGCAGAAGTAGAATCCGCGGAAGTTGTGGTGGTGGCAGGAACAATAACGTTGGCAGCAATCTCTCCCCTTCTGTTTTTCTTGGTGACACCGCCAGCGCCTGATCTGAAGCGTTTGACGTTGGAGATAGAGCACCGTAGTTGTGCCTCGGCCCAGTCAACATTTGTGAAATCATACTGTGGAAATTCACTCCAGACTTGATCTGCCCCATCCATATCGCCGTGCATACCACTTGCCAGTCCGCCTTTTCGCAGCGAGTAGCCGTGACCGTATGGGCCAAGTCTGCCGTATCTGTCAAAACAGATATCATCAGGCAAGCCCATCATATCATATGACCCCATGATATGGTCAGCAAACCCAGCCGGCCTCCCCTCGTAGTAGCGTAGAGGCGGGATCCTGGCACTGGTCTTGGCGTCAAGGAAGCATTCCTTTACTGGCACGTACTCTTGCAGGTACGCGCTCGAGTTGTAGTCCGGATACGGGTTGTATGGTTTGCTGGAAGGAATGCCCAGATTGGACGACATAACTTCTGTGATGTTCAACAATTCCGTCTCATCCTCAGGGTCCCTGGGATATTCGGGCTTGTTCTTCGCCAGTGACACCAATGCCTTGATGCCGCCATAATATCGGTCCGAGAACGGAAACGACTCCCATTGTTTAGCTCCTTCCGGTCGTTGGTTCCCCATATCCTCCAGCTTCTTTGAGTCTATAATGCTCATAGCGATTAAGAAGCCTATGAATGCAAGCACTCCCAGCATAACCAAGAAGCACAGGTATCGTATGATTCTCTGAGGTACTCGATATGCAAAACATCGTTGGCGTGTCCGCAAGATTGTCCTCCTCCTTATCATCGGTTGGGTCGAGTCATATGACCCAGAAGTTTCTCTGGAAGAACTTGTAACGGGAGAGATGGGCAACGAAGAATCATAGTCGTCGCTCGAGACTTCATAGTCATGATCAATAATGTTTTGTTTCTCCGAGTCAATCGAGTCTCTCGCCCGTGACGATTCATGAAAGGGTAGCGCGGAGTAATTATTTGACGACCGGCGCTTCGCCACCTTCAAAGGGTTCAGGGCATCGAGGGCCCCCATGTTTGTTGACTGTGATCCTGACTATGTATTTTGGCACCCGCTTGTCACCAGGACTCAAGCTTTCGAGGGCAGCTCCCAGACTATATAGGTCTTTGGTTAGCTATGAAGCGACAGTACCGCCTAAGGCAAGTGGATAAGATGCCAAAACTTACGCCAGACGTCATGCAGTAGTCGTGAAATGACGGAAAGCGCAGAAGAAACACTGAACCAAACCGTGGGTCGCTATGCTGTTGGGTATCTTGCTGAGGAATCTACTATATGCACTCTCGCGGAAATAGCGCTCAATAGACGTTCATCTCAAATATGTCCGTTAATCGTTAATCGTAGCCGTGGTTGTCTCCATGGAGTCGAATCGGAGAGTGGTCTGATCTGATGCCTTCTAGACCGTAAATTGAGGCTGGTCGTCGGGGCAACCACAACCGCGAACCCCTACAGAGGATGACAAGGACGATCAATAAAACGCGTGATTTGCGACGCACAAACGTACGTGGAGTGACAGCATAAATAAAGTGGAATAGAAAGACGATGGATATTTAATTAACGCATAAATTACCAGATATCCAACGTATTGCTCTTTAAATGGGTGCTTATAAAGTAGTCTTAGTTTTGAAATTTTAAAATCTGGAGTAGAATTCGGGGTTCACACGTTTATAGTATGAATACCCTACTTTTGAAGCTTTATATGGCCTCATTCTGTTGCCGCTACTCGTATACCGTATCACACCAAACGCCAAATCTTATATCAGCGCTCCGAGCCGTCAGTCATCTATTTTCCCCGATTCCTTGCAACGCCAACGACAAATTATCGAGTATGAGAATCTACCAATCATCATCCTCATCCGAGCCATAATCCACCAAGCCGAGAGCCGATTTGGGCTCAGCTGCTTTCTCAGGTGTAGGCTTTGCCGGCTGCTTCTCAGTGGTTGTAGCGATGGTCGTTTTGGCCTCGGCAGCTTTGTGCGGACCTGCTGGGTCGTTCTTTCCCTTCTGAGCTTCGACTTTGGGACTCGCGCCTTCCGTTCCAGGACTCTCTGTCGCTCCTGCCTGTTTTCCAGTCGCGCGGTCACTCGATGATGCCTTCCTCAGCTTAAGTCCCTTGAGCGCTCCTTCCTTCCCTCGTTTCCTCTTCTTAGCCGCCGTAGCCCACTCATCATCCGCAGCTGCCATAGTAGTTTCCGCACCAGTCTCGCCCTTTGCCGCCTTGTCCAGCTCCTCTTGTCTCCTCCTAAACACCTCTAGCCCTTCGTTCGTCTCCTTCCTCACGCGCGCTTCCTCCGCCCGCGTAGATTCGAGGACCGAATCCAGAAAGTCAATCTCATCATTGTCGAGCGCGCGGAACTGGTTCTTGAGTCTGCTCGCCTCTTCAAAGGCGTCTTGTTTCGCGGCTTAGGGACAGGCTACGTGATCAGCATTGGGAGCTCCCAGTATAAAACAGTAGGGTTGGGTAATGAGGGCAAAAAACCTTTGTTGGCTTCGAGAGTCTCGAAGAGTGAGCGCCCAGAGTTCTGCGCCGCTGCCTCGTCGGCCTTGCGCCGGCGGTTGGCTTCAAGCTCAACCTGCGCCGCGAGCCATTCGTCGGAGCGCTCGATGGGCGCGTCTGTCGTGCCGCCCGAGACGAAACCAGAGGACATTGTGAGTGATAGGCAGGGCCTAGAAGTAGCTATATGAAATGCGCAACTTATTGGAACTTGAGGCGCTGGCGTATCTTCGGGTTAACACGAGCCTTGCGTACTCCGAGCATTACCCCCGCGAAGCACTCAGTGCCGTTCGTGGGCCTGGGCTGACACCCAATTTTTAGCCTAAAGACCCTCGACGTCACCCCACCTCACCAAAACACCCCACCACTATAATTAACTTTGATAGGATGGGAGGGGGAGAAAGTACGCTGTAACAGGATGAGACGCCAGCCAAGATCTACAGGTGGGATTGCGACGGAACAATTGCCAGCGAGGGGCGAGGAGTATTAACTGGTATAAGAAGGCAGGAGGCCCTTGGACTTTTTTTCCCCCAAGTTAATCTGCTCAATCCTTTGTTTATTTGATACCCTTGAGTCTCTATTTACAATACCTTTATCTATCCCAATAACACAGCAACCTGGCTTTTAGAATCACAATGGCTGCCGTCCACACCTCGTACGTGTTCCCATCCACCCCCATATCACCCCTCAATCTTCACATTTCACCCATCCCTAACACCCCCCAGGCCACATTGACACAGCCTTCGCCTACCAAAACGAGACTGAGGTCGGTGTCGGAATCAAGGCTTCCGGTGTTCCCCGTGGGCAGGTCTGGCTCACCACCAAGCTCGACAACTCATGGCACAAGCGCGTTGCCGAGGGCATTGACGCCTCGCTCGAGAACCTGGGTACTGACTACGTCGACCTATACCTCATCCACTGGCCTTGCAGAACCAACCCAAACATGAAGGAGGTCTACTCCGACTGGGACTACGTTGACACGTGCGCGAGATGCAGAAGCTGGTCGAGGCCGGCAAGGTGAAGAACATCGGTGTCCTCCCCCAAGTTGGTCGCCTATAACACCTCCAAGGGCATCCACTCCACCGCCTACTCCTACCTCGGCTCCACCACCTCACCGCTGCACAAGGACGCCACCCTCCTCGAGCTCGCTGAGAAGAAGGGCCGCTCGCCACAGCAGGTTATGTTCGTGTGGAACATCACCAAGGGCCGCAGCGTCATCCCCAAGTCGGTGACTGCGGACCGCATCCAGGCCAACTACGAGATTGATGGGCTTGAGTTGACTGAGGAGGATATCAAGGTTATTGATTCGATGCAGGGCCGAGATGGTAGTTTCTTGCCGCAGAACTACGAGAAGGTGTTCTACCACGACGATGAGTAAATGCACGTCGTGACGATATGATTAAATAACAGCTAGTTTAAAGCACGCATTAGAGAATAAAAAATATGTATAGCTGCAAACTTGCCACTGGTGCGTGACTCTTTAAAGTGTAATCCGTAGCTTTGTCAATGCTTGCTCGTATGATGTTTGTTGTGTATTGGGCACCAGGTTTGATATTCAGAAACTGAAGCGAGAGTCATCTCCAAAAAGCAAGCACCACAAAGTGGCAAATAGAAAACTATTTCTATGTTTGGATGCGAAAAAAGAGGGGAAACTGTCACATCCGTACGTAGACGTGGTGGTGATGCACCCTGACAGCAAAAATACAAAAAATATATACAAAAAATATATACAAAAAATATACAAAAAATATACAAAAAATATAGCAATTGCATGTTTCGATCATGCGACCTCCGGGTTATGAGCCCGGCGCGCTTCCGCTGCGCCAAATTGCTGTTTGAATGAAAACATGTGGCGTGTTGTGGTATATGAATCACACAATTGATGCGCTAGCCGAGTCAATAACCCCCCAGTTCTCTTTTTTGGTGGGGCAGTGTTTACCCCCACCAAGCTCCACTTACTTACTGTAAAGGACATGGAGTACCATCCTACTACTCCATGCCCTTACACGACTCCAGAGTAGGAGAACACAACCAATTGCAGTGGCAGTTATGGCCTTGTGCTCCAGCCTTGGTTTGTGACGCCCTATCTACTTTCGTCATAGCAAATAGCCAGCTCAGCTCAGACGGTGGGACAAGGCGCGAACGAGAACGAGGGGTAAAGTCGTGGGCCGCGCGGGCTGTTTGAGGGCTGTTTATAATGGGCTGGGCTTCACCTTTACTGTGGTTCACCAACACCACTCCTGTACAACCACGCAAAATGGCTTCTCCCCTCATTATCAGGAACTTGACCTCGACGCCGATTGAGCTGAAGCTCATCGAGCGCTTCCAGGCCCCTGGTCAGGCACCGGCTAAGACTGAGAACAACAACAACAACGACTCAGGTTTCGGAAGCTTGGCCAAGAACTTCACGACGCTAATGAACAATGTTACGAACACTATCCAGAGCCCAACTAACCTCGAGCTGGCAGCCAATGCACAGAGCTTCAGCCATAAGGATGTCAACATCAGGATCGAGCCGTTTGAGGTTTGCAAGACGGATATTCCGCTCAAGGAGCGCGACGACCACGAGATTATGCGATTGACCTTCGAGAACGCGGGGCAACGTTACAGGCTCGATGTCCCCTCTCCAACCAGCAGATCTACCTCCTTGACCCCTCTTCAGCAGAACTCGCAGTTTGAATACACTGGAGTCTATCTGCCGGAGCACTCTTACCTCTCCCTCTACTCATCTGCGCGCCTCAACTCCTGGATGGGCAAGCTCAAGCCCGAGACTCCCCTGTCGGCGCTATCTATCCCAGGAACTCACAATTCCGCAACCCACTACCTTGCTCTTCCCTCCGTGCGCTGTCAGGCTGTTTCGGTCACCGACCAGCTTAACAACGGCGTTCGCTTCCTCGATGTCCGCGTCCAGCCTGAGAACATTGAGTATCCCAACGCCGACGGCCTGATCCTCGTCCACGCCGTCTTCCCCATCTCGCTCACAGGCAACAAGTACTTCCGCGACTTCCTCAATAAAGTAACCGCCTTCCTCGACCAGAACCCATCCGAGACCGTCCTCATGAGTCTCAAGCGCGAGGGTGTCGGAAAATCCACCGACCAGCAGTTCTCCAAGATCCTGCACGACCACTACATCTCCAAGGACAAGGAACGCTGGTTCACCGATAACCGCATCCCACGCCTGGAAGAGTCCAAGAAGAAGATCGTCCTCGTCCGCCGCTTCGGCGTCGATGACGCTGTCAAGGGCTACAACAACAACGCCGGCTTCGGCCTGGACGCCTCCAGCTGGCCTGACAACTGCGAGGACGGACTGTGCGTCGGCGGCACCATTCGCGTCCAGGACTTCTACGAGGTTGAGGAGAGCGTCAACATCGACAAGAAGATCAAGTTCTGCCACACCCATCTCGAGAAGGCGAGTTCGCTTGTGTGCCCGCTGCCTGGTGCGGCGAATGCGGCAGAGCAGCCCCACCCCTTCTTCATCAACTTCTTAACTGCAAGCAACTTCTTCCGTCCGGGATGCTGGCCCGACCGTGTCGCTGCCAAGGTTAACCCCGCGACGGTGGACTTCCTGTGCCGCAGGCATAACGAGAAGGAGTACTATAGCACTCTGGCGGAGGAGCGCGGTATTGGAGATGGTAGCACGGGAATTGTGGTGTGTGATTGGGTTGGAGAGAAGGGTGATTGGGATCTAGTTAGGTGTATTGTTGGACACAATGCCAAGTTGGAGTTGAGGGAAAACCAATAGATGGTTGATATACCGAGGTGGCTATAGGTTTGAATAGTGAGGAAGTAGAAGGTAGACGAATAACAAAATATATTTCATGAGGCTTTGCCATGTGTCTTCTTACATTCATGCCAAACCAACACTATGAAAACAATATAATACATCCTCTCCTATCATACCCATCTACTCCGCCTTCACCTCATCCTTCGCCTCCTCCTTACCCTCCGGCCCCTTCTCCTCCTCCTCCAACATCATCCTCCTCCCCTCAACCGTAAAAAACAAGCTCTTCCCCGCGCTCTCCAACGCATTCGTAACCCCAGCCCCAGCACTCTGCAACAAATGCACAACCTGCGCCCTCAGCCCTTCCAACCCACCCGGAATCATCCCCACCCACCTCGCCCCCTCCATGTCAAACACCTTCCCCTCCACCCTCGCCCCGAGCAACTGCAACTTCTGCAGCCCCGTCTGCACCGCGTTATCATGCCACCCCGGATTCGCCCTCCGCGTCGGCGCAGGGTACTCTGGCGCAAGCGGCGCCAACACCGTCAGCGCCGCCTTCAGATGCGCTGGGCTCACGGTAGGGAAACTTAGCACCGCAACCGGGCCAGCAAGCAACGGCGCGAATCCGTGCGAAGTTCTAGTCCCCACGACAGCCTCGTGCGCAGCTTTACTGAGCGTGTGGCTTGCCTCCCCTGGGCCTACGGCGGAGGGGTCAAAGTACTCAACCACGCGTAGTGCAGCGGCGAAAATACCCGTCTGCACGATCTGCAGCTTCACAGCCGATCCGGACGGGGCAGGCTCCCCAGCCAGAGCGAGCTCAGCGTCTACCTTCGCGAGAGCTGCAGCGAGTTCACGACGCAGCGATGTCCATTCGGTGGTATTGAGGTTATTGTGCTGGAAGAGGATGAGGAGGGGGGTCGAGCGGAGGAGCGATGCGTATTGGCGCAGGAGTTGGGTTTTGCGGAACTGTGCTGGCTTGAGGGAGATGGGTTGGGTGGTTGGGAGGCGCGACTTTAGGGGCGGGAAGGTCGGCGAGGAGGAGGTGTTCGCGGTTATGGTTGCGGTGGCATATTGGCGTGGGAGGAGGGTTGTGGTGATTGGGGTGTTGGTCGTGCGGACGAGGGAGGAGAGGGCGGCCCGCGAGGGGCGGTGTATCCGTGGTGGCATGGTGGGCAACTTGTTCTGGGGGGGGCGTGTTAGTTCAATTGAGGGTTTTGGGAGGGATTGTGATCGTGACGTACGGTGGAAGTTGCGTGGAGTGGTGAACTGGTGAAGCTCCTGGTCTCCTCGAATTTAGGAATCGTCTCAGTCCAATAATTTTGGCATCTAACAAATTTTGTTGCCTCAGGCATCAATACATTGTCAGCGCACATGATTGGGCGCAACACAACGTGCCCACCGATATTTTATTCAATACCACCCTATGACTCTCTCTTGTGATATCTGTACAATACATTCGGGGTAATAAAGCAAACAGACAAACAGTTATTGGCTTGCTGTTCTTTATAAAGCTGCCCGCTGGGCAACAACCTTGCCCATTTTCATTCCTCTTTATTTCACAATTTCACATTTTTTAACATTATGTCGCTCCCACAAATCTCAATCACGCCCTTGCTCAAGAGGCTTTGGCCCGCCGGGGTCGAGCCACACGTGAGTGCCGATGAGATCGCAGCTGCGATTTCACACATTTTTACCAATCAGCTGTCGCCGGTCCAGATCGGTGCTCTGCTAACTTGTCTGCATTTTACCGGGAGGGACCGGACGGCGGATGTTATTGCGAAGTGCGCGAAGGCTATGCGGGATGCCGCTGCACCGCTGGATAGGAGCATTTTGGCGGAGGTTGTGAAACGGAAGGGTATGGGGGAGGGGAATTATAAGGGCGGGCTGGTGAGTGGGATTTTATCACTTGGGTGGACTTTACTAACTCTCCACAGGTTGATATTGTTGGTACGGGAGGTGATTCTCATCATACTTTCAATATCTCAACGACTTCGTCCATCCTGGCCTCGTCACTTCTCCTTGTAAGCAAGCACGGTAACAGGGCATCCACCTCAAAATCCGGCTCGGCGGATCTCCTTGCTTCCACTCTGCCAGTTCCCCCAGTTCTCTTAAATGTCCGACCAGACACCATCGCCCAGGTGTATGAGAAGACCAACTACGCCTTCCTCTACGCCCCCGTCTTCCACCTCGCCATGAAGTACGTCGCGCCAATCCGCAAAGAGCTCGGCTGGAGAACCATCTTCAACCTCCTCGGCCCCCTCACCAACCCCCTAGAAGGCGTCATCGAGGCCCGCCTCATCGGCGTCGCCCGCCGCGATCTCGGCCCCGTTTTCGCCGAAGCCCTCAAGATGACTGGCGCCACCAAGGCTATCATTGCGTGTGGTGCGGAGGACCTCGATGAGATTAGTTGTGCCGGAGACACTTACTGCTGGATGCTCAACGAGTCGGAGGTTAATGGGGAGAAGTCTATTGATGTTGACCACTTCATTGTGTCCGCTGCTGACTTTGGCCTCCCCGCCCATCCGCTATCCGAAGTTTCACCAGGTAAGGAGCCGGTTGAGAATGCGGCGATTCTCATGAACCTGTTGCACAACAAGCTCCCGAGAGACGACCCAATCCTTCATTTCGTGTTGATGAACACGGCGGCGCTATTCGTGGCATCGGGGGTCTGCGAGGCGGAAACGAGCAATATGGGACCAGGTGATGATGGACAAGTCATCACGAAGAGGGGTCCGGGGGGTCAGAGATGGAAGGAGGGCGTTCGTAGGGCGAGATGGGCGGTTGAGAGTGGCGCTGCTTTGAAGCAGTGGGGACACTTTGTGGAGGTCACCAACAGTGTGGGGGAACAGACTCCGGAACCCTGGGTTTGAAGACCTCTCACCAGAAGCCACGTTTTAGTACCACATTTCTGAGGATCAGGCTATGGACTGAGGATCAGGTTATGGATATTTATCCTAGGATAGCTTGTTGGCATGTAGTATGTATTTTGGATGATTTTCAACCGGCATTAGGTTTAGAAGTATTGACTTCAGGGTCTGAGAAGTAGCGACATGATTTATATAGCCGTTTAAATGAAGTAAATATGAATACATTCAATGCCTTGTGGGATACTCTACGTTTTTGTATTTGTCATTGGTAGCACGAATAATTTCCGTATGACTTTATATTTATGTTGGACAAATAATATCATTATTTTATAAATCGGTGGAAAATAACTAAACACCTCCAATACCACCAAGTAACTAACTAGTAAAGTCGAAACACATACTACAAGTAGAATAATAATACTACACTTGGGAAATAAATAAACAAAAGAAACCAAACCTTCCAAGAAAAACACGACCAAACTCTCATATAAAAAAAAAAACCGGTCCTCGCACGTGACCAATCTCTTATCTCCCCATAATTCTGCCACCGCCTTCCACCCACAGCCTCAAATATTTCCGCGCCTCGCAATTCATTTCTCAGCCTCCCCACCACTCTCCCAACTCCAAACACCATCCTACCACGCAGCCACGAAACCATACAACACACACACCATGTCTACGCGCGAAGCCTACGTCCCCCCCACCGCCGGCGGCGGGCTCCCCATCGCAGGCCGCGACCAGGGATACACTGCTGCTAGTGAGGGACCAGCTATCAACTACCTTTGTGGCGACTGTAATAGCCGCGTGCCGCTCAAGCGTGGGGATCCGATTAGATGCAAGGAATGTGGCCACAGAGTTTTGTATAAGGAGAGGACGAAGAGGTGAGTTTCATAGGGAGTGGCGGAGTGGATGGGGAGTAGATGGAAGCTGACGGAAGTAGGATGGTGCAGTTTGAGGCGAGATGATGGGAAGAAGGATGGAAGATGATGGGGGAAAAATACTTCGACTTAGGCCGCAGGAAGGAGGGGATGTGTGAACGGGGGGGAAGGGAAAAACGGGGTGGCGGTATTATGAAGGCATGCATGGGACGGAGTACGGGTGCGGGCGTTTTGAGATGTGGCGGTTCTGAGCAGACTACACAGTGAAGCTCTCCCAAATGCAACAAGATCGAGATTTCTCTCTGAATCATGGCTATTTACCTTACATGAGCAACTCTACCATGGATGTGGTGGATGCGAGTCGGTTTAGGGACCTGTGAACTGTTGATTGTGCATTAGCCTGACTCTGGTCGGAGGACTCCTACTACTGGAGTTATAGCCAGCACGACTGGAAACTGCACTACAATCGCCACACAGTCATTACGGATGATACGCTGGTAAGCATTCATAATATATTTCATTTTGTGGTATTCAGATGCGCCTTGCAATGCCTCCACGAACGCCAGTTCCTAACAAATCCCCCAACCCCTACATGCCCATCTGACTCGACCTCACGTATCTCGTGAAGCTGTTGTCCTCGTCGGTAATACCCCCCGACTTTTGCATCGCCTCTTTATACCTCGACTTAAGCCCCTCTTCCCTCTCTCCCTCATCACCCTCCGCATTAGCATCAGAGTCCGAGCTGTCCTCCAAATCACTGATAACATCCATATCAACCTTCTCCTCTGGCGCATTTGACCTCTCCCCAGAAACAGCCATATCCTTCATCAGTTTCCCCAGCTCCTTCTCTCTGCCCGCAGTCTTCTCATCGGCGCGCTGCTTCCGCCGCCTCTCAAGCTCGGGCTTGTAATCGCGGTTGAACTCGTCAGCCTTCTCTTGCACCGCCTCGAAAAACTGATCGATCCCATCGCCGGTCATGGAGCTGACGCCGACAACACTCAGATGGCTGTAAAACTCCTCCAACATCAAGCTCATACTGTTCAAAAGCGACCCCATATACCCACTCCCCCCACCAACACCCACCCCCCCCTCAACCCCACCAAAGCTTCCCTCCTCCTCCTCCGCCCTCAACGCCTCCTGAAACGCCTCAAAATCTGTCATCCACTCCTTCGCAAACTCCGCATCCTTAACATCCGTCTTATTGAACACCAAAATCATCGGCAGTTTCGTCTTATACAAGATACTGCACGCATACAACATATTGCTCATAAATGTGCTCGTCGACGCCGTGCGCGGCGTATCAATAATATACGCCACCACCGTCGGAAAACTCGACGCCAGCGAATCGAGCAAAATACTCCCCGACGCACTCCACACAAACACCTCGATCTGCCCCGGCGTGTCAACGAGGATATGCTCGATGGGCTTCTTGGCCGGGTTCGCGGGGTCCGGAAGGGTGCGCTTCTCGAGCAGCGTGACGATCTGGTCGATCTTCGTGGCGAACAGGTTCAGCGAGGTGAGGATCCCGCCGTTGGGGCCGAGGTTGTAGCTCTTCATCACCTCTTGGTAGTTCACCGAGTCGCGGATGTCGATGTTGGACTCGAATGGGACGGTGCGCACGGCGGGGTCGAGGTTGATGACGTAGGGGGGGGTCTTCTTTTGGTGGAGGTGCGCGTTGATGCGTTGCATGAAGGTGGTTTTGCCGGAACCTACGGGGGGTGTGAGTTTGGGATTTGAGATTGGGGGGAGAGGGATGTACCGGCCATGCCTACGCAGACGATCGAGACGGGAGTTGCGGAAGCCATGGTTGCGTTGTGGGTTGTATGGCGTGGAGTTGAGGCTGGAGATAAATTTGTAGATGCAAAGGTGGGGGTGGACAAGGCTGACCCAAAGGCTGATTGATCAATGCATGGTCCGTGCGTTTTAAGGACGTTGAAGCTTGGTTAGTGACGCGAGGTGATGAACTTCAATCAAGATACTGGCTCAATGAATTATTTGGTGTCTTTATAATATATATACCCAAAGAGCTGGGGATATATGCAAAAGCCTCAATCTATTGACAAAGCCATGAAATCAACATAAACCACCCGCAACACACAACTAGTAAAACCGCATCGCATCCTCGTCCCCAAGTTAGCTAAAGGCTCTCTACAAATCGCACTTAAGCCTCATCACCAGCACCACACCTAACCATGGACGACGGCCTCGACGAATTCGAGAAGACCCTCGCAACCGAGAAAAGAGCCCGCGAAGACGAAGAATCCAAATCCAAATCGCGCAGCGACCGCCACCGTCACCACCACCGCAGCCACCACCACAAATCCCGCGACGACGACTCCTCCGAGCGACGCCATCACCGGCGCTCGCGCGACTACAACGATGATGGACACAGGCATAAGCGTCAGCACCGCGACTCCTCCCGCGACGATGAGCGTAAACGGCGACACCGCGACAACTCCTCCCCTGACGAGGAGCGCAAACGGCGGCACCGCCACGAGAAAACTACAGATCCTAAAGAAGACCTGCCTCTCCCCGATGAAGAGATACCGCAGACCGATGCGCCGCTAGGCGCAGCGCCGGCGGTGAAGCGCGATGCGTGGATGACGGCGCCGGGGGCGCTGGAGGTGGATTATACGCAGAGGGGGGCGAAGAAGGAGGAGAAGGGTACGGTGGAGGAGAAGATGGAGATTAAAATCCATCGGAACGAGTTGAATCACCAATTAAAGGATGTAAGGCTAGAAGAGGATGAGGCTGTTGAGCCAGAAGAGGGGGAGAGGGAGGTAGAGTATACGTTTGGGGACAGTGGTGCGCAGTGGAGGATGACGAGGTTGAAGGCTGTGTATAGGGAGGTAGAGGAGGGGAAGAGGACGCTGGAGGATGTGGCGGTTGAGCGGTTGGGGGGACTACGCGAGTTTGATGATGCGAGGGAAGAGGAGGTGGAGTTGGAGAGGAGGAAGTTGTATGGAAAGGGGTATGTCGGGAAGGAGAAGCCGATTGGGGAGTTGTTTGAGGAGAGGAAGGCGGCGATGGGGGTGAAGAGGCAGAGGGAGGAGAAGGAGGCGGCGGAGGCTGCGAGGGATTTACCGCAGGGGAGGGTTATGGAGGAGCAGCAGGCCCAGGCTCCTGTGGTGCGGGTCGACCAGACTCAGCTCAATAGGATGAAAGCCCAGCTGATGAAGGCGAAGCTTAAGGGGTCCGCTGACGTGGCAAAGCTTGAGGCCGAGTACAACGAAGCAGCCGCCGGACTTCTCGCCAGAGGCCCTGAAGTCATCGTCCTCGGAGAAATGGAGAACAGACTCCTCGCCGGTACGCGTGGCGAAGTGGTCTCCATCGACAATAAGCGCGGCCGCGAGCGCGGCCTCGTCAAATCCAACGAAGACATGAGCATCGAAGACATGGTCCGTGAAGAGCGCCGCACCAAATACCAAGCCGGCGGCGAAGGACGTAAATTCGCCGAGCGCATCGCCAAAGACACGAAATTCGAGAACAACCTCGACTACCTCAACGACAACACCGCGAAGCTCGCCAAGTCTGCCCCTAAGTCTGAGATGAACCTCAAGAACATGGCCATCGGGGAGTTCCAGAAGATGAACCGCATCCTTGATGCCTGTCCGCTGTGTCATCACGAGGACCGTAATCAGGCGCCTGCTGCGCCTATTGTCTCGTTGGGGACCCGCACCTTTTTGACGCTCCCTACTACCCCTGAGATCGCGGACGGCGGGGCGGTCATTGTCCCTATCGCGCATCGCACGAACTTACTCGAGTGCGATGACGACGAGTGGGATGAGATCCGCAACTACATGAAGAGCCTAACACGCATGTATCACGACCAAGGCCGCGCCGTCATCTTCTACGAGAACGCCGCCGCCCCCAACCGCCGCCCCCACGCAGCCCTCCAAGCCGTCCCCCTCCCCTACGAGCTCGGCGACACAGCGCCTGCATTTTTCCGCGAAGCGATCCTAGCATCCGACGAGGAGTGGACGCAGCATCGGAAGTTGATTGATACGGGGAAGGCGGCCAAGGGGGGTATGGGGAGGTTAGCGTTTAGGAGGACGCTGGCGAAGGAGATGCCGTATTTTCATGTTTGGTTTGATCTGGATGGGGGGCTGGGACATGTGGTTGAGGATGCAAATCGCTGGCCGAGGGGGGATTTGTTCGCGAGAGAGGTGATTGGGGGGATGTTGGATGTGGAGCCGGATGTGGTGAAGAGGCAGGGGAGGTGGCAGAGGGGGGGGAATGTGGAGAGGATGGAGGGGTTTCAGAAGAGGTTTAGGAAGTTTGATTGGGCGAGGGTGTTGACAGATGGGGCGTAGGGTTGTAGAAGTGTATATTTTGAGGGATTGGTGTTTTGATATAACTAGAGAGGCAAGACCTTGAATAGCTAGAGTTGATAATGGATATGCTGTATATCACGTGCATATCACATTATGTGCATAATAACTGATTACAGTAACTTATCTGTTCTTTTACTGATATCTACACTACGAAAGTACTACAGTTTCGACCGAGTACTCGTACCTTCTTGCAGTTCTCTGTGTCCCTTGCTGCCTCGCCGCTGAATCTAATCTGACTTATTGGGAAGGAGCTACTGATTCACCGTGCTGTCCCTGTTCGGTACTCAAAACGGTACTCACAGTAGAACGGAAGAGTACTCTCCTAACTCACTCACCTAACTTCCTAATTCACCCAACTCACCTAACTCACCTTACTCAACCTCAATTCAACCTCAGCCTCAATTCAACCCCAATCCTCAATTCAATTTCTTCCTCCTTCCCATAAGATCTTTTCCTCTCAATTCATTTGTCACTCAAGCTTGTCAATATCCAACACTAAGTACACACAAAACATGTACCATGGACCACCAGAGTGTGCCACCTCCTCTCCCTAATTTCGAAATCATAGAGACAGCGTTCACAAGCTTGGGAACTGAGATCCCAAAGCTTCGAAACATCGAAGCTGCACGACAATCGCAGCAGATTCTCGACGGCATCGCGCAAATCGCCCGCGACGTGAATACTCTCCGAAACGAAGTTTCTACTCTCCGAAACGAAGTTTCTACTCTCCGAAACGAAGTTTCTACTCTCAAAAACGAGGTTGCTGGTCTGGGCAACCGTTTTACTGCTCTTGAGAACCGTTTCACCGCCCAAGAAAACGCTACAATCCGACTTCAAAACGCCCAGAGACAACTGTCTTTCCCCACCGCTCCGCTTCTCCCTCTCCGCGACCCCCAGACTGGGATTCCCATACCGAATTGCCCGAACACGATTGATCATATAAACCGTTTGTCTGCGGTGGAGGCAAGCCGAATTCTTCAGATCCTCGAGGTACGGGTCCCACGCGCTTTACAGGATAGGAGGGAAGCAGTTCGACATCAATTCATCTAACGAATCATACCACACACGCACATTTTCCCCCTACAAAAGAGGAATTGCGACGCCCTGCGAATCGAATACCCCCAACATCCACGCCGTATGGATCCTACTCTCAGCAACCACCTCGACATCGAGCTGCAGAACGACCCGGACGACCAGATTTCCCAGATCGCCCAGATCGCCCACGCGAACCAGAACGCGGCCGCGATCGACTCTTCTGCACCCTCCCCGTCGATGTCACAGCCGCAACAATCTGGAGCTCCGTCGTCACGTCAGCCTGCCAGTTATCCAAGTCCGACCTCCTACCCTTCGCCAGGTTTTTCAGCCGCCCAGTACTCCTACCCTGCTCCAACCCAACAACTCGTCCCCGAACCATACCGCGCAAGCCCAACAGGGAGCAACAGTTCCATCTCACTGCCCAGCATGCGCACTCTCGACCCCCATCAACAAGCTCAACAGCAGCAGCAACAGCAGATGCAACAACAACAAGCTCAGCAGCAGCAGCAGCAACAGCACCCGCAGCACATGGTGCCTCCGCCCGTCGCGCAGATGGGTGGCCCATACTACCATAACAATCAGACTCTGCCTCACCCATCTCACCAGTATTCCAATGTTACTTCAGACCCAACGGGACAGAACATGCGATACGCGCTGCCAGGTCCAGACAACCGCGTCATGAGTGGTGGCCGACACAAGAAGGTAAATAAAATAAATAGAAATCAATCCCCAATCCCCATCCCACGATACCTTTTCCCGCGACCGAAGGGTTAAGGGTAATTTGATGATCGTCATCGCTGACTCTCCATCTTTTCCATCTAGGAGATCAAACGTCGAACCAAAACAGGATGTTTGACGTGCAGGAAGAGAAGAATAAAGGTCAGTTCGCCAAAATTTCCCGCTTTCCACAATTTTCTCGCGTCTGTCGTTCGGTCCCTTCGGTTGATTTGACGCGAGGCTTCGCTTCGTGCCTCTCGCATATTCTTAGATCGGTCCCGATCCATACCTTCCCTTCGCGTGTTCTCGTCTCGCGTCTCTCGCGAACCAGCGTCCCCCGTCCCTCACCCATCTCACCATAACTAGCGCACCATACTGACAAACAATTCCCCGAAACACAGTGCGACGAAGCTCACCCCGCGTGCCGCAACTGCCAGAAGTCCAAGCGCGAGTGCCTGGGCTACGACCCGATCTTCAAGCAGCAGCCCGGCCCCTCGCCCATCCAGCCCGCGCCCTCGTCGGCGCCGCTCCAGGCCGCTACCCTTGCGACCGCCAACCCGTACGGCAACCAGCCGTCCATGCTGCAGGGCTACGGCGCACAGGTCCCAGCTATGGCTTTCGATGCGTCGCTGTCGGCTGGCGTCAGCTCTCCGGGCTCGGCGCAGCAGTTCGACTACTCGTCCGCGATTGATCCGGCGCTCGAGGCTGTCGCGGCCCCGCAGGGTGCACCACAGTTTACCCAAGGTACGGAGTATTTCTATGGGGATGAGCTGTCTCGCTCGTCGCCATTTTTTTCGTCCAGCCCTCCCTCATCGTACCTTCCCACACAGTGCCCACCAAAGACATCGGGCTATACCAATCCTCTCCAATTGGGAGGCCGTAGCCGATTTGCTAGTCCATCTATGTCCTACTCTCAGGTGGCTCACTTTCAGACGGTCGCTCTTCAAGCTGGAGAGACCCGAGTAAGCAAGTTGCGTCCTATAAACCAACCGCAGCTGTCGAAGAGTAATTCCCAATCCACCCGCCTGGTAAATGATGCTCCTCAAGTGAAAGGTAGCAATCAGAAGGCTTCCATCTCCAAGGGACAATCCAATAGACCAAACAAGCGCCAGGCCATTCGCACCCCACCCAAGAAGCCTGGTAACCTTCGAGTGAACAACTTTTCTCCCAATCGCCTCCTTGCACTCCTTTCCCAAGACGGAAGCGCTGACCCCATTACCACAGCCAAGCCCTGCAAGGTCGATGACCTCCTTCTGAAGCTCCCGTCCAAGGCCGAGGACTTCAAACCCGAACAGGCCACCATCGACGAGATCAAGCACCTCTGGCTCTCCATCTACGTCAACGGCCTCGAGAGCTTCCTGGAATCCCGCTTCTACTACACCGACGGCCTCGAGCACCTCCTCAAAGACAAGATCGTCATGGAGCAGTTCGCCATCCTCCTCAACCAGTTCGCGAAGGCCACCCCCGACAACCCCGCCGAAATGCTGTACACCGCCTCCATCGAAGGCCGCGTCGTCTGGTCCCTTGCCTGCCTCGTTCGCTCCGCCGCCGAAGCCGCATCCGCAGCTCCCCCCCTTCCCCGCCCAGACGGCATCCCCCCCGCCGAAGACCCGGTTGAGGCCGCTGCCCGTCTCGCTGTCTTTGAGAACCTCGTCACTTCCCAGATCGCGGAGGGTAACTCCCTTACTAAACCCCCGGCGACGGGCGACTACCATAAGCTCCGCGAGATGGAGTTCTGGTTCCACCTCGGCCACTTCGTGACGTTGCGCTTGCATGACAATGACCCTGGATCGGCGAAGGAAGTTGATGAGACGCTTGCCGCGCTGAGGAGTCTGCTTGATGGCCGCGAGAACCGCGATGTGCTCTACTCGATTGCGATTGTGCGTGCCATCGGCCAGCGCGTTTCTGAGTACGTTGAGAGCGAGGCGCCGCTGCATCTTGATGAGCAGGATACGAGGAGTAAACTTATGGTTGCCAAGCGATTTGTTCGTGATGAGGGTAATGGTGCTGGGACGACGAATGTCATTCGCCGCTTCTGCGAGTTAGCGAGTAGGCCTTGGAATCCGTGATTTAATTCCGTGGATCAAGGTGATGGATGGCGTCTGGTGGGAGGACGTCGTGGTTGAGGGGTGGTGTGGTAGATGTATTTGTCTGGGTTTGATGATGTTTGAGCATATAAACTATACGTGAGGAGGAGGAGAGACGCCTTTCAAGCATGCTTGCTTTGTTCGGAAGTTGAGATCGAGGGTGAAACCGAGGTCGAGATCGCTGCATACTTTTGTTGTCAGCAAACGTCCTTGAAGAACCAGCACTTACATGGTCGTCATTGTTGTTACTGCCTTTCAACTTTCAGCAACAAACAACTAAAAGAAAGAGCTCGATGACGACTCGGGGTTGGCGTTCCTACAGATCGATTTGATGCATCCGCTTTGTATTAGGAAGGACTTCCTAATACAAAACGGATGCATCAAATCGATAGAAGAAAGAAGAGAGGAAAGAAAACAAGTCTGGCGTTTACGTGGGTCGTTTTTGTAGCTTCTTCACAGGAGTGACGGGGGGATAAATAGGGCTAGGCGAAGACATTGCATACGGTTGGGTGGGGCGGCAGCATCATCGCCGCAGCAACCTGAATGTGTTCGTCGACTTGGAGTTTTCGGCTTATGGTGGATGCAAAAGGGATTGCTACGTTAGAGGATTGGGGGGGGGTATTCTTTGTGTTTTGTTTGCTAGATTGGCTTTCCAGGAGAGTGAGGGGGAAGCAATGGCATAGGGGGTGCATTATGAATAGGAGATGGTAGTAGTTTCTTAGATGGGTTATTTCAATTAAGATGGCTCTCTATTATGCTCAGGTTTTATATGTGACTGTTGGCGTGAGCCTTGTCTTTGTTATTGACTAAGAGGGGTTATATAAACATATGACAAGTTATTCCCCACAGACTAAATAGCACCGTTTCTGTTTTTAGCTTGTCATTGCTTTTATATTTACCCACAGCGGGTTTCTAGGACAGCTATTCAGAGGAAGGAATCACTCCCAACCTCCCATCTATACGCATCTAAGGTCATAAACACATCAACCACATCACATCACTAACCTCCACCCCCACCCCCACCCCCCCCCTTCTCCCCCCCTTTCGCCGCAAACCCCTCAAAATACCGCTTCCTAAACGGATTCAACTCATCCGCACTCACCCCCCCCTCCACCCCCTCCCCCCAACCTTCGTCCCATCAATCCCCACCAGCTCCCCCCTCTCCTCCCCCTCCCCCCTCCTCCGATACGTCAACAGCCGCCTCGACCACTTATTAAAACTCTGCGTACACACACTCAACAGCTCCAAATCCGGATGTCCCGGCACCTCAAGCCTCACCTCCTCCTCATTCGCAGTCGGCATCCAAAACGCCAGCCGTCCACCCTCCACCAGCGACCCAGCCGCAAACGCAAGAAGGTCCCCTACCATTGCGGAGAAGGAATACGGCCGCTTCGGCGGCACGTACCCGGGTTGTAGATGATGCGCATCAGGCCCATCATACACCGGCCCAACCCTCTTCTCCCTATGCCCCAACACCTTCAACCCCTCCCTCACGCCATAGGGCGGGTCACACACGATCCCATCAAGATACTGTCCCGGCCGTAACGGGCTATTCGTCAAATCCGCCACAAAACTATCTCCAAATCCCGGAGCAAGATCATACTGCGCGAAATTCGCCCTCAGATTCCTCCCCCCCTTCCCGCGGATCGCGCGCCCGTCGATGTCGGATCCGAATGCCAGCGCGCCGAAATGCGCGCATGCGACCGGGAAGGAGCCCGTGCCGACGAAGGGGTCGTAGAAGATTGCGCCGGGGCGCGCGAGGGCGATGTTCGCGGTGATCAGGGCCAGCTCGGCGTCCATGGATGTGGTGCTGATATATCTCCGCTTCTTGAGGTCGTACTTCCCCACTATCTCGCGCTGGGAAGTGCCCACCAGACGCCCTAGGTAGAGGTGCTGAGGGGTACTCGAGCCGTGGGCCTGCGCGTCGAACGCCCAGTCTTCGAGGACGCAGAAGCGGAGATCGGGGTTCTTGAGGGCGACGGGGCCGGTGAAGGACATGTATGCGAAGGAGTTGATGAGCTCACAGATGTCGGCGTGGATGCGTGAGCCTTGGAAGCTGTCGATGGTGAATTTGAAGCTTTGCCCTTGAAATTGCCGCCACCAGGGGGTGGACGTGGCGAGGACGGACTCGTGGAGCGCGGGGTAGGTGGGGCCGCTGCCCCAGAGGGCGTAGATTGCTTTTGCGGAGATGCTGCGGCTCAGGAGGCGGCGAGCGGCATCGTCGGAGGGGAGCTTGAGTGTGCAGAAGGGCGACTGGGAGGGGGGTTAGTTGAGGGTGTCCGTGGGGGGGGAGGGGCACGTACGTCGAGGCTGTAGGAGATGACCTCCATGGGGATGCCTTCGAGGTCGGCGAGGGCTTGGATTTCGGGGAGCCGGAACGTCTCGTGCGTCTGGATGAAGCGGAGGAGGTACTCCATCTTGGCTCTGTGACCCGGTGGGTCTGTAAGGGCGAGCACGAGGGGGGGTTATGGAGGTGAGAAAGAGGTTGTAGTCAGGTGCTGCCCCGCGATTTTTTTGTTTTGTGATGGTTGGGTGGTGGTAGCCTTGTCTTGGCGGGGGAAGGCTGACAAAGTCGACGGGTCCCCCTTGTATGATTGTAACGATCCACTGTTTTTACTGCCTCACCGCGTCCAAGTTAGGCGGAATGGCGTTCAGTTTTGGTGAGCGACCATGCCAAGATCTGGCAATACTATAACTGGGGATAGTATCTTTGGGAAGGCAGCCACTCACGACTTGAACAGTTACTGGACAACAACACATAAGCGGCTATATACCACATAACGCATATGATGCATATATAACATAAATATACTTCTTCTATAACAGATCTGGGAGCAACGCACAAACTTTCCCGCCAGCACGAGACATCACATCAGATGTCCGCCTCAACCCGCCTCATCAGCCATGGATACAAAGTCGAGCCGCACACGCAAGACCGTCCAGAAGCCCGCCCAAAAGGTCACCAACAAAGAAGATGCGAAGACCGCACATAAGGCTGCCAACAAAGAAGAGGTTAACCCCCCTAATAAGGCCGCCAACAAAGATGATGCGAAGCCCGCCCAGAAGGCCGCCAACAAGGAAGAGGCTAAGCCTGCGTCTCCAGAGCCTCCCCAAACCCTACTCGTCGACAAGGAGGAAGTCAACCTCATCGACATCCGCGCCACAGGCGACATCCTCCTCGACATAACCTTCACCAACAGCCACTCCACCCGCACAATCCTCGCGCTCAACTCCGCCCTACCCCCGCGGCTCTCCCCTTTCTCCAAGCCTGGCCTGCCATCCGACCGCACACTCTTCCGCGTTCGCCTAGACACCCTCGCCAAGACCTCCGCGTACTTCTCACGTCTCCTTACCGACGCCCGCTTCCAGGAGGCCACGAAGGTATCTAGCTCCTTCGCTGCTCTCAAAGCTCGCGGTGTTGTACCCGCTGAGTCACAACCCGCTGAGCTGCCCCGCGTCGCTATCACAGATGATGATGATGCGACGCATGTCGCGGGGCGCGCTCCTGTACTCGCAGACCTCCTTCACATCCTCCACAGCGGCGACGCGACATCGAAGCTATCTATACCATATCTAGCGATCCTCGCAGTGATGACAGATCGCTTCGACTGCGCAGCTACGGTGGGGAGATACGTGCGCGGTGCGAAGAGGGTGCCCTGGCCGCAGACGTACGGGACGGTGAGTTTTGCGAGCGAAGAGCTCTTGAGGCAGAAGGCATTGGTGGCATGGTTGTTGGAGGATAGGGTGAAGTTTGCGGCGGCGACGAAGGAGTGTGTGTTTAGGGGAAGTGCGAGGTGGGGAGGAGGAGGGGGTATGCAGAGCGGACAGGTGGGCGTGTGGTGGGATTTGCCTGATGGTATTGAAGGTAATGTGGGATTTCTTATGGTGTTTGAGCCACTGCGCTTTTTGGCTATGTTGTTTTCTTGTGTATTTCGTCGTTTACGTGATACCTTCGAGGCTATGATTCTACGGCCTGGTGCCTTTCAGGAGCCTCGTCTCGGATATGTCTTATAGTTGGCGACGCCGTAAAGTTAGAGATAAAGTAGGAAGTCCTACACATACTCTACCTTGCCTTGACGACGAGCTAAAAACGGTTATGAGGCTCTCAAATCCTTAGGGCAGGCATTCCAGGCACATGGTCCTAATTATAGAGCTGACGGTATGTAGCCGAGCTCCATTATCGTCGAACTTGCATCCTTCATACAATCGCGTCTCTTCAGTCTCACTTCATACGTCTCTATTCGTCTCGCGACCGGCAATGCAAGATGTTCTATGACTCTTCTGCCGCCTGCGACTCCTTCCAGCTCGGTGAGATGGTCAAGTTCTTCGTTAACAAGGGTTTCTTTGCCTTTACCTCCCCCCTGCTAGTTAACGAGGAGGATTACCCCGAGCCCTACGATGGAGACATTGAGAACCTCATCACGGCTCTCCGGCAATGCCCCTCTTACCAGTACGATAAGAATCACGCGCACTGTGGATTACGTACAAGGCTCATCCCCGCTCTGGACTTCATCCAGGCGATGCTAGCATCGGGAGTCGGCATCGACCGTGGAAACTGGAAAGCAGAGCGGCCGAGCACGTCGTGGGAGAGCGTGGAAGGGGTAGAACCCTTCCGGTTAACAAAGAGCGTGGCGACGGATTCAAGACTCAAGCTCGAGGGCTTTCTGACATCGAGCTCTTTGTCAAAGAGGTTCTTTGGGGCGGGTAGCTGGGACTGGACGCCGGAGGAATGAGGGGTAGCGCCGCTGTGAGAGTCATTTTCGGGTAAGCGCGGCGTTGTTTTGAATACATCAATGGAAAAATGATAAAATATGTCCATAGGATCTAAATGAGCCACCATGCAGCCCTGGTGATCATCAACCTTAAATCCCGTAACCATGGCGACTTCTCGCAGTGACCGTTACCGAGACAGATTACCGATTACCTTGCAGATTGCCTACTCTCGTGTCTCCGCTGTACCCCTCACAGGAGACCGAAAATCCGGAGACGTTAGAGAAAGAATGGAAACGTTAAAAGTGATGGGCGCGCCGATGCACCGCCCTCAGCCTCGCGCCCGAGCTGGCAGACGAAATCTCTGTTGTGATTGGTCCACGTCCCACCAGACAAACACCACTGCCACAAGTTTAAACACACAATCCACAGCGGCGTCACGCAAACTTTCCAATTGTATGGGATCTCTATGCGCTAGGCCAAGCCAACAGAAGCGCTCATCATGGGGCATGACGGCAATTTCTGTGACCAATATCTTAAGGGGCAGTGAAAGAGAGGCATACTACAAGGCAACAAAAGGGCGAAATGTAGATAGCATTTATGTTGGAAGTCTTGGAAATGTGATATATATGTTCCGGCCCAACCACGAATATGATCCTTCGCGAATGGGCCAGCCCAATCACAAATAGTATAATATAATAGTAAATATTAAATCGCTCTATACTACGTTTCCAATAGTGTCTGCTCTTGCCCGCTTCCTCTGCTTTAGCCTCTTAATTAAAGATAATTCTGTATAAGTAGCTAGGCCTAATAAGTACAGTCATGATCATCATTATAGCAGTGTATACTACACTCCTTTGCTTCCTTATAACAACGGCACCTCTTTGTATTACATTGTCCCTTGCATTGCATGATACTCCAACCTATACGCTTATAGAAGCCTCTCTAGCTATAAGCCCTAGCATTACTTGCTTTGTAGAACTAGGAATTAAGATATTAGACTAGAGAGCTTGTTCTACAACTCTAAGGGATTTTGTAGCTATAAGGTGTGTATTATACTAGAGAGTGTGATATCAGTGTAGGCAAGGCTCTTCTAGAATGCATGCAAAAAGCCTCTTATTATTAGTTGAGGTTCTATCCTCTTAAGGAACCTTAATAGAGACTATAGCTCTAATATCAAAGTGCTAGATCATTGTAACGGGTGCCGCCGTTACAGTACATGTGGTATATAAAGCGTGTTACGCATATTCCGGGCGAGCCGGAATACTGTAGTCTTTTTGGCTCAGTGGGATGTAGCGCGAGCGTAACCGTACATCATTACAATCATGTTTCTTTGTATACTTGCGCACTATACAAGCCTTTGCTCTTTAAGTAGCTGCTATAGCTCTCTTAATTATAGGGTTAGGAAGCTTAGTCCTAGACTAAGCTGGCACTTAAGCCTAGCTCCTACGCTAGAGCTTGGATGTAACGCTACTTCCTATCTAAACCCCACAATCCCAACAAGGAGCAACAGTTCCAAGAACGGCTCTGCTTCAACTGCAATAAGCCTGGACACATATCGCGAAACTGCAGACAGTCAAAGAAAGGGAATGGAGGATGAAAGTATGGCAAACAGCTTAACACTACTTGGCAAGGTCAAGGCGGGTGCAAGGCCCCGTGAGGACAGCTATGTGCCATGTTGGAGGGAAAAGAGAACTGGAGTATTACTACTCAGGACCCGAGGAATTCCACTTGTCAAACAGAGATGACAAGAACGATGACAAGGAGCTCACTAGCTCTCAAAAGCACCGGTTACAAGCATTTGAGAAGACAGCAAGTAAGTCTCTCTTCAAGGAACAACTGCCAGGAGCAGTGAGAACCTTCAAGGAAGCCATGCTTCAGGAAACGCGGTACCAAGAAATTCCTGTGCCCAAGCCACCAATGAGCTGGCAGGACACTACACAAGACTGGGAGGTTGCAGTTCGCACAATCAGGTGCCTGTCATACTGACATTCGTTGCACTCAGTTTGCTATCAAACTCAAGAGCAAACTTAGAAATCTCCTCCTCAAACCTACAAGTCACCATACATATCTTGGCTTATCACACCAACAACAGAAGCAATACTACTCAACGATTGCTGCAAACTCTTCTACTACATCTGTTTATGCTACATACATCACGGCATATCATTTGGACACTCATTGAACAAGTTATTAAGAAAATCTCCTCCTTAAGGGTGTGGGCCAATACTACCACATGGCATATCTCTACCAACTAGAGGCCTAGGAACATGAACGATAGCTCTAGAAGCTTCTACAACCCTCTATGATTCATTACACGTCATCGCTCCTTAGTTACCCACAAGATTGGTTAAGTTATGACATAATTTGTCTATAGGTACTCTGACCTTGGACCTCCTTTTCACTTCCTATAGGCTAGGAACCCAAGAGATGGTTCTATGGGATTCTCTTACGTTCACTACATGATTAGCAAGCTAGTTGTGGGTCGCACTTGATTTCTAATACATTTACCAAGCCTGGTTAGTCATGGAAAGTCATGGAAAATGAGAGAACTACACTCCTTTGGCATAAATAGGATTGCCCTTTCCTTAAGAAAGGGCAAGCAGGCAATACAGTAAATCGACTAGCACATACTTCTACGTCTTTTCCAAGCTTCCAAGCATTGATCTTGTTATTCTCTGTTTTTGAAAAGTCAGTGAGGTGCTAACCTCTGACTTACCCCTGAGTTCTCAGACTCAACATTTGTTGCAACTTGTCTAAACCACTTCACCACATCATACACCTGATTGCTGCGTTGTGGAATAGTCTAAGCTACAACCCTTTGGCTCTGTTTCCTAAGACAGTGTGTTGTCTTAGTAAATTCATCCCTTCCTTGGGTGGCTAGATTCTCATTATCTGGTGCACCCACCATTACAGTGCCGACCAGAATACCCTCACCAGCAGGAACCCCGTGGAGCGAAATACACAGAGAAGGAAGCCACAGGATGGCTAGAGTACAAGCTCTGCAAATACAACGTCCGGGATGCTATCGCAGATTGGAGAATTGATGGCATACACCACCCTAAGAAAGAGGTCTATGAGGCTCGATGGAACAACCTGTTACGAGTATTACAACAACTAGAACAGGAGGGAGAGTATGAAGCATCACAACTTGCAGAAATCTGGGATGCAAATAAGTATCCTTCCCAGGAAAGCATCCCAAGAGAAGAAAGGGGAACACGAGTGTTAGAAGCACATGAATGCCTACGTCGTGAAGCAGAATGAAGAAGAGAAAGGATACCAGTTCTACGACCATTAGAATATGGTGAACATGATGGATTTTCCTCAGACGGTTTTTCCTCAGACGATTCAAAAAACTAGGAGTCCTCAGCAGTAGGGCACTGGCGAGCGACACAAAGAGGCCTAGTACAAACCAGCTATGCGCCATGACAGGAGGCATGCAGCTATATGTGGTTGCTAAGATACAACAGCAACACCTCCGAGCTATGATAGACTCAGGAGCAATGGGCAACTTTATGACAAAGAAAGTAGCAGACACACACGGTTTCAGGATGCAACTGAAGACCGACCCATACCCATTAATGGTTGTAGATGGGGAGCCCATCTCAACTAACAATGGAATGGTGACCCACGAGACGGTCCCATTAGAAATGGTCATGCTACGCGGACACAAGGAAACGATACAGTTTGATATCGTGCACATGGACAATCATGCATGCATACTTGGTGTACCGTGGCTCAAGAAACACAACCCCCAGATTGACTGGTGGAATGAGAAAGTTGTGATGAGCCAGTGCACGTGTGAACAACGAACGGACACGACGCAGAAGGAGAAAACCTCCAAAGACTGGAAGGAGTTATGTGCGACCACCGAGCCTGATGACCTAGCCCAGGCATCCTCACTGAAGCAAATACCAGTAGAGTATAAGGAATACAAGCAGTTATTCTGGGAAGGCCCTAATGAAGAGGCGCTTCCTAAGCACCAACCATGGGATCATGAGATACCTATCATGGAAGGAAAAAGTCCACCGTTCGGACCAATATATCAGATGTCAGCAGCAGAGCTAGACGTACTGAAGGAATACATTGACGAGAACCTCGCGAAATGGTTCATTCAACCATCGACATCACCAGCAGGAAGTCCAATACTATTTGTGCCAAAGAAGGACAAGAAGCTAAGACTCTGCATGGACTATTGAGGAACGAATAATGTCACTATCAAAGATATGTAATGGTGGGTGCACCAGATGTGAGAATCCAGCCACCCAAGGAAGGGGATGATTTTACTAAGACAACACACTGTCTTAGGAAACAGAGCCAAAGGGTTGTAGCTTAGACTATTCCACAACGCAGCAATCAGGTGTATGATGTGGTGAAGTGGTTTAGACAAGTTGCAACAAATGTTGAGTCTGGGAACTCAGGGGTAAGTCAGAGGTTAGCACCTCACTGACTTTTCAAAAACAGAGAATAACAAGATCAATGCTTGGAAGCTTGGAAAAGACGTAGAAGTATGTGCTAGTCGATTTACTGTATTGCCTGCTTGCCCTTTCTTAAGGAAAGGGCAATCCTATTTATGCCAAAGGAGTGTAGTTCTCTCATTTTCCATGACTTTCCATGACTAACCAGGCTTGGTAACTGTAGTCAACGTAAGAGAATCCCTATAGGAAGTGAAAGGAGGTCCAAGGTCAGAGTACCCCTATAGACAGATTATGTCATAACTTAACCAATCTTGTAGGAAAATAAGGAGCGATGACGTGTAATGAATCATAGACGGTTGTAGAAGCTTTTGGAGCTATCATTCATGTTCCTAGGCCTCTAGTTGATAGAGATATGTCATGTGTAGTATTAGCCCAGTAACTAAGGAGTGATGTCATGTAATGAATCATAGAGGGTTGTAGAGATATGCTATGTGGTCATATCGGCCCTGTAACTAAGGAGCAATGATGTGTAATGAATCATAGAGGGTTGTAGCAATCGTTGAGTAGTATTGCTCTTGTTGTTGGTGTGACAAGCCAAAATATGTATAGTGAGTTGTAGGTTTGAGGAGGAGATTTCTAAGTTTGCTCTTGAGTTTGATAGCAAACTGAGTGCAATGTATGTCAGTATGACATAAGGCTATCCCTCATTATATATAGCTGTATGCTTAGAAGTTCCCTACAACCTTAGTGGCTACTATAGGTACTTGTTACCCTAATCACTAGCAGCTGTAAGTAGCGATCATAACACTACTAGCTTAAGTAGCTTTAGCTAATATCGTAACAGCTTTAACATTAATATACTAGAGTGCTTAAGGTTTCTTCACCTTTCTAATAAACCAAAGTGGCATCTGATTAGCTCCTGGATAGTTTGTATAACAAACAACTAATATTCACAACTTGTCCTTCTTAAATCCTAGCTGTGATATTGTTAAAAGACCCTTTAAAGGAGTCAGCTTCAAAAGAGCCTAGTTTTGTCTATGTTATAAATGTCCTCCTCTTAATATTCTGCTGCTATTGTCAATATCCCCTTCATTTCTTCCTCTGCTTGTGTAGGAACTAAGCTTGCTTTGCTATGTTAAGTATAACTCTTAATCTTATGTCGTCTTTTAAAATTCACAACCTAGCCTTGAGAGAATTGAGGCATAGGCTAGTTGTGGTATTGTGGAAGTTGCTCCTAAATCATTTTAGCATGTAGTTGTAGTATATCAGTGCTTGTAACTCCTCCCTTGCTTTTAATAAACTGCTACCATTTAAAGATGGTAAGTTAATTGCTAAATTGTGTTGTTAAGAGGTATTGTATCAAGCGTATTAAGAGCTCAAAATTCCGAGACTGTTAACTGTCGAGTACAATGGCTAAAGGTTCTAAAGAACTAGTTGATAGAGGCTTTTTACAAAGGCTTTAGTGACTAGTAAGCATATTAGTTTCAGAGTGCGCGACGTTACTTAATCGTCATCGTAGACAGCTAATTTCGAGGCATCTTAGCCTATGTAATGTTGGTATAAGACAATATCTAGTCAAATTTCGAGTGTATCGTGATTTTGGTGGGAAAAAAGAATCCTACGAAAAATATCGAGTTGGCGTAAATATTGCCTAATCGAGTATCGACTTATCGCGTGAGAACTGTACTGCTGCTTAATTAGGTGGCGACGAGCAGCAACAGTAGGAGCACCTCCCCCTCGTCCCGCCTCGTCCTCCTTGTGTGCTAACGCCTAGCGCCAGTCTTTGGCCTTGACGAGGAGGGCTTCCGAGTGCCTCGCGATGGGGGCTTTGCGAGTGCCTCATTAAGGGCGGCAGGCGGTGAATCTGCCATTTGTTAGCCCTGCTGATCGTCGGGGTCGACGGGCATAGTGGTGATGGCGGGGTATAGGCTCCTTCGACCAGATATTGCCATATATGGCAATTTCTGGTTACGGGCGTTTACTAGGTTTGGATTTCGTTCGTAATATGTTTACGGGTTTAAACATATGACCACTTACGGCAGGCAGAGTCACAAACCGGCGCCTAAATACTCGTAATAGATGCATGACTTCACCGAGATGGACTTGCTCATTAAGCACTTACACATCTATATTATCAGGCATCTGAATCATCGTAACTAGATCCGTCAAACTTCTCAAAGACCTTTGGGTTTCTTTGTTACCTCGACACTTAAAATACACACTCTACCCCAAATTCACCTGGTAGCAAACAGCTACCCCCAACGACACCATGTCTTCTCCTCCATTTAACAACAACACGCCTGCATGGCAACTACCAGCTGACGACAGAATCCCACGCAACATCTACTCATACAGTCACGGCGAAGGGGCCCTGAGCTTGATGGACAACTCCCACTTCAGCACCGGCCGAACCTCCGACACCGCGTCCAGGAGGCACCCCAACGCCATCCAATCCCGCCCCCCCACCTCCCTCCCCAGCATCACCCTCCTCTCCACCCCCAGCTCTCCCAGCATGTTTGCCTCCCTCAAAGCCTCCCTCCGCCGCAAGAAGAGCAACCTTTCCACCTCCTCCTGCAACTCCAACTCCGCCGACGAGCGCGAAGCCGCCCGCGCCCCCCCCTCCCCCGTCTCCCCCATCCCCGTCGAGCTCCCAACAACAACCCTCCAACCTCCCGAGCGCCCTGAACTCCTCAACCCCAGCCCTCCAACCCGCCGCCCCGTCCGCGCAGGCTTCAACGCCTTCACCGTCGCCTCCAACGAGCCTCCACCAGCATACACCCCCTCCCCCACCGCAGCATCCGGCCCGGCTCTCGGCCCATCCCCCGCCTACACACCTCCCACCCCTATCACGACCACCAGCAGCGGCCCAGAAGACCCCTACTCCTTCCTCACAACTTTCGACACCGTCCTCCTCATCGACGACTCCGGCTCTATGGCGGGCCGCTCCTGGCGCGAAACCTCCCAGGCCCTCGCCGCTCTTCTCCCCACCATCGTCGCCCACGACACCAACGGGATAGACCTCTACTTCCTGAACCACAAGTCCGCTGACCCCGGTGTGCCGGGTGAGGGGATCGCGGGGGGGGGGTACAGGAACATCACTACGGCTGAGCGGATAACTTCTATTTTCGCCGCCGTGAGACCTGGTGGAGGAACACCGACTGGTACTCGGCTGAGCGCGATTCTAAAACCCTATCTCGCGCACCTAACCGCCCAGCGCGGCACGAACGCCCTAAACACCGACGCCATGGACGCCGTCAAGCCCCTCAACATCCTCACCATCACCGACGGCGTCCCCAGCGACGACGTCGAGAGCGTCCTCCTCGTCGCAGCCAAGAAGCTCGATAAGCTCGAAGCGGCACCCCACCAGATCGGCGTGCAGTTCTTCCAGGTCGGGAATGAGGAGGGCGCTAAGGAGGCGCTTAATGAGCTTGATGATGGAATTCAGGGGCTCGTGAGGGGGGGGGTCAGGGATATGGTGGATACGTGCACGTGGATGAGCGGCCCGGCGGAGGAGGGGGAGGCGCCGAAGTTGACGGGGGAGGGGATGTTGAAGGTTTGTCTGGGGAGTGTGGTTAAGAGGTTGGATCGGAGGTGTAGTCAGGAGCAGAGGAGATAGATGGAGCTTTTCTTTTGCTTTGTGACGCGTTTGGATGGCGGTCGGTTTAGGGATGGCGTTTATACGGCGGGGATTTCATACCCTTATTATCTTTATTTGCTTCGGCACCACAGAATAGAGGAAGCACAGCATTGTTTCTAACCATACAAATACTCAAAACCGCGCATCCTTCATCACGCCGCTAAACATACACCCTCATCCACCCCATACCCTTAACAACTTCCCATCCTCGCCCTACACTTCACCATCTCCTCCCCTACACACGAAAACACCTCATCCCACCCCTCCCACACCTGGCACCCCTTCAGCTCTGCAAACCGCCTCAACACCACACTCTGCAGACTCCTCAACCCCGCCCCGCTCCCACCATTCTCATACTCCCTCAGCCCCTCCACACCTTCATCCAGCGTATCTTTCACCCACCGCCTTTCCGCTTCAGATCCACGCACACTGCACCACAGGAAGTACGGCCCGTGAGCTAAAGCCATCTCGCGGTATATGCATTGTCGCTCCACGAGACTGCCATCACTGCTCTCTGCCGCGCCTGAGGTCGCGGAGGCGGCGTGACCGTTGTGCTCGCACGCGCCTGCGCCCCAGGTTGAGCGTTCGCCGTACTCAAACACCGTGCTTGCAACCCAGACAAGTGCCAACACGCTCGCAAGCGCAAGCGCATCTTGTTGGGCTAACCAAGCCTCTTGACCACGACGGCCGAGATCGTCGCCATTTACGCTTTTCTCGTCGCTGGAAATAGGAGTATGTGCAGTAACCCTTGCATCCGAGAGCTTGAGGAGGGTATTCAGACCATGGCTTTTAAACGCCGTGATCCCCCCGTGGTGGCAGTTGGCGCAGAGACGGGTGGATGTCTCGAAGAGGGAGAGGAGGCGCGGGGGCGTGATAGAGAGGAGGGGACAGGTGGAGAGGATGCAGAAGATTGCGTTCCGTTTGTGGATTTCGGCGGTCCAGGGGTAGGTGTAGGGGAAGCGGAGCGGGGGGGTGAATTTTTGCGGGCGTGTGCGCTTGGGTTGCGATGCGGCGGTGGAGGGGGGGTGAGGATGGGTTGGGGGGGGATAGTGGAGGCGAGGATGGGGTCTAATGAGGAGGGCGTGTAGAGGTGGGATGTGAATTGCTGGGAGAGATGCTCTTCGTGGCTCTTTAGGATGAATCTGGTTGTCTATACAAGGAGCGAATACGTCAGTGAACTGAAAATAAAAGCTGTGATGCGGCAGCGATGAGATGTGAAGTCTGCCTACCTTGGAACTCCCTAGCAAACTCCCAATATCGCCCGGCTGCCAGTCCAGCTGCCTGACTATGCCAAGGATAATCTCGACGGGGAGCTGCAGCAGCGCATCCGGACTTGGAGAAGTCATATTCAAAATACCAATGCCGTGTCGTACAGAAAGAGAGCGAATACTAATCAAAAAGCCAATAAAAAGTATGCTTTGAGTGGTTTGTGATGCAGAAGACAGATGGTGATGGAAGATGAAGAATAAAGAAGGAAGAAGGAAGAAGGAAAAAGAGGAAGGAAGGAGGGGTGAAGGGGTGAGGAAGGGAGCGACGTTGAAATATGGCGGGGAGGGAGGGGAAGGACGGATGGACAAATAACCACAAAGGTTACGTGCTCGAATGGTGTTTGTGCTCACTAGCAAGCGTGGCCCCGCGTATTTAACCAAAAGCAAGAGACAAATACCTCTCAAGGTTGCTGTTCGATGAGGGCATTTTCGAGTTTGCGCACAAAGAAAAAGGCCGTTCGTTTTAGGCTTATTTTGATGGGGATATGTAAAAATATATAAACGTATAAAGGGTATAAAGGGTATAAAAGGACAATATTCCATATATCAAATTGTCGCCATGGACATTGATGAGGGTTAAGCCGGTTGGTAGTGAGAAGAATTGGAAGTCATCGCGGTAACCTTGGTGGATAATGATAAGTAATGATGCCGACGAGTTAACACTTCCCTTCAACATATGCCATGCACAGAACGCAAAATATGTGTTTATAGAGAAAGACAGTAATAACTAACAAATCCAATTTATAAAAAATACAATAATAAAATGGCTAAATGGCTAAATGGCTAAATGGCTAAATTAAATGGCAACAATGGTGATGGTGGTGGTACTGAAGGTTTGAGTGGGTAATTTCAACATAATTCTCACGTAATTCGCCTAATTATTGAACTAGCAAAAGTGAATCAATCCACTTCTGACCAATCTTCAAAAAACTGTCTCACGTGATACGTTGCTATTTCTCTGGCTGACTCAGCAAACTCAAAAATCTACGCTAGCGTCAATTGTGGACTAGCTCGCCATATCCGAACGCACACGCAAAATAATAATAATTGCGACGAAATCCGAAATCCCACCAACTATCTTCCAACAACCGCCAATCGCCAACCAACAACCACCCTACCTTCAACCCTTCTCATCCTCGAAATGGCTCCCTCCCGTAAGGATAAGAAGTCCGGCGACACCATCAACTCGCGCCTCGCGCTTGTGATGAAGTCCGGCAAGGGTACGTTTCCCAATCCCCTCCGTCCATATCCCCAGCATCAAAACTAACACACGCGCGCAGTCGTCCTCGGCTACAAGTCCTCGCTCAAGCAGCTGCGCATGGGCAAGGCCAAGCTGGTCCTCATCTCTGGCAACACCCCTCCCCTCCGCAAGTCCGAGCTCGAGTACTACGCCATGCTCTCCAAGAGCCCCGTCCACCACTTCAACGGCAACAACGTACGTCCCCCCCATATCCCCTTGCGTTCCTGAGAAGGACTTTCCGCAAAGTCTGGAGGAGTACTAATTCCCCGTCTAGCTGGAGCTCGGCACCGCTTGCGGTAAGATGTTCCGCGTTGGCACCATGGTCGTCCTCGACGGCGGTGACTCCGATATCCTGAGCCAGGTGGCTTAAGGAGTGAGAGTCTCTTTTTGGTGGTTTGGGTGGTCACTAGGCGTCATTTTGATGTCAACCGGAGAAATTAACTTGAGCGAGAAGTGTGGAGGGTACATTTTCCCTTTATATATACCCATCAATGCCAAATTAGCGTCCCACCCAACTTAAATGTCTACTCGTGATTATCAGAGATGACTATTACCCGGCGCGTCCTTGATACCACGCGAGACGAGATGGATTTAATACCACCACCCAATCCGCTATATCAACTTGTCGGCTCACAGGATCTAAGAGAGAAAAACTATGGGCAGGAGTAGTCATTGTACGAAAGATTACTACTGCGATTTTCAAAGACGCACCGAAGCGATGTGAAGGGTCCAGTGATTGGCAACGCCGCGAAATCACTTGCTACAGGTTCGTTCTTGCTGTCGTTGTTGTGTTGCTGTCATCTCACTTGTTATTCTCACCACCACCATTCTACCCCACCGTTGAATCCTCGCCCTGACATTCTGTTGATATGCCCTTTATCATCGCGCAGTGGCGTCAAAATGAACCGTAAATTCTCTAGTAGGGCATTTAAGGATGGAAACTCTTATCATCGCCTGGTACGGGATCGTTGAGATCTCAAATTTCTTGATATTTTGCTCCAAGTCCTGCTCACTACCTATATGTTGATACAAGTGCATTACGCGCAGTGTGTCCCTCCTAGACACTTCAAACCTTGCTCCCATCAGCGAACCGCCCGCAACAATAACGCCTAAATGCTCCCATACCCAGCCTTCCCCAAGCCCCGAAATTCCCGGTTCTCTATAACACACAACAATGCCTGTGGCGATGAAGTTTCTTCCACCAATCCAATCCGCCAACCTCTTACCGGTAATCGGTCGCGCGTAAATCACTCTTGTGCAAGTCTTTTGTCCAGGCAGGCAAATTCCGGTCACGCTCATACAAGAAACCGCAGTTGTTGCAAAGTGTCTAAGCTTTGTTAGTATCGCACAAGAATAAACACGGCCGCCACCGCGAGTGAACACGTAGGGAAGTAAGAAGAGAAACATACCCTTGTGCCAGCAGGCCCATCCCTCACACCCCACACAGCCGTTCCCCAGACCCGACAGTGCGCACACCGCCAAGTAGTCCTCTCATAATCATTCAAGCCACCACCACCCCCATACCCCGCAACACCCGAGCCCGTATCCGGCGTGCCTCTCCCTCCCGGAGTCCCCGAGCGACCAAGCGGACTCAAGCTACGGAAGCGCCGCTTCTTCTTGCTGCGCTCACCACGACCCATCCGCTCCTCCGTCGGCTCTCCCGGGTCGAAAAATCCTAGGCCGCCCGATTGCGGCATGCCGCCTAGCATGCCCGTGTTACTCGAGAATCGAGCCGTCTCGCGGCGCATGCGGCGGATCTGGCGCTCGCGGTCGCCTTCTCGCTTCTCGATCTCTTCTTTGCTGAGGACTTCGACCTTGGGCTCCCATTCATCGGCTAGGTGCTCGTTGTCGTATCTCCAACCGGCTTCGAGACCGTGTACGGCTTCGTTGGGGATTTCGCCGCCGTATCCACCCACGAGTCCCCCTGATTCGCAAGCTTCCTTTTTGAGGCGGAGTACAGCTTCGTAGATTGCGTGTGTCATTGCTGGCACCCACTCCCCAGAGAGTCCCATATCCGCGCATGTTTGTTTCGCAAAGACTTCAGCGGTTCCAGGCGGGTGCAGTAGGGACCATTCAAACTTGTCTGTGTAGAGGTTGTTGGAGAGATTAATGTTTAAGGTGATGATACAACGATACGTGTCGTCCGGGTTGTAGTCGTCAGCATCTTGTGATATGGGAACCGCCGACGCTGTAACTTCTTGTGTAACTGCCTTTACCGGCGTGGAGAATCCATTTGTTGACAGGTGAGGCGCATGTAGAGGAGTCCCTCGCCCGCTGACGGCAGGGGCGGAATGGTCACGCGACGCGGTACTTGCCCGAATCGTTTTGATAGCAGTTCCATTGGCAGCAGGTGTCTGCTGGGAGTGAAAGAGAGGGTGGAGGGCAACACCGGCATATTCTTCAAGCTGCGTGCGGATCTGCTTGCTGATCTCCATCGCCAGCGCCTGGCGGTTCGGAAGGTCCAGATCTTGCACCATGCATTGCGCGAACTGATCCGTGGTGGTAAGAGTCTCATGGAGGTTCCATAGGAAGATATCCTTTAGTCGGTAGGGTACTGTGACATCTGGTGTGCGATATACTGGTAATGAGGGATCGATATTATTGTAAGCTGCGCCTGATGGCAGAGGAAGAGGGGCCTGTGGAATGAAGGCTGGAATGTCGACGTCGATGCGAATTGGGACGAGAGTGAGAGGCAACGATGCCTGCGAGTGTGCTTGGAGGTCTGGCTTCCCTGAACGAGCCTTGCCCATCCATTCACGCCATACTCCTTGAACCTCGACTGGTTCTGTTGCTTCCTTTCCAAATTTGTCCGCGACGTCTTGCTTTGCCTGTAGGGTCTCCTCCCTCCTTAAGCTCCTCAAACCCGTGGGCCTGCGCCGTCCTTCATCGTCATCTTCATCGTAATCTTCAAACCCATCTTCAGCGTAGTTAATGGCTGTTGTGCCTCGTTTCGTTGTTCTTGACGATGGAGTCGCAACCGCTGCCGCAGGTTGTAATATTGGTGTGAGGAGGGAGTTGGCGTATGTCCGTAGTCGTGGAGCATAGCTAGAAATAAAAGCCTGGGGCGGTGCTTTGGCGGTCATTTTGTCTTGTTACGCATGCAAATTGCTCGGCCGACTTAATGAGAGCTGGCTAAGCTGTGCGTCGATGGCACGCCCTTGTGAAGTTTGGGGTGCGATTTAGCGCCAATTGGGGAAATAAAATCGTAGTCGGCTGGCGTTGTAAAGCCACAGCTTGCATACACTGCGCTTAGACCGTATATAATGTTGAGTGTCGAGTTTGCGACGGCCTGTAGGCTTGCTGGTGTTGGATTTAACTCTACCTGAGCTCAGTTCGTCGCGTTCTCGACTCAAAATCGCGATGCGATGGGATGAACGTCCGCGCTAGATGCTTATAGACTAGCTTAAATATATACGTCACGTGCGTTTCCTCCAATTGACAAGGCCTTACCAACCAACTTCACCAAAGCACACACTTATCTCAGTCTTGTTTGTAGCGATAAATTTTGGAATTATAAATACTATGAATACTAGACTGAATACTAGACTTAATACTAGACTTAATACTAGATATGGGAAAATGGTATATATTTGTGGTGGGGTTTTCTCAATAGCCAGCGGTACGCACTGTGTATGTTTTGCCTATCATCTCATTCATGGAGGCCTGATTCATTTATATCTCCAGTCGTCAGGAACAAGCACTAGGCAGGGAATGCCGAGACATTCGGCATTCCCTACCCAGTGCTCAAAGGGCTGCACACCTTCAAGCTGCCATGGAAATAACTCTCCTATGTCCTCTCTCTGCCTTTTATCTCAGCCAAGCTTTCATATGCCTTGGGCAAGTAGTACGGTCAGGGCCTAGTATAGTTTATCCCAGGCTTGAGCGGAGGGATGGAACGTAAACTATATCACAATGGGCATATACCGTATAACTGGGAATCCAGGTGGGTCGGTTTCATCTTGTTGGCCGCTGGAAGGTGGCTTAGCAGGGCCGATAGCTTGAAGTTGTGCAAGCTGGTTATCACAAGCATTGCACATATCGTTGGCTCGAAAGATATGCTGGACTTGGGCGGGGGTATGGAAACTGCACAAGGGAAGTTTTAAACCATTAAAAGATGGATGGAAATCTATAGTGATCCCGTGTCTCAATTCTGCTCTAAACTCATGTCAATACCTGATCTCATCACTCCTTTCAAACCCATAAATTCACTATCCATGATCACACTCATCACTCTTCGAGGCAACATAGTTTTGGAATGCTTTGTAATGTCTTTGATGCGTTGAAGTTGTCTGAATACAAAGCGCCCAGCAATTGTTGACCGATGCCACATCAAGGCCCAACTGCGAGCACCTAATAGAGCGATTCCCTCACACCACTGCTACGCCTAGAACATTCTTCACCATTTACCATGCCATCTCATGTGGTCTGTCACCCTTGCGGAGGGAGAAAGAGGATGCGAGGTAGCTGACGAGGAAGGGCTCCTTCTTGATGGCGGAAAGGATAGACTTGTCGACGGACTTTTGGTCAGCCGCGCGGTTGGAAGAAGGCTTCTTCTTCTGTCATGTTGTTAGTTTTCCCCTTTTAATCGTCGCAATTGGCTCTGGAATCTTACCTCTGGCTTCTCGCCCTGCTTGAAGAACTCGGCCTCGCCGGTCTTCTTGTCGGACGCCTCACGGGCGAAGTACTTCTCGTCGGAGATCTCCTCGATCTTCTTGGAGTCGACACCGGAGATATCAACCTTGTGGGATGTGGCGATAACGTAGCGGGCGTTGACGCGGCGGACGGGGACACCGTTGACCTTGAATGGGCCGGTGACGAGGAGAACACCTTGGTCGAGGGTGTTCAGGAGGATGACACGCTTGCCACGGAAGCGGCCAGCGAGGAGAATGAGGACGGTACCGGGGACGAGGGAAGAGCGAGGGGTGGAAGCACGGATGGTCTTGCGGACCTATAATATGTCTGTTAGCGATTGTTCTCTCTGCGAATCTGTCTCTGATATCCAATTGTGGCGCTGTCTGATGTCCATGCATTTAGGTCCATATTTTGGGTGCAACCCTGATAGCCTGATCGCACAATATCTCCAGACACCACAACCATCAATTTCCCAGATGACAATCCTGCAGTACGCCAGTCGCAATCTCTTGCTCTGGCTCGGGTTGGGTTTTGTAACGCACCTTCTTGTGCTGGGCCTCATCCTCGGCCGGGTACCATTTGCTGGCCTTTTGGCTGTGGTGAGGAATCTCTCTCGTCGACTTTCCGAAGGTCTTCTTCTGACTCTCTTGAGTTGCCGACATCTTGGACGAAGAACCGATTCGGTTTGTTCGTTGGGTATCGGTTCGTTGAGTGTTGTCGTCTTGGATTTGTCGGGCCTGCACTGTTCTGGTTGTCGCGACTCTCGTAGAGTTTTAGCATGCCCTAATGTTTTCGCTTAATTTTGTAGGGTTATCATGTTTGAGTGAGTGGTGGAGGGAAAATCCAAGGGCTAATGTCATGTGATATGTGGCTAATGAGAATGACTGTGTGGTTCAGCCACACCTTGGGCTAAGCTGCGGTTGACAGGTTCCGCTTGCTCCGCAAGGTAGATAGCTACATGACGAACGCGCTGCCCTCATAAAGCTGTGGTGCTTCTCCAAATCAACCGCCACAGATTTCCAACGACACCAATACCTTCACAATGTCTATTCAACCTATAATCACTTTCAAGGCGGGCCAGTGTGAAGTTGATGTAAGCTTCTTTTGCGCCACATAACTGAGATGGGCTCCTAACAACAGCTTCAGACATCAAGCAAGCCTTACAAGGTCACACCTTTGGCAACGAAGGGTTACATATATCTCTACTCTGAGGATGGTATGGTAGCTTTCCAACTATATTGAGCATGTGTCTAATGTTCCAGAACTGATCCACTTCTGCTGGCGGCCACGCCAAGCTCAACTCGACGAGCCAGAGCTTGATCTGATGATGATCCCAACCGATGGCCACTTTGTCCCATACGAATACAAAACCTCCGATCAGCCAACTTCCAAAACAAACGGACGCATCTTTGTCCTCAAGTTCTCGTCCTCCTCCCAGCGCCACCTATTCTGGCTCCAATCACAGCCGCAACGCGCCGATGATCCCAGCTCATTTTCGACCCGTGATCAGAAGATTGGGCAAATTGTGGACTCCCTGCTGCAGGGCGAGGATGTGAATGTTCGCAGCGAGCTTGAGGATGTACAAAATTTCAGGGGCGGAGACGATGAGGACGAGACTATGGAGGACGTACAAGGCCATGGCGACCCATCAGAACACCACCAAGGAAGTGGCGGAGGCGCTGGCCCAGATGCTACAGGTGGAGATGTCCGTGAGGAGGGCGAGCCGTCGAGGGAAGGAGGCGCCGAGGGCGGAAGAGCGTAGGTTATATCCACTGTGTTGCATTGCGTTGCGTACCAGGCGAAGTTAGCATAGGTCGAGCAAAGCTTTTAGGGAAAGCAAGAGGCGTTTGGTGACTTTGAAAACGAAGATGGGTGCTGTATATGCGGCGTTATTGCGCATTTACTTCTAGAAACACTATGCCATTGAACCTGCCTGCACCAAACGCTTCTTGTTGCGTCCCGGCCTGCACTCCTGCCAACGCTTGTTACTTCTTCTTGCCTGCACTTCCACCAATGTTTGCTGCCCAGTCTTAATATTCTCCTCCTCAATCATCGCTCTACTTCCAACGCAGAGCTAACTTCAAATAGTAATGCCTCTTTTTCCTCTGCCGCAGCACCAACAGATGCCCAAACCGCTGTCAACAACTTCCTTGCCTCGCTCCGCGGCAACAACAATCTCGCTCAAGGAGAAGAAGGAGGAGAAGGCCAGGGCCAGGGTCAGGGCCCATACATAACTCTCTCTGACCTTCTCACAACTTCCACCACCATCCCCGTAATCAACAATGCCACAGAAGCGCAACTCGACAACTTCCTCTCCTACCTGCCTCCGACGGTGCTGCTCTTAGCCCAAGAATCCTCCGCACAAATCGACGGCATGGAGCCAACCAGCGGCACAGTACAGGCGGCTTTGGAAGCACTTAGCGTGTCCCAAAAGCGAGCGATCCTGAAGAGAGTGCTCCATAGCCCACAGTTCAGCCAAGGCCTTGGCAGCTTGACGATGGCTCTACAGCAGGGTGGCCTGCCGAGCGTGGCCGAAGCACTGAAGATCAAGGTTGATAATAAGGCAATGTATGCACAGGGAGGAGAGGCAGTTAGGCAGTTTGTGGAGGGGATTAAGAAGTCGGTTGTGGAGGAGGGTCAATAGGGGGTGGGCATCAGGGGTACTTTTATGGGCTACAGATACTGGGACTGCGTATTCGAAACAATGTGATAACCGGACAAAGAAGAATAACTATAGGACCAAAAGTTTAATCGATGATTATTATACTCATTTTATGGATGGCGATGCTGACCGTGGATATGGATGAGAAGTCCCCTTGCATGCGGCTACCCCACGCTGGACCCTGACACTTACTCCACATCGCGCTGGGAAGGAACGACCCCGAAAGTATCACCGAGTACAGGTATCACCTCCTCAACATCCAAAAACTTTATACAGAGGCTTTGCAGTGGGCTTGATATCCTCTAGTTAAATTTCATGATACATTCGCATTCTGTCCAAATCCCAAACAAGCTTCGCCCACATCCAACTTCATTCAGGCCTTACTAATGGTCTTCTCCCAGCCTTCTGCTTTAGTCTTTAACGGCGCCGTCATATCTTTCCGATGTTGATTGTCCACTGGCTGGTATGCCATGCGCTCTTGTACAGAAGAAGTTGTATCATAGAGGTACCTGTCGAGGGTCGCGACGATTTGCTAGCCTTTTTACTGCAACGATGCGTCAGTACTGGGGTATTTGCCAAATAGGTGGTGGGCATGGGGAACTATAAAAGGGTCACATACTCTTTAGGCCTCGAGGCGTGCTCTTTCTCTTTGGCATTGGAAGGCTGAAACTTTTTTTTCTTTTGGCTGGCTATCCTTGCTGCCTAGTGTCAGCTTGGCTGCGTGAGAGGCCTAGCCTTGTTGCGAACTTACCAGTTTAGGATCAGGTACAGGAAAGGCTAACTTTTGATAGACAGGGCTGGATACTGATATCAATGTCGAAAACGGTCGAGATATTGATGATGTTTGATGTATTCTACTACGAGAAGATTGAAGAGTTAATCCCTTCTTATATACAGGTCAAAATACTGCGTCTTTTCGCTCTTTGGAAGTTCTGTCTGACCCAGTCTTGCCCACAGCCCCCATCTGCCCCTCGCGAATTGTCGCGCGGTGGTAAACACAGTTACCATGTTCAGTCCCGCGGAAGGCACTCATACATTGGTCTCTGAGTCCGCGAGGAGCGTGCCCAGTGCCAGGAACTGTTGCGCCCTAGGCAAGATGATTTTGCAAGCGCGAGGTACGCGTGGGGAGCGGTGATACATAGGTGGCGTTGATTTGGGAGGTGGCTTGCAGCCTTGCATGTATGTACCTTGCAGTCGTCTGCCCATTTATTTCACATATTGGATATAATATCTTTCTCTTTGCAGTGTATATCTGCATTTTTTGTTGCAGTTCGTTGCCCTGTCGAGTGGCATTCCCTGATACAGACCGTGTCGACCCCCCGACTATGAGCTCAAGTCTGGGTGTGGCATACCAGGATCGATAAATACATTCACCCCACAGTCACATTGTACAGTACGACCTATTCACCTATTCTCAGGAGATGCAATTCCCGAAACACAAATAAGATATACAACGTTAAAGCGTGCTGCGTCGGTCGGTCTCATTTAAAGACGCTTAACCACAAGTGATTCTGCCCGCGACCGATTTTATCAAAGGGGACAGTAACTTACCATGTGTTAAGGCGCCAATAACGCTTGGCCCCCGTGATGGGAAACACGGATGGAGGAATCCAGCCGTTGTTACTGTCTCCTATAATATGTTCTATATTGCTAGAGTACCGGGACACTGTCGAAGACAGAATTTCCCCAGCAGGCGATGTCAAGAACTTGGTGACGAGACCTGGTGACAAGAACCCGGCGACAAGAACGTGGTGAGAAGGACCTGGCGAGAAGAACCTCTCGGCGACAAGAACCCAGCACGCGCCTGCCCGATCTACGCCGTGTATGAAATGGTGTCGAAAAGTCGTGCAATGATAAGTGGGCAGGATGGTAGGTCATATTTGAGTCTTCTTTGTTATCCGATCGCTCGGCACAGCGTTATGTCTAATCCTCTCAGTCACCCTTTTTATATATTTCTCTCCAATACATGCATCAAAAATTAAGTGGGGATAGCTGGGATTATCTAATAATAAGCCGTGATTATTCGTCTGGTCTTTTTGGTTGTCCTGTTCGCATCTGGTGCTGTCGAAAATCTGTTGAGAAATATTTTCTCTACCTCTGAAATATGTAGCGGGAAAGGTCAAATGTCATGTCATATTATCTATCTCGCCCCAGAAAATGTACAGATACTCCACAAAGCGCTCGCTACCACCACCCCCACCGCTCGACTGCTCTGCTCACTCACACACCCCTTTCAAACATACTACCTCTCTTAGCCAGGGAGTCCGTACCCCTCACTTTTCACTAAATTCGTCGCACATCCCGCCCCGGAATTGCACACAGCATTCTCACTTCGCAGCCGTCATCACGACGCCCTCGTACTCTCTTGAAGCGATATACTCCAGGGTGCGCTCAAAGTGCCTCCTCGGGCCCTCAATCGTAGCCGCGTCCTGGTTGGTCTGGAGATTGGAGTGGATGAGCTCGATGAGGCCGTTGATGTACTTGATAGTCACCTAGCTATTGTTAATAACGCGAACAACGGCAGAGAGGAAAAGGGACAACTCACGGCTTCGTTCTGCTGGTCGAAGTAGTAGACGTAGCGGTTCAGGATCTCGACAAAGAGCTCAACTGACACCGCGGTGTCCATGCAGGCATCTGCGACGCGAAGGGCGCGCTGGAGACATTCCAACACGCGCTTGCCATCACGGTAAAGCTAAATAATGTCAGTACAAAAACATTCTCCAGCGGATTATCCAGTACTTACCCCTTTCTCGTCTTCCTCACCCTTCGCAGCGATCGGCACAGCCCACCACAAGTGACTCGCCAAATACACTGCGCGGCACTGATCCGGCTTCTTGAGCAGCTTGCTGCCATGAAGCGCGCACTTAGTGATGAGGGTATCGTAGTTCTCCTTGCTGAAGTTACGCGTCTCGTGCAGCGCACCCGCAATGATACAGACGGCCTGGAACTGGGCGCGCGAGTCGCTGACAGCCTCCTCGTAGATGGTGAAGGCCTGAGCGAAGAACTCGTAGCTCACCTCCTCGAAACCATTCTGGTCGGCAATCTGACCGCAGGCGACGAATTGGCGCAGACATAGGTCGGCGGCGCCGTTGACGCGTGTGTACAGCGTTGAAAGTGAGGAGTGCATGTACTTGTATAGCGAGGAGGATTGCGTCGACCAGTTGTCGTCGTAGTGCTCGCGAGCCTTGTAGCAGTTGGCGAGCTTGATGGCGCTGGTGATAAGGGCTGGGGTTGTGAACTTGATGCGCTCGTTGCCCTCTGAGTAGGCCTTCTTAGTTGCTTGAAGAAGCTTAAATTGCGTATCGTTGTCGTCGCTGTGGATCAAATGAACAATTCTAGCCAGCCACCCTTGCTCCTCGATGGTCTCGTCTGTCTCTACGACCCTTCTTTGCTGGACACCTGGATAGCCTGCTGGCGGTTGTGAGCCCTCCTTGATCAACACCTTCAAGATCTCCAGTACGCTTTCTAATCCTGACACTGTGGACGTCTTGGTGTAAGTTTTCAGGAGGGTCTTAGCCACTTCACCAGCAATAGCGCGCCGTGTAGGGTAGGTTTGCGAGTTGATAAGGGGTATATATTGGGGCAAAGAAAGCGCTGTGAATATCGATGCGTAACTCTGTAGAGGGGCCTGGAGAAGGCTCAGGATGTTTGTTTGGGTGGCCTGCGAGTGCAGTTCGGGGCTGTTCGCGTGCTGCTGGCACTTGTGGTTTGCGTAGTCGAGGATCTTATCGACATAATCTAATCGCTCCGGATAAATATTTATAGCTAAGTTGGCCAAGGAGACCAGCAATGCCGTCGTGTCTTGTATTGGAAGGTGTTGAGCCGTGACCAAGTTCATGACCTGATCGAAGAATATCTCGTATAACTTGATGTTATCCAGGATGCCTCTACTCTTCTTCGCCGAGGAAGCCTCATCTTCGCTATTAGCAGGCTCATCCTTTGGCTCTGGTGCAGCGGGCTCTTCTTTCTTGTCCTCTAAGGCCTCAGCACCTCCTTCATATTTCGGAAGCTCGTCAGTGCTTTCCTCTGGCTCGCTCTTTTTATCGTCTCCGCCCTCAGCCGCGGAAGCAGCCTCCACTTCTTTTTTCTTCTTCTCACTGCTTAGGCGTACATCTTCCAAAAGCTTAACGAGGGCCTCCTCCTCAGTCTTTTTCCGCTCCTCCAATGGTTCCGGCTCTGTTTCCCTCGCCGCAAACGCAGACAGCCTATCCATGAGCCCAATCACAATCGCCTTGACATTGACATGAGGATTGAGTCTCGAAACAGCCGCTAAAAACTGATCCAGGGTATGAAGGTGAAACTCGTCCGGGAAGACCTGCGTGATGACCTCGAGCAGGTACTCCTGAGCAAGCACATCACGACATTGGACAACCTGTTCCAGAAGAGGCTGCAAAATAACGTTTTTGTATGCCTCCAGGTCGACCAGCTGGCTCAGCCGCACAAGATTGCTGCCAACCAGCAATTGAAGCTCCTGTCGCTCCTTCGTTCTTTGCTCCCGCTCCCTCGAATGGCCCTGGTGCTGCAGACGCACCCAGAGCTTGTTCATCTCCACGAAATTCGTCAGGATAAAGCTGATCGAGTCCTGCAGGTTCCCCTCCGGTCCGTCTCCATTGCCCGTGGGCAGATGGTCGCGGGCTTGTCCGGACAAGTAGTAGCGCAGGAAGAGGCCGCGGATCGGGTGCTGGACCCCTCGGCTCATCTCCATCATATCCTTCATGATCTCCTTCACCGGTGCATCTTCAATGGCCATGTACACGGTTCCCACGGTAATCATCAGGTAGAGCCGGGGCACGATGTTCCCAGCATATTGGACGAGCTCGTATAAGTCGGCCAGATGGTTGACGGGGTGCGATTCGCGGAGGTACACCGACAGATGTCGGAGAGCATCAAATACGGACATATATAGCTCATAGTATTGTTTGGGGCCGAGACTGCTCGTTCGAAGCTCTGATACCAAGGTCGAGCTACGCAATCTAAGTTAGCACCAGGACAGACCAAACCACAACCCGGGTATTCCGCCAAATCGTTCCAATCAAAAAGAGTCACGCACCTGCACTTCAACGCATCCATAAGCTTCCCCGGCGTCTCCAAGCACTTGCGCATCAAGTGCGTCTGCTGCCTCACCACCGTCAAGGCATCCTCAAGCAGCCGCGCCTGGTCCTCCACCGCCGGAGGTGTCGCCATGGTCGAGTTCAGCGATGTAGGATTCAGTTCTTGGTCGGGACAGGGTACAATGGAATGGGCATTGGTTTTCGGCTGGAATCGTTGGGGTTGTTGACTCAAAAGGTTGATTACTGGCTTGCGCGGCCCAGGACGTTGGCCTTCAGGTCACGACGTCTGCGTCTTCGCTAACTTACAGCAGCGTCATCCGCTAGCGCGGGGATGGGGGTGCCAGCGTCCACTTCACAAACCGTACTGGAACTCCAATATGATCGTCACTCACTCACAATAGGAAACTCACTTACGATAGAGCATTGTTGTTGTTTATTAATTATTTTATTCTAAGTCTAACATCACAGTTTATATATCCCCCGCCCAATCAGCACGGCTCTCCCATTCCACATGCTATGAGCCATCCAGATCTTGGTGCGCTCCCTGCTCCTCCGTCCCTCCCACCATCTTGATGCGATGTTTGTGCAAATCATCTACACCGTGTCGGTGATTTCGTCGGTCTGTCTTTCATCTATACGTGTCCTCATATACACATATCGAATCGGCGCTCTTTGTCGCCGCTGGTGTCGATCTGGGTCTGTTTTCTAACAGTCGAACGGCTGATCCTTTTCCGCATCAATTCTATCCAGCCCTTGTGTAGCTCGGTATGAAGGTATGAAGGTTATGGAGGCACTTCATAGTGCCGTCCATTCAAAATCAACTACCTCGCTGCTTGTGTCGAAGTCGTCGTTGAGTTTGACCACACAGGGTACGTCGTATGCCACATCCCATTGTCATAAACCTTGGCCGAGCTGGATGCGCTGATACTCGAGCTGAGCGTCACCGTGCTAATTATTGCACCCCCCGTCGGAGCTGCGACGGACTGGTACACCGTCGTGGGGATATACACCGTCTTAAACTCCTTTGCAGCCGACGGCGTTGCCACAACTGCCGTGACTGTCTCCGTGACCACTGCCGCAAACGCCGTGACGGTGATGTACACCTCCGCTGTGGACGCGCTGGCGGCCACAGTCTGTGTAACGGTGACTGTGCCCCCTTGGGCGCCGCCGTCGACAGGAACGACGGAGTAGTTTGCGCGAGCTACAAGAACCGGTTCTGGCTGCAAGTTGTTCGGTCGCGATATGAGTGGTAGAGCGACGGAGAGCGAGTACAGCGACGAGAGAGCCACCAGCGGCGTGAGTGGTAGCGGGGAGCGCATCGTGGATATTAATATGATAAACAGCGTTTGTGAATTGACTTTCTTCAGCGAGGCTTAGTCGTCTCCAACACAGCAATTGATTTCTGTCTTTCTCCGTTTGCTTTCTTGTTAATAAAAACGAGATGAGTAGCAGAAACATTCCAGACTATTTAGTCTCCATTCTTTCCATGACATCAGAGATATATCTCACCTCCTAAAAATCCTAGGGTTTATAAAATGGCTGGGGGGACCACGACGATGTTTCTGATATTCGAGGGGCTGGCTGGCGAGGCTGGGGGTCGGCTGTGATTGGCTGCCAAGCCTCACTTAAAGGCGGGATAGTGGCGCTTGTGGTACGTACCACTGGTTACTAGCGCGCTTACCAGCCTTCTCATATTTAGACGACGGGCAGCACAGGTGATCATGGAGGTCATGTGAAGTGAGATGTAGGGGATCTATGCGATTAATGTGTCTGTTTGTTTTCAATGTAGATCATATGATTGTCGCGCAAAATGCATGTTTCATTTTCTTCAGGTACTACTGGGTGAAAAACCGCATAAAAATACAGTATTTGTAAGGATCCTTGGGTTGAACAGAGCACCAGTAGTCACGTTATCGGCAGTTACTGACTCTCCTTCGGAGGTCCGCATTTCTTTTATTTTATATCTCCGCACAGGGGTAGCATTGCCGTCACGTGCGAGGCACGGGACGGTGGAGATGGAGGAGACGAGCCTCGGCTCATCCGCATGCTCCACTAATGCCTAGTCAAGTGGTCTTCGGTGCAAATCGCCCTAAGATTCTACATATTGTGCACACGGATATGAAACGACCACTGTCCTAGTTCATGAGAAGTCCATTTACGGCGCCCTTTCAATATACTCCGTACTTCGTAATTGATATCCTTAGTAATTGAACTACCTGAAGATGCTTCTCTCACAAGAAATTGTGCTGCCTTGCGGCCTCCGCTTCGCAAATCGCCTCTCTAAGGTACTGATGAAAGATCCAATGCACCTAGGTGGTTGACCATTAACAATATGCAGGCTGCGATGGCTGAGAACCTAGCACCTAACCACATTCCCAACGATAAGCTTATAAAAGCGTATGAGGAATGGTCGGACGGTGATTGGGGCATGATGCTGACTGGTAAGAAATTTGAACATGATCTGCTATATACGTACTAAGACCACATAGGGAATGTGATGGTATCAGACACTCACATGGGAAGTGTAAAAGACGTCGCCATCTCGTCCAATGCGTCGGCTCAAGCTTCCAAAGACCTCCAGGAAACGTGGAAACATTGGGCGGATACCTGCCAGCGTCACGGAACTCCAACAGTGGTCCAGCTATGTCATCCAGGGCGGCAATCGCCCCCAGGGGCAGGCAGCCGGGGATTTTTTGAGAAGACGGTCGCTCCATCTGCCGTGAAGTTGGACTTTGGACCTAGGATAGTCGACAAACTTGCCGTTTCTCTTGTTTTTGGAACGCCAAGAGAGATGACAGTCGACGAAATCTCAGGGGATGGCGGACTGGTCGATCAGTTCGTAGCAGCTGCAAAGCAATGCATGGATGCTGGATTCAAAGGCGTACAGCTCCATGGAGCGTAAGACTATCTATGCCCACCCATACTAGATACTGACGATTCTCACAGACACGGGTATTTACTTGCCCAATTCCTATCGCCCCAGACAAACCGGCGCACCGATGAGTTTGGCGGAAGCCCTGCGAAGAGAGCTGAGATTGTCCTCCGCATCATCCGCGCTGTTAGAAGTGCGACAAGTAAAGATTTCTGTATTGGTATCAAGATGAACAGTGTCGATACAGCCTCTTCGGCCTCGCTGTCCGATACTATGGAGCAGATCAAGCTTGTCGTCGACTGTGGTATTGATTTTATTGAGATCTCCGGCGGCACGTACGAAAATCCTAAAATGATGGTCGATCCAGAGGCGGACTCTGCCCACAAAGCTCCCGCGAGTGCCGCTGCGAATAAGACATTCCAGAGAGAGAGTTTCTTCTTAGAATTCGCCAAAACCGTGCGAGAAACATTTCCAGACCTCGTCCTCATGGTCACTGGCGGCTTCAGGACTAGACTCGGCATGGAGCACGCGCTTAAATCAGGCGGCTGTGATATTGTCGGCATCGGGCGACCAGCAGCTGTGATACCCAGATTACCAAAGGAGATCATACTAAACACCAAAGACGTCTCAGACGAACAGGCTAATGTCACTCTGGCCGCGTTTCAGATGCCTCTCTACGTCCGCACGTTTGGACTGAAGCAAGTTGGTGCTGGGGTCCAAACTGTTTACTACGTGGCGCAGATCGGAAGGATGGGGCGAGGGTTAGTACCGGTTGATAATAGAATCAAGGCCAGTGCTTGAGACCATTATGTGCGTGGTTGGGCCCAATAGTCTATAGAACTAGAGAGGACGTGTGCTAAGTGCTACAAAACCGTCACTTGAAGTCAACGTCTGTGTAACGGGTGCCGCCGTTACAGTACATGTGGTATTTAAAGCGTGTTACGCGTATTCTGGTCGAGCTGGAATACTGTAGTCTTTTTGGCTTAGTGGGATGTAGCGCGAGCGTAACCGTACATCATTACAAGAGTATTCCGGCTCCCCAGTCAATGGGTTTTGATTGGCTCGCTAGTTAGGTGGGCTAAGCGAGCAATCATTGTAATTCTTTTACCTAGCTGACAAGGGGGCGTCCTTGGGGGCTTAAGCTATTATATACACACCTTAGCATCCTAATATTAACAGGCCTAGAAGCAAGTACGAGATGATATGCTAGAAGCCTCTACATCCATGCCGGGACATCACGGACTAAAGGGGGGGGTAATTGTAACAGGTGCTGCCGTTACAGTACATGTGGTTAGTGTGCATCATGGGGGACCGTCGTGTAACGCTGACTTCTAAACGATAGAAGACACAGAGGTTCTCTTGCGTAAAGGTTTACTTATCAGAGGAGGCAGGGGATTAGACACAAAGGCTTTCCAAGTAGCACGTTACAGTATTGTAAAGAATACTATATTGAGTTGAGCACAAAGCTCCTATCTAAGAAAATACTATCTACTTATATAGTGGCGTCGTGCCTCATGGGTAATCTGGATAGTTGGCGGATAGCTAGATATTCAGGATAGTTCGTGGATAGCTCAACTATCCAATATCCACTAGTTTCTGCAACTATCCATTAGCCCCGTCACATGGCAGCCTACCCCGCTTCCCACTGTGACTCACACGTCACGTTACTAGGCCCTGGCCCTGTAACCATGACATCATGTTACTATAGCCGTAACACGTCGGTTCAGAACCGTCAGTTCGAAATATTTCTAGACCGGACCGCAGTCTGGTCTAGAAATATAGACTAAACCAGCTAGACTAGTGTGTGTGGTCCCCTAACAGTTCCTTAGCAGACCAACTACAATCACGTGTATGAGGCACATGATAGGTAGCTTGAAAATATCTACAATCTCACCATATACTACAGAAGGATTACTATGAATATTACTATACAGTAGCTTTAGTAGAACAGTTTCATTAAGTTTCTACCATCTATCTACTTTGCTCATTCCTTCATGCCTAGAAATGCGAACCTAGTCATGTGAAGACATATAGCCTAGACTAATTTCATATCCTTCTGCTAGATCGTAACCTGCTTCGCATGAATTGCTGCAAGCTGCGCCACTAGTTTGGTTACTATAATGATTATTATAGAGGTGTAGGTTCACTTACCCTCAAACTCCTTAACTAGTGTATCTTAGCTGCTTCCTATAGCGTAGAGACTACAGATGATTAGAGTCAAAAATCCACCTTAAGGTCGACTATGATTTCACGGATAAGTCAGATAAAAGGCACACGTAGGATGAGGGGCTCTGTCGATTTTTAGTATCTCTTGATCTAACGAAGTGCAACGACTGTTCTAGGTTAGTAGGAAGGTCTATAGTAATCATTATAGTAATCAGCTTACCTCTAGACTTCTAATGACGCTTTAGCTTGAGTAGTGCATTAGCCGTAGTGTTTATAGGTGCTTTCCATGGGGCTTTTTGAGCAGAAGGCATCTTAGGTGCTTCTTTTGGATCAAACTTTTAACTAGGAAAGAATGAAGGGATTAGGCCTTTCTTCCTCTTCCTCCTCTCTAGTTGTGTGTTAGGGGGCTTAGAGCTGAAGTCTCTTTGGCAAATTAGTGTCTCTAGTTGAGCAAAGGTTGGTGTTCTTGTAGATTGTAACTTGAACTTGAACCAGTAGAGTCTGTGCCTAGGTTGAACTCTAAGCTGTTATCCTCCATTCTGCTGTTTCTTAGTTACTATAGCGATTACTATAGAGTAAGAGAAGGGAGCTTACCAAATAGCTAGTAGCAAATCACATAGTTGGGTTAGAGAGGTGTAAGGAGAAGTAAAAGTAGGAATTGAGGTAAAGTCAGGTTATTGTTATTTAGTAGGTGTTGCCACCTAAATAAAGTTCGCTTAGCGAAATATCGTAAGCTTCACCCATTATATGTGTCATACTGACATTCGTTGCACTCAGTTTGCTATCAAACTCAAGAGCAAACTTGGAAATCTCCTCCTACAAGTCACTATACATATTTTGGCTTATCACACCAACAACAAGAGCAATACTACTCAACGATTGCTACAACCATCTATGATTCATTACACGTCATCGCTCCTTAGTTACTGGGCCGATATTACCACATAGCATATCTCTACAACCCTCTATGATTCATTACATGACATCACTCATACTACCACATGACATATCTCTACCAACTAGAGGCCTAGGAGCATGAACGATAGCTCTAAAAGCTCCTACGAACCTCTATGATTCATTACATGTCATTGCTCTTTAGTTACCCACAAGATTGGTTAAGTTATGACATAATTTGTCTATGACATAATTTGTCTATAGGGGTACTCTGACCTTGGACCTCCTTTTACTTCCTATAGGCTACGAACCTAAGAGATGGTTCTATGGGATTCTCTTACGTCGACTACAGTTACCAAGCCTGGTAAGTCATGGAAAGTCTTGGAAAATGAGAGAACTACATTCCTTTAGCATAAATAGGATTGCCCTTTCCTTAAGAAAGGTCAAGCAGACAATACAGTAAATCGACTATCACATACTTCCACGTCTTTTCCAAGCTTCCAAGCATTCATCTTGTTACTCCTTGTTTCTGAAAAGTCAGTGAGGTGTTAATCTCTGACTTACCCCTGAGTTCCCAGACTCAACATTTGTTGCAACTTGTCTGAACCACTCCACTACATCACACACCTGATTGCTGTGTTGTGGAATAGTCTAAGCTATGACCCTTTGGCTCTGTTTTCTAAGACAGTGTGTTGTCTTAGTAAATTCATCCCTTCCTTGGGTGGCTAGATTCTCACATCTGGTGCACCCACCATTACACTGGTGACATTGAACTCCCTCTTCAACCCCCCTAAAAGTCGAGGATTTTGGTGTAGAAACCCGTATAGGTAGAGGCGTAGGTGTAGGCATAGGAGCAGGCTGTGAGTACGTACATAGCTTTGGGAGAGCTATAATGTGGCTTACTGGCCAAATTCCTGCTTTGATATAATTGTAGACTCCTTAAAAGTCTGTAGCCACATTTTGGTAAGATCCCTCATAAAGGACTGTAGGTCATATGTAACATCCATATCATGTATGGCAGCAAGCACAGCCTCTCTGTGCCAGTGCTTATACGGCTGGAAGATCCCCACATCTAGTGGCTGTAAAATATGAGTAAGATGGGATGGGAATGTGTATATGATAATATTGTGTTTTTTTGCCATAATGATGAAAGCCTCGCTTGTATGGCTCACATGAGAGTCAAGTAGTAGAACCTTCATTTCCTCAGAGGGAGTTTGCTCTGCAAAGTGCTCTAGCCACTGTAAGGCAAGCTGGCTGTTTGAAAATCCAGTGTCAGAGATCATGATGAGCTCTGTGCCTTGAAGGTTGGCGTGGTACCAAGAATCCATGTGTATTTGGCCCGGAATGATAAGTACAGGTGCTATGACTTTTCCAGTTGCAGACACAGCCTCAAGTATAGTAATAGACGTACGATTTTTAGGGCTTGGGGTGTAGAGCTCCTTTGCGGCTTGTGGCACAATCACATGCTCTCCACCTGGAATCCCAACCCGAATGCCAGTTTCATCCATATTCCAGATTGACTCTGGTTTTATACCACGCTCTAGTATAAACCAGCCGTACTCTTGAAACCACTTTAGAACTGTAGGCTCATCTTGAGCCTTCGTACGCTGCTGCGCAATTGGCTTCATAGTAATAAAGTGATATTCCTTAAGCTCATTCCGTATAAATTTTGTAAGCCAGCTTTGTGACGGGGGCAGCTGTGCTCCGCAGCTTACAGACAGCAGCAAATATCATATTCCTAGTTGCTCCAAGCCCTAGGTAATACTGCTCAAGGATCCATTTCTTTATGGCCTCTGTCTGCGCAGTAGAGAGTAGCTCCCTCAGTGTGGGAGCTGCTGGGCTAGTCGGCTGATGCTTGACTGTATCGTTGATTTAGGCACTTTGAAAATCTGACTGGCAGTAGTTGCTGTTTCAGAGGGGTTCTCTAGGAGCCACTCACGAGCATTTGATAGAGGAGTCCCTTCCATTAAATGAATTGCATATAATTACTATCTAAATACTATGGACAACTATGGTGGAGGTTTTGTTGAGGAGTGGCGGTGAACAGACGCACGTTCCGACGAGCTGCATATTGCTTCCTCTCGGGTTGGGCAGCCGCGTATTGCTTACTCCAACCTTGAGCGAAGCGAAAAGTTTGGTCACGACGATTAGATGTTTAAGCCGTCCTTACAACTCAAGTAGGCCTTAAGTCTTAAATCTATCCCTAAAGTCCATGAAGCCTTCCTACTTTATATTTTTGCAGTTAGACTATGCCCCGTCTTATACAGTTCAGCAATCATGAAAATGCAGGGCCTGCGTGGCAACAAATCCAAACATCCTCACTTTTGAATATGATTTCTATTTCTACCCAATGGTGTTCTATTTATACCACGAGCTGTTCCTCTGTTAAATGTCGCAGAAAAGCGCACTTGGCACCCCATGATTCGGTTGATGTCGACCTGGCAGGTCAGAGTACACACCGTATATACGGCCGTAAGAGATGGAGAAAGACAGAGTTGAGGGGTAAAGCAGTTTGAAGACACGATGTTGTCACTGTCTATAGCGTTGAAGCTTATGTTTCACCTTTTTTCTCAATCTTGGGAGTATGGATACCCCCACAAACTGGCATTAAGCTTAGTCTCACTCGTATCAGGATGCAGAATGAGCGGATAAAAGGAGTAACGACGAATATGAGTCTGAGGTTATAAAATTGAAGACGTAATGGAATCAACAATCGAATTGCTTCTTTGTTCTAAGCACCTGAAGAAATGTTACTATATAACCCCTTCGATGCCTCCTCTAACTGAACTCCTCCTCCAAGCTCTCAAGTCTCATACTCAAATATACAACCGGTATGAACATACTATTCCTTCTCTAAAACCACACTGACAATCACTAGTAACACAACCAACCCATCCAGCGCAATGAAGTTTCTCCAGCTCCTCGCTACTACCGCCCTGCTCGGCCTCTCCATGGCCAACCCAACCCCTGATGCCAACGCTGACGTCGAGATCCCCGCCGACCTCGACAAGCGTGCCTGCACTTCCCTTTCCTCTGCCAAATGCCACGGCTCCAGTGGCGTAAGCGGCGGCATCTACTGTGGCTATTGTGCAGTGATTCAAGGTACCGATTGGGCAATCAGAAATCACAGGTACTACGCCTACCAGATCAATGGGGCCATGAAGTCTTGCTGCTCCTACGGATATCGGGACTCTTGTGAGAAGAATGCTGGGTCTGCTCTCCAGTGCCCATTTTAAGGGTTGAGTTGAGTTTGAAGGGAGCAATGGGAATATAAGGAATGGAGATGGGGGAACGCACCAAAGATATTCTCAGAATTAGTGGTCCAAATATACACCCCATCATCATCTTGTAACTGCATGCAGGGGGACGATGTACTAGGACTAAGGAAATTTGGAACAAGTTAGTGATCAAGTGAGCCTATGCAGCATTTTTAGGATGTCATCGCTAAGTGAAGCACTTGCACCTTGAACTTCAAGGCTTGAAGCGTCCGTGCTTTGGTTGCCTAAATTATTCTCCATCGCTCACATCAATCATACAGCTACACCACACTGCGCTGCCTCATCCCAGCATCCCTAACAGCTGTTACTATATTCCAATACCAACCTGCCTAGTTTACTGAATTTAACTTTCCGTTAGCAATGGCAGCATCTCGTTCCCTTGATACTTTCCACCTTTTCCCTCGCCTTCCAAGCGAACTTTGTCTCCAGATATGGAAGTTTGCTGCCTTTCTGACTCGAGTTTTCACAGTGCGTTCGGTTCCTAATCTTGTTGTTCCCCGACAGAGATTTTACGGCTACGGTAACGTGACGTCATGGTTACAGGACCAGGGCCTAGTAACGTGACATGTGAGTCACAGTGGGAAGCGGGGTAGGCTGTCATGTGACGGGGCTAATGGATAGTTGCAGAAACTAGTGGATATTGGATAGTTGAGCTATCCACGAACTATCCTGAATATCTAGCTATCCGCCAACTATCCAGATTACCCATGAGGCACGACGCCACTATATAAGTAGATAGTATTTTCTTAGATAGGAGTATTCTTTACAATACTGTAACGTGTTACTTGGAAAGCCTTTGTGTCTAATCCCCTGCCTCCTCTGTCAAGTCAACCTTACGCAAGAAACCTCTGTGTCTTCTATCATTTAGAAGTCAGCGTTACAACCGATGTCTTTTCGAAGTTGGAATCGGATCAAATTCCCCCACACCGCATATACGACCACAAGATACAGCTCGAAGCCCCTTTACCAAACGCTTTCTCCCTGTTATATCAACAGGGCACCGAAGAGCTTAAGGCTACCAAGCAATACTTGTTAGAGAACCTAGAGAAAGGCTTCATCATCAACAGTAACAGCCCCTTCACGTCCCCTATCCTATTTGTAAAGAAAGCGGATGGCAAATTAAGATTTTGCATCAATTACCGGAAGTTAATCGTCTCACCCGGAACGATCCCTACCCCATCCCACGTATCGATGAACTACTAGGATGGGTGTCGAAAGCAAAAATCTTCACGAAGCTAGATATTAGACAAGCCTTCCATTGCATACGGATGCACCCCGACTTGGAAGAGTACACGACCTTTCGGACTCGCTATGGATCCTATAAGTGCAAAGTGCTGCCGTTTGGACTGACGAACGGTCCCGCAACCTATCAGCGGTATATGAATGACGTCCTGATGCAATATTTAGACGACTTCTGTACCGCATACTTAGACGACATCCTAATCTATTCAGAGGACCCTACGAAACACATAGAGCATGTGCATAAGGTCCTACAGCGTCTCCGAGAAGCTGGAATCCAAGCCGATTTGAATAAAAGCTACAGTACTGGAAACAACGGGTTCCAGAGGGTTTTAGTAGCCCCTCGAGGGAGAGCTACAAGAATTGGCTCACAGGAACGGAGAGGTTGTAGTAGGAGGCCAGCTTCAAGAGCTTGACCTACTGGCTTTTCGACGCCAGGTTGAGGAGTCGAAGAAGCGGTCGAGCTGAAGCCGGGCTCGCCTTCAGTTTGGAGGTGAGCTTACGGTAGCTCACGCTCACGAGCTTCGGGCCCAGAAAGCTGAGCTAGCAGCTCAAAAGCTTGAGGCCAAGCGGGTTCGAGTAGCCCGCCAGGCTGCCAACCGGGCCCAAAAGAAGCTTCGCCGGGCAGGAATTGAGGCCCGGAAGGAAGAGCGCCTCCGAAAGAAGGGGGTAGCAGCTCTTCGGAAAGCTGGCCTCCCAATTCCTCCAGAGTTTGAGGACCTAATTCCTGACCCGGAAGCCCTCCAAACTGAGGTCGAGAGTGAGGTCGAGAGTGAGGGCGAGGGTGAGGGCGAGGGCGAGGGTGAGGGCGAGGGCGAGGGTGAGAGTGGGAGAGAGGGTAGGAGTGGGAGCGAAGAAGTGATAATTTCATAGAATGGCTTAATTATGTACCTTTACAAATTACTATGGAGAGGTACTTATGGTTGCAATTGTGATGAGCCGCGTATTGCTTCCTCTCGAGTTGGGCAGCCGCGTATCGCTTACTCCAACCTTGAGCGAAGCGAAAAGTTTGGTCACGAGGATTACCCGATTATACTTCAACGTAGACACGTGGGTGGACTTTGGAGATATATTAAGGACTTGGGGCCCAACTCAAGTTGTAAAGGCAGCATAAACATCCACCCAATTATATTCCTTTTGTCAGTGGAAGGCTCATGTGATTTTACAAGAATTGCTTCACCGTCTAATGGATGTAATAGTATGACTGTTCTTCATACATAGTGGCATTTAACGTCGGTGTTCGCGCCGACCACCCTGCAGGTGGTCGGCGAAAGCAAGTTGCACACGGAAAGCAAGTTGCACACGGAAAGCAAGTTGCACACGGTCGCATAGCCGAGAAGGAAATTACTTCAGAAAACACATACATTTCTCTTTCTTACCTATTCACTTGTGACAAAATGGCTTCCTCACACTCTACTACTCTCGATCCTATGGAGCAAGCCCTTGAGTTCCTTAATGAGAACCCGTTTGAAAAGCCTGTCACTGCTGCACGAATATACCATGTCAATAAAAATACCCTCTACTCAAACCTCCGTCGCATGGGAGCAAAGGACGCTCTAAATACTCGTCCACTTGAACATGGAGGACATAATAGGATACTCTCAGAGACGCAAATCAAGGCAGTCTACAAGTATGTAGAGGACTCATATCATGCAGGATATGGAGCGTCAAAACAGATGGTATTTACAGCAATCAGTCATTTACAGTCTACAGAAATACCATCAAAGCCACAACCTTCATGGCGCTGGTTTCAAGGATTTATGAAGGCACATCCAGATCTATTTCGAGTTATTAAAACTAAGGCAATTGCTCGAGTGCGTGTCACTTCTCACGACATATCTGCAGTCACAAACTGGTTTGCAGAGTACTTAGCTTGGTGTACGCAGCATAATATCCAGCCACGGGATATTTACAACTTTGATGAGACTGGATTCCGAGTAGGAGTAGCACCAGGAGAAGAGGTGGTTGTTCCAGCATATATCACAGAAGTTCGTACAGTTTATTATTCTTAGATGCTTTAAGCTTACTTATTTAAGATGTATGTTCCTATGGCTGAAAACCGCAAATCTGTCACAGTGATCGAGTCTATCTGTGCTATTGGGAAAGAGTTTCCACCTGTGATTATTGTACAAGGACGCCAGCATATGGAGTCTTGGTATCATGAAAAATTGAATGGCGATTAATTAGTCTTGCTTTCAGATTCAGGATATACAAACAGCGAGCTTGCGATGATATTTTTGGAGCACTTTATAAAGCATACAGATGCTGGCCCTAATAAACCGATGAAAGTGCTTCTTATGGACAGCCATATAAGCCATACAACTCCAGAGTTTGTCCTACGGGCTACAGAGATGAATATTTATCCATATCCCTTTCCGTCACATCTTACTCATGTGATGCAACCTCTTGATGTTGGTGTTTTCCAACCATATAAACATAACACGCAATGCGGAGCTTAGATATTGATTACAATATAGCCTCATTCTTCCGCGATTTATCAGAGAGCAAGAACACATTTAAAAAGGGAACCATTATAGGAGCCTTTCGCGACTCTGAAATGTGGCCAATCAACTCCCAAGAAGCTTTGAAGAAAATGAGGGTATATGCTCCTCTTGAGCATCAAGAAGACTGTCAAGAAATTCCAAGAACACCAACGAAATTTATACATTCAGAGCTAAAACTTCAACACTGGCAAGCTAGAATACCAGATCTACTGTCTAGTCCATCAGCTCTAGAGTGGAATTCCTGGGCACGCGGTACTGAAAAACATGCTTGCATACGGAGAGCTTGCAGTCCTACAGCATGATTTACTATCTATAAAGGTTGCAAATCAACAGAAGGCTAAGATCCGAAGTCGCTCTGTTTTTCAGACAACTAGTGGTCCGTTAACAGCAAGAGATGCACAGAAAAAGAAATAAGACAAGGCTAAAAAACATAAGGAATCACAGGAGCGGACTGCAAATTATAGGTTACGGATTGCACTGAGCAAAGTCAAGAAGGCACTCCACAAGCCTGGAGTAGAAGCACGCAAAGCTGAGCAGGCAAGAAAGCGTCAAGTTAGTATTCTGTTAAAGGCAAATAAGGAGGTTCCTCTTGATTTACTTGAGCCAATTCAAGACCCAGAGAAATTAGCTCAAGAATCAGAGCTCCAAGAAGAAGCTACCTCCCAGCTAATTTCAACAATGGGCTATTCACAGTCGCAAGTAGACGAAGATGAGGATACTGGTTTTATTAGATTCAGTGGGTTAGATGTGGAGGAGAGCGATAGCTTTTTTGTAGACCAGGAGCTTGATCTTGAGGACAATTTAGATTCTGGTTTATTTTGACGTTAGGAATAGCTTATCATTTACAGTCAAAAGTCATGGTACATTTATTACCATGGTGGTTGTATTGGAATCTATATACCAATACTATCTGGCGGTGTGCAACTTGCTTTCCGTGTGCAACTTGCTTTCCGTGTGCAACTTGCTTTCGCCGACCACCTGCAGGGTGGTCGGTGCGAACACCGACGATTATGGGGTGCCCCGAAGTGGAGTGTGGGTGAGTGGTGGGCGACATCGCCGTCACGATTATGTTACAGGTTGAGTGGAATCAACGTTTCTGTCAAGTGCTGGCCATCATGGTTTGATTACCAACTAAATCTAGGCTGCTGTTAAACTTGGAGCCAACAGGCTCTTTGCATCTCCCAACCCTCATACTCATGTAATCATATACAGCTAGCCAGAGTTCAGCAGTCGATACAGCCTCGTTGCCATCTCACCAAAAACTCCAATCATAGTGGTACCTCAACATCCTTGCTCGTATCGAGCTCCTCGTGGCGGCGCAGGTCCATAGGCTTGGAGAGGAGGGGGATGACATAGGGATCAAAGGTGAGCCAGTATGGGTTTTCGAGGTGGTATTTCTGGCTCTGTATATTCCAATCAGCCCTGGTCAAAAACGCCAAGATATAACTTGGAAGCAATGGGACTTACAGCCTCGTTCTCGAATCGCTCAACGATAGTAAATGCCCGAGGGTCATGAACGTCTTGCATAACAAGCCAATCAATTGTCTCGCGATCCTTGCGGTAGATCCGAGCAGCTTCGACAAGCTTCGCCTTGAGGCGGGGGATAGACTGGGGGTCCTCGTTGCAGTAGAGGTGGACGCTAAGAGTATAAACCATGGTTGCTATTCGTCGGCGGAATCGGCTTTAGTGACGATTAAGGGGATTGGATGGATTATATGTATATAGTTGTAATAGTTTTCTCAAGAGCCATAACAGATGCGAGTAAGTGGTGGTGGGAGATCACGTGAACAGGGCAAGAAATTTCATGGTCTCATCCCAAAATCCCCAAGATCACCGTTCAGAATCCAAGCCCCTTGGCTTGGATTCCAAGACTCCAACTTCGTGCCTTTGTGCTATGGCTCGAGTCAGGTCACACAAGCTTACGTATGGCAGAGCGAACAGGATGCCCAAATGCCCAATTATTCTTGCGTTATATCTGCTCCTGGGCCAACCGCCACCACCATAACAGTCCCTTGCACTCACTGTTACTCGAGTACCTCACTTGCAGTTAGCATTCCGCTTCTGTGGTCCCGCTCTAGGACTGTGCATTTACCTACTCGTACCTCAAAAATCATAGTGCGGGGTTTCACAGATGTGCAAGAGCTCATAAAAGGGAGGGCTCGTCCGTCTAATCTTTTTAAAACCCATCCTTAACTACGAAGCAAAAATCGCCAACAGTTCATTGGCCAACATGAAATTTGCTCTTACCCTCCTCAGCCTGGCCTTTGGCCCTATCGTCATCCAAGCTGCCGCTACCCCCAGTACCCAAATACAGTGTCAGACGGGGATCCATCTCTGCGCCCAGGTCCCTTCCTATTGTGGTGGCAAACAAGCAATTGTACGTATTTTGACATGTTTCTCCGCTATCAATTATACTAGACTCTGACGTGGTTCAACCACCGTGTGTCCTCTGCCAACTCCTTAACTATCAGCGTGCTAATCCTGTGCTATAGGTTATGTGCAACCGTGCTGGTAACGACTTTGATCTTGTATCATGCTGTGCTAATGGCTGCAAGAATGTCGGCTTATCGCAATGCTTGTGAGGTTATATCCTGCAGTTTGCTAAGTTAACAATAACCATTGATATCTTATATTGAGTTGATAGAACGGCACAATCTGACTTGTGGATCAATAACTCACAAAATTTACGGTTTTAGAGACTGCTAAGCGTTCTGTATGGGGAGATAGCACAATATTTAAATGAACAAAATATACTTATTCAAATTTAATTCCTTGGGGTCGTTTTCTAATATATTACTGATGAAGTGTTTGTGACGCGAACATGAATATGTGGTAGGGTCGTCTCCATTAACACAGGGAGGGTATAATCATCACTTCAACAGCATCGCGAAAGCCAGGAAAAGTGGCCACAAAATTAATCTGACAACACCGCCCATCGCAGAGGCCTCCGCACGAGTGCGACGAGAACCATAGTGTACTGTACATAACCCCAAATGAGCCTTCTAATACAGACACCCCGTATCGAAGGCCGCAGGAGTCACAGTAAACGTCCCTACCTTATTATCCTTCCCTAACTGAACCAGCGACTTCGTCTTCGGGTTATACTGCGGCCATCTGTAGGTCTTCAGTCCGGTTTTGGGGTTGCGTGCGAACGCCGCCAGAGCACCACGCGCGTAATTTGCCAGCTTAAGCTCGTCGGCATCCTGCTCACGCTCGGCACAGCTCCGTGCCAAACACCAGAAGCACGTCTGAGTCGTGGTAGGCCCGGCCATGCGCCGCTGTCGTGAGCCGGGCGTCCTTGAAGTCACCAAAGTAGCCGTAGCGCCAGGTGGGGACGCCGAGGTCGGTGGTGTGCCTGACGCGTTCAGATGCGGGGCAGATGTAGTAGTTGCGGCGCTCGTTATCGTAATTTGTCTGGCCGTATCCGTATGAAGGGGCGAAGACGTCGGCCATGGTGCGGTGGTAGGCCGTCTCGTCATCAGTGTTGCCGATGAGGAGGGGCACCTTGATGAACTTGCCGGTCCTGGCGAGCTCGTAGTAGTCGGAGAAGACCGTCTTGCCGTCGTTATTTGGGAAGAAGGCTTTGCTACGGGTTAGTGGTGATTGGAATGGCGGCAGTGATCTCGGCGGTGGTTTTGTTGCGCATGCAGGCGATAACTTTGGCGAAATCAGTCTCGGTCCCCATGCGGCAGATGTCGCAGGTCACACTGTTCCAGTCCCTATCGGCTTTTGGCAACGAGTCGGGATCCCATCCGCTGAGTGAGGTGGTTCCGGATAGGAGGGCTATGCCGGAGATGATGGGGTCGTCGACGTAGGCGAAACTGTACAAATCAACTAAGCCTGCACCAGCAGAATCTCCAATGAGGGTTTGGGGAGCCAAAGATGTTCATGCGGTAGCTGCAGTGTTGTTAGACTATGCCCATAGACATCGCATGGACGAGACGTACTTGAAGGTCACGAGAATGATGTCCTGCTCGTTCACTATGAACTGCCCATCATATACTGGATCAGATGAAGATCCGGTCGTATACCCCTTGCCGTGAACCCATATCACCACGGCTTTCTTCTCATCTCTAGTCTGCGGCCTTGTCCACACATTAAGGGTCAGGCAGTCTTCACTGGTGTCGTTATTGCCTTTAGCTAATTGGGCAAGCGTTGCCAGCCCCGCCGCACTTAGGCCCTTTCCTTTCGTAACCGCTTTCCCAGCTAAGTAGCTTGACACGGGGCAGGATGCACCCTACGCGGAGGATAATGAGCAACAGTCAATATATATGAGACTATGGGGCAACGCACGAATTTAGTACCGTAAATAGACGGTCTATCGGAGAAGGGCAGTGGCGTGTTCTGTAGAAGGGCAGTGACGCTGCAAAGCGAAGATCACCGATAGGTGGCTGGGCGAAGGGTGGTGGGCACGGACAAGGTAATTTCCACAGCTGCCGTAAGCCTTATTTAAGAAGTTGGAGTAAACTCGGACCGTGCCGAATTGTTACCCCTATTTATAGAGGGTCGTCCCTACTACCCTGACCCACCTTGGATGGAGGAGGAACTCTTTTCTTGGGAGTAATAACCCAAAGCTTTAAACCACGCTCTATTTTGCTGGATCTACAGGAAAACCCCCGTGGCCATCATTTCTCACATGGATGTGGTTCTCCAACGCGTGGGTTCTAGGTAGGGTGTGGGCAGCGCCGTTTTGCCTCGGCACTATAGCGAAGAACAGTAACCCGAACCGGATTTCCGCATTTCCGGTTCGGATTACCTCTTTGTTTTTGTCTTATTCCCACTCCTTATCAGTATTATTAAATTTGTGTCTCTCTCTCTTCAGTTATTCTCTTGAGTAAGTATGAGGTCACAGTTTCGCGTCGCCGTCGCGCTTCTCTACAGCGGGGTTGCCGTCGCGACGACGACCCCCAGGGTGGCCGATACAAAACAAGACGTGACGTATACGGGGTTAGAGCGCAATGGCATCGAGGTCTTCCTCAACATCCCCTACGGCCAGGACACGGGCGGCGCCAACAGGTTCAAGCCACCGAAGTCGTATGTCGCTGCCGCCGGGAGCACAATCGAGGCTAAGTCATATGGCCCTTCTTGCCCGCAGCAGCTTGGAAACTGGACCCCTCCAATCTCGCTGGGCAACATTACGAATATCTCTGAGGACTGTCTGAACCTCAATATAGCTAGGCCGAAGGGAGCCTGTGCAGGCGACAAGCTGCCCGTCATGGTGTACATTCACGGCGGCAGTTTCTGGACAGGAGACAACCACGACCCTACTATCTTGCCAGATGGAATGATTTTGGAGTCGGAGAAAAATGGGCTGCCAATCATCCATGTTGCTTTGAACTACCGGCTGGGATGTAAGCAATCCAACTCCAACTATCCCCCGATTCTGTTACGTTCCTGAGAGTGGCTGACATGTTGTTTGCATAGTCTTCGGGTTTGCACAATCCGATGCCCTCGAGTCCGAGGGCTCTGAGAATGCCGGGCTTCGTGACCAGCGACTCGCGATTGAGTGGGTTCGAGATAACATTGGGCATTTTGGCGGTGACGGAAATAAGATCACCATCTTCGGGCAGTCCTCTGGCGGTATGTGTAGCTCAAACCTTTCTCCCCATACCCTGGCTCATTTCCCACAGGTCTGTCAATTGGAATGCAGATAATGGCCTATGGAGGAAGCAAGCCCGTGCCATTCCAGCAAGGAATATGCCAAAGCCAAGCGCTGGAGCCCGGAATCACTGGCAACTTTACCATTGACGCCATGCGCCTTTTAGTTGACTACGTAGGATGCAACACGACAGACCTACACTCCGCCGAGACGGTGGCGTGCCTCCGTGATTTCGACACACAGACGCTCCTCTCAGCGTCGCTGGACACATATGTCGCAGACATGGCCCACAACATTGGCGACATCTGGCTGCCCGTTGTGGACGGCGATTTCCTCCCAGTGGCGCCCTCGCAGCTCATCCGCGAGCACCGTTTCGCCAAAGTGACCACCATGATTGGGTGGTGCGATGCCGATGTCACTTTCTTCACTGACACCACCATCACAACCCCAGCCGACACCCGCGCCTTCATCTCGTCCTACGTCCCAGGCGTGACACCCGCGAGTATCGAGCATCTCCTCTTTCTCTACCCCGTCTCAGACTTCACCGCGGACCCAGCCATCACGGATCTCTCGAGCGAATTCTTCCGCGCTGCACGCATCTTCCGCGATATCCTCATGACGTGCCAGCCGATGTGGTACGGAGAGCACATTGCCGCTGCCGGAAACGACGTTTACCTGTACAACTGGAACCAAACGATCCTGGACCCGGTTCTGGAGTCTATCACAAACGAGACTGGGTTCGGGCCGATCCACACCTCGGAGTTTGCGTACATCTTTGGAAACCTGTCGCACTACGACATCAATGGGTACCCGTTTAACCCAGCCCCTGAGGACTATGAGCTGCGAGACAGGGGATCGAGGTCTTGGTCGACGTTTGCGAGTGTTGGAAAGCCTGGAGTGAAGGGGCGGGATACGTTCCAGGGCGTTGGGAAGGCGTTTCCCAGTGGTGGGCATGAGTTGTATGTTTTCGTTGCTGGGGGACCGCATGAGGGACTGTCGGCGATAGATGGCCCGAACTCGACGGAGGTCCTGCGGGAGCAGAAGTTGAGAGAGAGATGCGAGTTTATCAACTCACCCGCGATGATTGAGCAGCTGGGGTACTAGAAGTTCTAGTTGTAGGCTTTCAGTAACACCCCCACCTCAATCCGCTATCATAATCCTCCCCCATAATTCCCGCCTCCATGTAATTGCGTATTCGCCCCTCAATATCCAGGAAGAAAAATCCTCAATGTAAATGACAAAGCCCTAGCTGCTGATAAATTCGGGCTTTCGGTGTAGAGGCATGGGTGTTCCGGGTCGGTCCGTGCTCCCCGAAGGGGTGGTTCAAACTTCAAACTTTATATAACAAACCACACGGTTATTTATAGCGATTTACTTCTTTGTTCCACAACTCGCGCTTAATTTTGCATATATTACGAATGCGACGACCAGATGGTCGAGAAAGATCCTGATCCAGTGGGGAATCTCCAGGACGATGACTTGGTCCAACACATTATCCAACTCCGAAGAAGAGGTGACAATGAATGTGTAATTGAAATCTCAGAGTCCTATGTCGCGAAACATCACGGCGAAGACGAGATGGAGGACGTGGTGCTAGCCGTCGCTAACAGAGGCACTCGATGTCCGAGTTCCCCATCAAACGCGTCGCCAAAGGAGATGGACACTTCGAATGCATCTAACAACGCATTCATGGACGTACCCTCATGGAAGCTTGGACTGATATTGGTTGGTTTTTGACGTTCCGCCTGGCATTTCAACTGCGGGGAATGTTGCGGCGGATGCGAGCAGTTACAAGTCCGACTGCGGGCTCGTTAGGCGCAGGCGTCTGCCGTTCAATGTGGCTGGACGATAGGTTCGGTGTACCAGCGCGGGCACTGCTGTCAACAATTTCTTCTATCGTCAATTTCTGGCATAATCTCGTCTCCTTCCGTTCCGAAAAGGCGAAGAGCCCAGAAGAACATAGGCGGAGCTGCGAACGACCTACTCAGCCCGAGGACAGTCTCATCTTTACGCACCATGGCCTCGCCCCTCGTAACTTGATACTCGAAGCCTCGACAAGGAACCTGTGGGTAGTGGATTGGGATGATGCGGGCTGGTACCTGAGGTACTTTGAGTTCGCTGGCATGCGCAATTTCATCATTCCCCAGGAGTGGGGGAGATTTGACCGGCTTAGGTGGAATTTGTTTACTTGGATGACGACGGGGTGGTACAGGAGAGAAAGCAGGATGTTGGCAGAGGTTCATCGCAAATTAATTCGCTTCCCTGTGGCTCGGAGGTTCAATATCATGGCTGGCGCAACCCTGTCGGTGAGGCCAGCGGATGATTGCGAATGACGAATATTACAATATTACACGCGAATTTACCGCTGAAAGCTGCAGAGTCGCTGCATTCCCCGCAAGGCGGTTCTAGAAGCTGCAATCGTATTTAGAGATTTAATCTCCTCTTTATAGATGCAAATGCAAATGCAAGGCACCATAACCCGTGCCATATTTTGATAAAAACGCCAGCCCATACCCATCAAGTAAAGACACGAAAGAACAGACGAGCGACCAGCTGCCGAGCAACCAGCAACAAATCAACACCTACCCCATCCCTATCCTCTAAATCGGCGTCCCAGCCACCGTCGACCGCTGTCTCGACACACTCCCCTTCACCCTTCCCTCCCCAACCTCCCTCATCGGCCACTCAATCCACTGCATCCACCCCTCCCCACTCGCCTCTAAAATACGCTTAATCTTCCCCAGCAGCTCCTCCGACTTCCCCTCAATCCACCACCTCTCACCCGACCGCTTCAGCAAAATACAGTAATGCGCCAGCAGCACCAGCGCCGCAGGGCTACGCTGTTGCACCGCCGCGATATACGCGTCAGACACGATAATCGACCACGACAGCGTCGCGGCCTGCGCCTCAATGCCATTATCCGCCACGCTGATGACGAAGATGCGACGTAGCAAGAATAGTACCTCGAATAGCACCTGCCGCGCTTCTGGCGTCAGGGGTGCGGGGCCCGACGGTGCGCCTCCGTGTGAGGCGGGCGGGGAAGGGAGATCAGCGGATGACGGAGCCCAGAGGGCGGCGAGGCGCTCGAGGCGTGCGTCATCTTCGTGGGGGAGGATGGGGGAGGAGTCTTCTGGACGGGAGAGGAGGGATTGCACGCTCGGTAGGCGGCTGATGTTGGGATCCTTGTCCCAGTTGACCCAGGGGACATAGACGGCCGAGAGTGGGCCCACGAGGACCCAGTGCCGCGCGACAGACATGACAGCGTTGCCGCCGCGGAGGATGGTGATGAGCTCGACTTTGTTCGGCGAGGAGTCACTGTCAAGGTCGGGCAGGAAGAAGCTGTCGGAGCCGTGGAAGGAGGTCCACGCGTATACGTTGAGCATGAGCGTGTAGGCGGCGCAGGCGTGGCAGTTTGCTGGCGTGATCTCGGTCAGGGCTTCGCGGTAGCCGGTCAGTCCTAGATGGTGGTGCTTGTCAGAGGCGGCGATATAGCGGTCGCGCTGGCTGGGGCGTAGGTAGGCGAGGTGGCGTGCGGATGTGGCGAGGATGCCGTGCATGAGAAAGGGATAATCGACTGCGATGGCGGGGACGGCCGTTTGCCAGCAGCGAAGATCGGAGATGGTGAAGCAGGTTGAGATTGTGTCTGGAAATGGTTAGATTGAATCAAGAGGGAAATGGCGAGGTGCTTACAGTGGTGGAGAAGCTCGAGGTCCATTAATGTGAAGAACACGGGGGCACCGGAAAGGAGAGAGAAGTTCGAAGGGCCTTGAGAGACTGATGGAGAAGGATAGGGTGTTGTATGGGAAGTGCCATTATTAGGCTCGAGGCGTTGAGCGAGCTGCGGGTACGAGTTGGCCTGGACCTCCAGGGCCGGCTTGGACGGCTGAAGTCGTACGAATGAACATGGCGTATTGTACCTGGTGCATTTGTTACAGCTTGGTTTATTTTCGTCACACTAAAAACGAGGATGTTAGCTAGGAAGTTCAGTGATAACGACGACGTCGTAGACTCGAACGGTAACACGTGCATCACCACGTGATCACAAACTCAATATAAAAATGTACGTGACTCCGACAGACCTGGGGCTCTGGAAATGGGGTTTGAGGAGTGCAAGGGGGTATACGAGTTATGTGGATTGAGGGGAAACAGGGCCGTCTTTCCTTAATTTTTCTAGCCTTGCAGGACTGGCAACCTAGACGGGACTTGTGATGGGGCCGGCGGAAGGCTTGGGGTCGTGATACCGGCGCGGAGGACGCCTGGCCGTGGTCCTGGTCCATAGGGGAGGAGGAATGAGACTCTGTTGTGGTCGATCGATCTCCAAGATCTTCAAACACCATCACTTGCAGGGCTCAGGACCATCCAGAACCTGTGGCCAGGGCATGGGAGTGGGACGGGGGGCGAGATTAGCTGCTGACCCAATTGCAGATAAGCCTTGTGCTCCGAAGCTAAGTTATAGTAGTGAATAGTAGGGGACGAAGCCTGGGCTGGGGCGGCAAACTTGTTAGAGCAGGGCGGTGGAGGGACCGGTACGGAGTAGCTCGTAACTCGTAACTCGTATACAGGTCCGAGTTACGACGGACAGCTGCGATTCACTAGAATGTGCCTGTGCTGTAGTCATTCTCTAGAAAAAGGGTGTCACGAGCAGCATCACGTGCAGATTATGATCACGTGCGCTACGGTGCTAAGGCGGAGGGTCTTCCCTCCGCCCCTATAGGGAAGTGTATATAGTAGGAACGTAGGACTTTAGAGGAGGGTTAGCGTTCAGTCTTCTTAATGAACACAAAATACTTAACAATGCAATTGAGTATATATTGGCGTCAAAGGTGGCGTCAAAGTAGCTCCGACCGTACTCGAAAACAAGGCAATAGAGAATACATTCTGTCTGTGGCTACAGAGGTTTGAGAGAGCAGCCGTAACAGGAACGGAGTGGAATACATGTATTCGTTGTGGTTGTGGATCAGTGGCAACATGAATGGCAGCGACAAGAACGCCGCCGTTGCGACAGCATCCTTCATTCGGCGACGTGAAATTGTTTGGCAGAGTGGGGGAGCATGGCTTCCCAAGTTCCATAAAGCAACACTTGATTAATCGTGGTTAAGTGGTGGTCAGACCACTTACGTCCCACAGTTCGTCTTCCGCGTGCTGTGTGATCCATAAGAAATTATAATATTATCCCCTCTTTATACACCCCCAAAAGAACATCTGAACAGCTAACCCGCTCCTAGTAGCAACCCTACCACCCAAACGCCATCCCTCTAAAAGCCCGGCAAAATGACCAAACAATTGCCACCGACCCACACCCATCACCTCGCCTCCCTCTCCCTCTCCACAACCCTCTCATACGCCTCCTCACTCACCACCCCCCCCTCCTCCCCCCCAACCTTCCTCACCGCCCTCATCATACCCTTCAACCTCTCCCTCTCCACCACCACCATCCCCTCCACCAGCTCCCTAACCGCCCTCCTCAACGTCTTGGCGCGCCACTCCTGCCACCCCGCTAGCTCCCCCGCGACAACCTGCTGCGTATACCGTAGCTCCCTGCCGAGCCCATCGCGCTCCCCTTCTTCCCTACGAATAACATCTTGTTTCTCCCGATCAAGCCGCTGACGAGTGTCATCCAATAGACCGAGCGGCCATCGCGTCGAGCGGGATAGGGACGCGTAGTTGCGCTGGAGGCTGCGCGAGGAGGCGGTGATTCTGGAGATGAGACTGGTGGGGCGGGAGAGCGAGAGAAGGATCGCGATGAGGGTGCTGTGGAGGGAGGTGAGAGTGGAGTGGAGGGCGCCGATGGGGTGGATGGTTGGGGGGGTGAGGGTGTCGAGGTAAGCTTCTAGAGCTTGTTTGTGCGTGGAAGGGATGAAGGCGAGGGGTTGGATGTTCTTGGATGCGATTTGTCCGGCGTCGGCCACGTCTGAGGTGGTTGTTAGCTCTGGTCCTTGGGGAGATGCGCTCGATAGAAAGGAGACCGTGGACCTACCAAGCATTGCTGTGCGCAGCGCGTTCGTCCGTCTGACTACGCTCTTTGTAGCGTAGTTAACGCTGCGCACCATATCCCTCGCGTGATCTACAAACTGGTCCACATCCTTCACATCCTGAATCGGCTCATATTCCTCCTTCAACCGGTCGACACGCGCTTCAGCCTTCAGCCTACTCCGCTTCTCCATCATGTCCGCCTGGATATCTGGCACGAGGAAAAATTCCCACAGCATCTCGTGCGTGGAGAAGGTAGAGTGCGACAACAGGATCTTCAGGAATCCGTCAAGCCGTATCTGGGTATCCCTCAGGACAGCTCGCGACGGCTTGCTCGGGATCTGGAAGGGGCTGCGCATCCCGTTGATGATCGGAAGCCAAGATGCGGGATTCTCGATGGCGAGGAGCTTTGCCAGGTGCTCGAAATCCGTTAACGAGCGGCGGCAGGTCGTAACTGTGAAGCTAGTGTCGTGAGACGGCGCGCCAGATTTGAGAACGAGACGAATCGTGGCGTCTTCAACGAAGAATGAACGCACTACGGTTGTAATTCGACCGTCTTCTCCAGGCTGGCCGGAAAAGAGTACCAAATCATCTATGCGATTTCTAACCTCGTCGTCCTTCGCGAGCTCTACTGCGGTAAGGCCCCTCAGTTCTCGAGCATAGATGTCCACCCTGGGGTCTCCGAAGAGAACCTGGACCATTTCCAGTCGACCATATTTGCTGGCTACCATAAGAGGCGTGAACTTCTTCTCGTTGGTTGCGTTGACATTTGCGTCGCTCCTTAACAGTATACGTAAAGCGATATGGGGGACATTGACGATGTGAAGCAAGGTATTGCCTTTTGAATCAACGTGATCATCCACATGAAGTAGTAGGCCGTCTCCTTGTGCGGCGGTAGCTGCGATGAGTCCTGACTCTACCATTTCGCTGTATTCATTATGGTCGTATGAGCGGCATAGCGCGAATAATGGAGTTTGCGCGTTCTTATCCTTTTGCCTCCACGGTATTAACCGTCCAAGGTGCGGTATAAGCCAATGAGTGTTGAAGAGGTAATGGCCTGCGCTTCTCCCACGAATGTCTTGTCTTGCCAAGTACGATATTCTAGTAGGCTCATCGACACGATTCATAGTCTCCAAAAGAATGTCTACGATCTCTTTATTGCCGAGTTGCACGGCAGCGCTAAACAATGTGGTGCCTTCGTTATTTGCGTCTGCCAGGACGGCTAGAACAGAGTAATACTCTTCGAGCGAGAGTAGATATCGTAATGATTCAGGGCGTCTGTTATTGACAGCCATCATAAGCACCGACTCTCCCTGAAGATCTTCCGTCTGAGATAATCTTTCGATTGAAGTATCGCCTTCAATTCCACTGCCCATAGAATCGATTGTTGTGGCTCTGGATCGGAACGAAATCTCTGAACTGGATGACATACTCCGCATGTCCATCGTTACAGTCTTCGGCCGTCTAGGCGGGGGGGCCGGGGGTAGTTCTTCATTATTTGGCGGCGTGTTCTCGTTATTCTCCTGGATTTGGAAAGGAAAGACATGGGCCAAAGGCGAAACTTGAGACAACCTCCTAGATTGGAAAGTGGGAGACTGGGGAACGCCAATTCTAATCCCGTTTGTGAAGTTCCACGGCTCCAGTGTGTCTTGTTGATCGGCCTCGTACTCGCAGCGTTCCGGTTCCATTATCTTCTGGAGTTCATGTAAGTCTCCATTTGAGGCCGACTGCCATAACTTTTTGTTCCGTCGACTCGCCTTCCGCAGACTTCCTGAGTCTCGCTGTAGGTATAATAGTACTGCCTCAAGCGTACTCAGCGCGTAACCCATCTCCCCGTTTTCGACGTCGTCTATGTAGATGAAATGGCGCATATACAATAATCTTGCCTGAAGATTTCTGACTTGCGATCTAATAACCACGACGAGGAGCAACGACACTAGAGTATCGGCATTTATAGTCAGGATAGGGCTGACTTTCTCTGAATTGGGATTGTCAAACGATGCACCGTTGGGCACATCCGAAAATTGGGTGACCGTTCTTAAAGTCAGGAGCAGGATATCCATCATCTGTTGGGGGCTTCCGGCAACTCTGAGCTTCCGAAATTCCTCGACCGCTCGCCCAAGCCGCAATGTAAGTTCGTGCTTTCCTACGTTTCCCCCTTGAATCGGTATGCCGACCTGTGATATATCGATAAACTCCATCTGCTTAATCTTCGACTCAAGTTCCAGGTCTTCCGGGCGTTTAAGAGCGCAGATCCTCGGGTATAAGATCTCGCCATGTAGTTGCTCTGCAACATACCGCTCGATAAGCCTCTCGACAATGGGCCCGGTTAGATCAGTTGTGGCGCCGAGAAGTGATAATTGCTGCTTATCAACCATTTGGAAGATGTCAATGGCTGCCGTCACCGCAGTTTCCAGCGCTCCTCTCATTATCTGTTCTTCATCGTCGAAAAACGATGACCCAGTTAAGACTCGCTCAAGATGGCCATTTTCTTGTTGTGAACCAAGGGCTACGCTGCCTGACCGCACATTCTTCACGGCGGTTGAAATTGGTCCGTCTGGGTCTGGGTCCGGTATGTGGTTCGCAGATGGAGGCGGCGGAAGAGGTTTATCGAATACATGGTTGAACTCCTTAAATAACCGCTCCAATCCAGGTTGCATCTGCCGCGCTATCATGGGAAAGTTGCCTAGCAGATCATTGAAAGACTTGATGTCCCTTTTGCGAGGAACTGTTGCATTCACTGGCCCGGACTGAGGGTCCATGGTAGAAGGGACTGTTCTCGGGATGCCATTCGAATCGGGCTTCGATATGGCGTTTTCGTCTTTCAAATACTCAACAGTGCCTATCAGCGGCTTGGATATATAGTATACAAGCCATGATCTTGGCTCTAGCGAATCGGGGTACCACAGGGAGTCGTAAAGAAGTTGTGCCTGGTTGAGTGTCTTGAAGCCTGTTCGTAAACCGTCAGCGACCACCGTATGCTTTGCTAGATACGGTCTCTGTGACGCACCTTTATTCGCATACACAAATGCGTCCTTAATTATCACCGTCCTGCCATTAATGGTTGTGTATTGTTTCGCCTTCCCCCTATGCTCGCGCATGCTCTCCTTCCCTCCCGGCGTCGCGCCATTGCCATTCGGTATCCGCAGCACATGGCTTCCTAGAAAGTCCTCTGTCTGAGCAAGATCTGAGAAGAGGGCGCCGGATTCGCGATCGCGGGAGGTGAGGAGGACTTCAGTGGTCGGGACGAGGAGGATCTGGGGCACAGTCAGCTATCCGCCACTTATCCGGAGCGTCATCGCATCTCGACGCCAATAAAACAAATAACTAACGTGATGATGAGCAGGTGTACATTGAGCTGGAAATGTACCCCTGAAGAAGGCGCTGAGAAAAGGGTTTAAAGGTTGCATTCACTCGACATTCGCCTCAAGTTTGCCAACTCAGTGTGCCTGTCCTACGACAGAGCTTGGATTGCGGAGGGTAGCTCGAGTCTGGGAGCTTCGCGCCGCACGATCGACATGCCAAAAAAGCTCCGGAGAAACTATAAGAGACGCTGCAAAAATCGATTTTCAAACTGGGTATTATATCAAGCCGACATGCGACATGTCGATGTTGCGATTGCTCGTGTTGTTCAAATGGCCGTTGAAGCTACCAAGCCATGATGGCACTCGATCACTACGCGCAATCACAAGCCACGCTAACACTTTTATTGGTTGTGGTGTTCTTAGCCGATAGTGGTCCACGTTGACCTGAAGGAGAAACTCTAACCAGGCCCAACTCCCCTCCAAATGTAAGCATTTCGCGGGTAAACATCATAATGCGCCATATGGTGATCTCCACAAGCATTCCACTTATTGTTTATGAGTTGTACGTATTGAAACAAAAAAGCTGTCTTGGCCCCCAAGTTTCGGCCATTAGCTGGAGTAACATCATGGACTAAAGGGGTTTATGTGAGTTTGCTGGCTGGCTGAATTGGGGTTTATGGGCGCTGGGGCCTATTGACGAACGGAAAACATAGACCAGCGTGAAACTAATCATTTCCAAAGGACATTAAGTTTGAACCAGCGAGATATATATTTTAGGAGCCACCTTCAACGCTCGCTCTGCTATCGCTATCCGGAGTGGGACTCGACGATCCACTGCTTCGCATGAATTGTTGCCCCGCGGTTTCAGATCCCCATAAAATCCTTCGTGCCTTGGCCATTGGGCATAGTTTAGGTCTTGACATCAGGCGTATCACGTCCAATGTACTCGGTGAACTTCAGTAACTCAGTTGCAAGCTTGACGTCAGGCTTGAGGAAGTCCTGTGCATCCTGGCCGTAGGCCTTGGTGTCGCTGGTGTGCTTCTCAACGTAGAGGCGGATTGTGGCACCACCGCTGCCAGTGCCTGAAAGGCGGACGACAATGCGGCTTCCATCGTCGAACTGGACGAAAAGACCTTGGTTCTTGCTGACGCTGCCATCGAGATCCGTGTACTCGAAATCGCCAGCATTTTTGACGGTTCGGTCTAAGCACAGGATTTAGTGGGTGTCAGTGAACAAAAGGGTTATGATTTCGTTACCTTCAATCTTTGATCCGATGAAAGACTTGTCCGCGACCTTTGCCGCCAAATCCTTTACAACATTATCTGCGCCATTGCTATCCACATTTTCATAGTCGTATCTTGTGAAGAATGTACGACCATAAATGTTCCAGAAGTCATGTTGAATCTGGGAAATGCTTGGGGTGACATCTGGGTTCGCCTCACCAACGCCAGCGATGATGTTCAGCCATGCCACAACAGCCCAGAGGCCATCCTTCTCGCGGATATGGTTGCTACCGGTTCCGAAACTCTCCTCTCCGCAAATGGACAGCTTGTCCGCGTCAAACAGAGCACAGAAGAACTTCCATCCCGTGGGCACTTCGTAGCTGTTCAGGCCCTGAGCCTTGGCAACGAGATCCACGGCTCCAGAGGTAGGCATGCTGCGGGCCAGGCCGTAAACACCCTGCTTCTTGAAATATGGGATAAGTTTGGCATGGTGAGAAATAATGGCCAAGCTGTCACCAGGCGACACAAACGCATTGGCGCCATAGATCATGTTGCGGTCTCCGTCACCATCACTTGCAGCACCAAAGTGGATTCCATCCTTATCCACCTTCTCAACAAGCGAGTGAGCATATGTCAAGTTGGGATCTGGGTGTCCGCCATTGAAATCTGGCGAAGGAATGCAGTTCTGGGTGCTGCTCTTGAGGCCAAGCTCTTCCTCGAAGATGGCCTTTCCGTATGGACCTGTGACGCCGGAAAGGGCGTCGAAGAGGACCTTGAACTCTTTGTTCTTAGAGAAGAACTTCTTGATCAGGTCAAAGTCGAAGATATCCTTCAACATCTCCATGTAGTCGGCGACAGGGTCGATGATCTCGACCTCGAGGGAGCCGTATGTCTTAGTGCCAATAGTGGCAATGTCAATTTCTGGAATGTCGGCGATTTTGTACGAGGTGAGAGTTTTTGAGACCTCGAAGATCTTGTTTGTGACGCTCTCTGGAGCCGGGCCACCATTGGACAAGTTATACTTGATGCCAAAATCGTTCTTTGGGCCTTGGATTTCTGTTAGTAACGAACATTTTGGGGAACGTAGGTTACCAACCTCCAGCATTGTGACTAGCAGTCAACAGAATTCCACCAGTCGCTTTACGCTTGCGAATGACATGACTGGCAGCTGGGGTACTCAAGATGCCATTCTGACCGACCAGCAGTTTCTTAACACCATACGCAGCTCCAATCTTCGCGATTATCTGGACGACTTCCGGGTTCCAGTATCTGCCATCGCCTCCAATGACCAGGTAAGAATCCTTAGCTCCCTCGGGGATGGCAAGGAGAATACTGGTAACGAACGACTCGCTGTAATGCGGCTGCTGGAATGTAACAACCTTCTTCCTCAAGCCACTGGTTCCAGGCTTCTGGTCGGTAAACGGCTTCAGCTCTACCGTGTTAATGCTCATGGTGGCGGGTGTATCTGTGTCGACGTTTTGAAGAACAGAAGAGAAATTGGTTGTGTTGAGGATCTGTTGGAACGTGGGCGCCAACAAGGTAAATAACCCCACCAGCCAGTTGACGACATCACTGGAGCTCTGTGAGGGGTCGAGGGGTGGAGCTATCATATGGCACGTGCGTCGATTGGCAGGATAAGATCTAAAAGAAAGACCAACGAAAATGAATAAGCTGACTTTGACGTGGGAATCTATATTCAGCTCTCTGTTGGCCCGATTTCTTTATTTCATGAGTGCTTTATTTCTTTATTTCTTGTGTCGCAGTCGGCTTTTGAAAAATAGCCGCCCTATAATATCTAGCCTCCTCGATGCTCTCCAGGATGTCTTCTTTTGCCTGATGAAGGGTCTTCTTCCCAGGAACTCCCTTGAGGATTTCCTGACTGCTCCATCGCTTCACAGCCTCTTTCATAGTGCTCACGTCAAGAATCCTGTAGCTGAGGTGATCATGCACCTTGGCCCAGGGCGCGCGCCTGAGAAACGCCTTGTCTGCGTGCACACTGTTCCCTGCCAGCAAGGCGATTCTAGGCTCTGGGACATACTTCTTGACATATGCTAGGAGCTCAGCCGCAGCGACTTCTGCTGTCGTCGTTGAAGCTATCACCGCTGACGTGAGACCTGTCTCTCCATGTGTTTTGGTACACCATTCATCCATCTGGTCCATCCGCTCTTTACTTTGGTGAACTGTACAGCCCCAGCCTTCTTCATCGACAATCTCGAGATCTCCGTTCGTAATGATACAAAATACTTCTATAATAACATCATTGTCGGGGTCAAGACCTGTCATCTGTGTAATCATCAGTTGATTGTCACGGAGGAGCTCCTCTGCTGCTCATACCTCACAATCGATCCACACCAATGGCTGGCTGACAGCAGGATTCGCCATGGCTGATATTGGCAAACTCAAGATTGACGTGTATAATAAGGTTGGCGTCTTAAGTTGAAATCGACTGTCTTGTTTGGCTTTGTGCGAAATATAATATCTCAAATCACGTGTAGATTGGTTTAATCAACCCGTTTTGGGTCAAGGTGCAGCAACTTGCGGGGTCGTCGAAGCGATCTCAACCTCAGGTCAAGGGAGCTAGGGATCTAGTGCCGATGCTACTCTGTTAAGATGTTTATGTAACTAGCCGAATGTGTTGTAAACTAATATTGGAATACAACGTTCCATATCGATTTACGCCTCATTGACTTGACCGATATGTGATTGCCTGAGACTAGGCTACAGCGTTATATATAAGAAATACCCCGACTGGATTGCAGCGACTTGTTGTCATTTCGTTTCTCACATTTACCAGCATTTCTTGTTCTAAAACCATATTCACAATGGCACCTCACTCGGAGGTTGAGAATGAAGAAAACATCGTTCGGCTTCCTGCTCCAGAGAAGCCTCGGATGTCAGAATCTCCCCCGCGGTTGATAATCATTGGTGCAGGATCGAGGGGAAACGCATATGCACAAGCATTAGGTGAAGCTACGAATGGCATATGTGCTGCTGTAGTTGAACCCATTGCATATAAGAGGCAAGCTCTTGGCCGAGCCTACATATGGGGAGATGATGGACAGCCTGTCGATGGTCAGGAATTCGAGGACTGGCAGGACTTCGTGGCATGGGAAGAGGCCAGAAGGTTAAAGAAAGCCGCGGGGGAGGAGGTCCCAGAAGGTGTGGATGGAGCCTTTATTTGCGTCCAGGACGAACTCCATAAGTCTGTTATTCTCGGACTGGAGAAGCTGAACATCCATATCATGTGCGAGAAGCCACTGGCGACGACTTTGAATGACTGTATCGATATATACAAATCATTATTACCTTTTGATTCATCGCCCCCCCAGAGGCTCTTCTCTATCGGCCATGTCCTTCGGTACAGCCCCCATAACATGCTTCTGAGAAAGCTACTCCTAGAGGACAAAATCATTGGAGACATTCTCTCCGTCAACCATACAGAACCAGTCGGTTGGTGGCACTTCGCTCATAGTTATGTCAGGTAAAGCCACGATCTATAGAGTATGTACTCACACGGATGGGAAATTAACATCAAATTCAGGGGCAACTGGCGCAAAGAGTCTACATCAGCCCCTTCACTCCTCACCAAGTCTTGCCACGATATAGACGTTCTCCTCTGGCTCCTCTCTTCTCAACCACCTAACTCGTCCCTCCCACGGCACCTCCCAAGCAGCATAACCTCGTCAGGGGCTCGCCAGTTCTTCAACAAGCACCGCAAACCAGCCGCAGCAGGTTCAGCTACAAACTGTCTCTCCTGCCCACACGAGCCCGACTGCATGTTCTCTGCCAAAAAGGTTTACGCCGGCAATGACCTGCGTGGCCTCGGAAGCGGAAACACGGGATGGCCTGTAAAAATCGTAGTCCCTGACATCGAAGACTACCTCACCACTGGCGGCCACGCAGCCGGCGAAGCAGCAATACTAAAAGAGCTATCCGCCGACTACGACACCGACACCCCAGCAGACGAGATCAGCAAGAAAAACTGGTTCGGCCGCTGCGTCTGGGAATCCGACAACGACGTCTGCGACGACCAAGTTGTCACCATGACATGGGACAACGACGACGCCGCCAGCCCCAGCGACGGCCGCGGCCCCAAAATCGCACAATTCCACATGGTAGCATTCACCGCCAAGATCTGCGAGCGGTACACGCACATCTACGGCACGACGGGCGAGATCTACGCAGACAGCGATTGCATCACCGTCACGTATTTCACGAAGCCGACGCGCCCGCTCGATGCAAGGAAGGAGGCCGCGTTTGAGAGTAAGAAGTTCTATCCGCATTTGGCGGGTGGTGGGCATGGAGGGGGGGATGCGGGGCTGGCGAGGCAGTTTGTGTTGGCGATTGATAGGGTGAAGAGGGGGGATGATTTGGTGACGGCGCAGAGGGAGGAGTTGGGGTGTTCGATTGAGGAGGTTATTACGAGTCATGCGATGGTGTTTGCGGCGGAGGAGGCGAGGAGGAACAAGGTTGTGTTGGATTTTCCTGAGTGGTGGAAGAGGGAGGTGGTATTGAAGTGAATATTGCTGTTGGTTTCATACGTCGACATGATTCTTGGGAACTTTGCTTAAGCTCGTCAAGGAATATATGGTACCGTAGTAATGATATGCTTATGATGCGATTGTATCGCTCTATACTCTACAATATATGCATTGCTGGTCCTTCCGCTAGTCTTTGTCTACACGCATCCATTAACCCTCAGCTTCGATACCATCATAGCTGTTTGACTTGTGCTTCGGTTGGAACAGGAAATCTTTATGCGCTGGGCCCAAAAACATCTCACTATTGCATAGTTAGCTTCCAATTCTCTGTAGTTCAAGCTTCAGCACAACATACCTGATCTTGATCCAATCCTTATAATTAGCACTCGCCAACAGAGTCTCCATGTCATCTCTCGACCTATATGCCGGCGGCCTATCCTGCAGGCTGGGCGGCAGATGCTCTAGAATACCAACCGGCACGTATCTATGCGCAAAGCTGAGCCACTCCAGCAAGAATCGTCTAGTCTGACCGACACCCATCTCATCACTGCCCCATGCGTCGAGCCCATATCTCGCGAACTTCTCAATATACGCAAGACGTTCAGTTGATGACTTATCGATATACTGTCCAGCTTGAATCTCCTCAAATAACCAAGGCTTGATGAGTGCTCCACGCGCAAGCATGACGGAATCCACGCCGCCGTTTTGGACATGGTCGAAGTAGTCGACGTGCGAGTAGCAATCACCGTTGCCGATGAAGTACAGCTTCTCCCCGTTCGGCAGGTCTCTCGCATCTGGCTCATTAATGGTATCGGTTAACTCGTCCTTCTTCTTATGGTAGCTCTTTATTTGAGCGGCACACTCGGCGATATAGCTCCAATCAGCGCTCTTCGTATACCTCTGCTGCCTGCTGCGTCCATGCAGCGTAATTGCTGCGCAGCCAGGAGGACCCAGTCGATCACGCGACTCGAGACCACCGAAAGCAAGACGCTCAATGGTCTTAGTAGCGGTGGGTTTGTTGTCGCGGGTGCCCATGCGGATCTTAGCGGTTACGGGGACGTCCAAAGAGACCGCATTCATGCCGCGAATCATCTTCTCGAGCTTTGACGGAGCATCAAGGAGCCCTGAACCAGCACCGGTCTGGTACACAAGCTCAATAGGGCAGCCGCAGTTGAGATCAATGCTGCGGAGGTTGGGCACGAGGGTCACAAGTGCCTCGGTTGCCTTGAAAGCCATCCACGGCTTACTCGAGGAAATCTGGACACCAAACTTCAGATCTTTGGCGTTATCATAGTTGTGAACAGTTGATGTAGGTGTGTATTTCGGAGGTGTGAGCTCGGACTCGTGAGCCTTCATTAAAGCCCACTCTCCCTTTCCACCCTTGATGATCGACTCGGACATGGCCATCTCGGAATACGTGATTTCGGCCCCTAGTTCAACACATAGGCGTCTGAATGGCAGATTGCCTTGTGTTGTTAACGGAGCTAAAACTGGTGTCTCGGGGCCGTAGTAGAGTCGGCGCTTCTCAGATGCGCGGAAGGGCGGGTCCACAAACTGGGCACGGTGGTCCTCGGTGTCTCCTTTCTTTTGGTTGTGAAAGATCTCCGAAGCCTTTGTCTCTTTCTCGAGCCATGCATTGTACTGATCTGACCTTACGGTCTTGAATCTCCTCCTAGCCAGGTCAAGTTTATCTGCTGTTGACACAATGTTGGCCACTCCAGCCCTATTTTCTTCGTCTTCGAGCTCAGCAGCTGTTGCTCTGGCTGGGTCGATTGTGAGAACAAGCTCTTTTCTGCCGTCTTCCCTCTCAATCTTCTCCATATGGCTCGAGACGAACCGGCATTTCCAGCCGGCATAGCATCTGCCATTGACCTCCCACACCGGGCACTTTCCACTAAATGTAATAAGATCTTCCCGTTTGCCTTCTTTCAGGTAATTGCGGAGGTCGTGAGAAAGGTTGCATCTCTCTCCAAATGAGCATGGCTTTGGCGAGAACTCGGATGAATTGGCGACGCTATTGCACAGCTTGATGAAATCGTTTGACGACCCAAAGTTGCGGGAAGTATTCTGACCCCTCTCCTTCTTCTTTTTCTTCTTGTCGCCGCCGTCTCTATTATCCCTATCATCTACGGCATATTTTTTGCCTTCGGCTTCGTCGTCCTGAGCAGCAGCTGGCTCTGATGGGGTCGCTTCCTTTGCAGGTCTATGTATGAGATATCTAAAGGCCAAGTCAGTCTGGCAATGTAGGCGCATGCAGGGCGGGGATTGGGGTGGTTGCCACTTACTCTGCCTTGATCATAGCCACCCCCCGGCCACCGTCTCTAGAATCCGATTTGACGGGCGTAGACATATCGTCCCCCCCAAGCTTCGGCCTCTTGGCAGAAGATTCCAAAGCTTCTTCGGCATTGTGTGCGCCGCCGAGGCCATTGCTTGGAACGGTCTCAGCCGTGCCTCCAGTGGTGTCGACTGGTACCTGTTCTCCAACTGCGACATCGTCCAATGGCCTTTTTGAGGGCACAGAGGCCAATGTATCACCCATCTTTCCGCACTGGTCGTAGAAGTCGGGCTAGAGCGCGAGAATTTTCGAATGCGTTGGTTGAAGAGTGTTGTTCAATTATTGACATGGTCAATATTTTTCGGTGGATGATTCGCCCATAGAGTGTTATCTTAGCGTAAGGCTGAATGGACCCCTCTCCCCATTGGCTTTCATGTAATTAATGTTCCTGTTCCTTTTCCCATAAATCCTTTTGCTGGTTTATAAAGTCTTGTTAGTAGTGGCATATATTATCTCGGTGTCTTTTTATGATATTTAGCTTTTCGGAATGATTATTTACTAATATCGAGATTCCTCCAGCGCCAGTCGCATTAGCATTGACGTATTTATTTGGCTTATGGACAGGGGTGGGTACCTACCCCCAACCCAATCTTACGCGTCTATGCGTTGGGAACCGACTTGGATGTTAACAGCCTCCTTCATAATTTCATATGATAGCCTCCTGACGAAACAAACGGCAACTTCAACAGAGGACAATGCGAAGGGGGGGATTATAGGGTTGAGAGAAACGATGGCTGACCAGCGGAAGTCCCTGGGCAAGACGCGATCACCGCTCAAGACGAAGTTCATACGATCCCAAAAGATCATGCAGTCATCTCCGACGGACACTCGGTCAGACGATATCCCAGAAGACTCAGAACTAGTTCAGGCCAAGGGCCCTTCACGCAGCCATACTCATGGCCATCTATCAACTAAAAGTACCGACAAGCAGAAAGGAAGCAGCAGCAAGGACCCCCGCTCTCGCTCACAATCTCAATCACAAGCATCAGCAAGAAGCCCCGTAGCTGGTGCCTCAGTTCCCAAGCTCCCTGCCTCAATCCATGAGAGCAATGGGCCTGTTATAAGTCCGATTGTCCGTGAAGGATCTCCAGCAGTTTCAGCCGGCTTAGTTGCCAACGAACGCCGGCCGATAGTGTTGCGGTCAACCTCCGCTATTGCAGGAAAGCCAACAAGCAGTTCAACTACACCACTCACTACCCCCAAGCCACCATCCCAGTCTAAGAAGACTGGGAAACACGCATACTTTCCTCCTCCGCCGGATACGAAGGAAGAGCGTGATGTGTTACCTGCACCAGCATCTGGCATGTACTGGTCCCGCGCTCCCACATCCGGCGCCCCTCACACCGCGCTCCGCGCACATACAACAACCGCCATAGGTTCAAATATCTACATTTTTGGCGGCTGCGACTCACGGTCCTGCTTCGATGAAGTCTATGTCTTTGATGCGGACGCCTTCTACTGGTCCTCGCCCCTGGTCACAGGCGACCTCCCAGTGCCTCTGCGCGCCATGACATGCACCGCCGTGGGCAAGAAGCTCGTGATTTTCGGAGGAGGCGACGGGCCCATATACTACAATGATGTCTATGTCCTAGATACCGTCAACTTCCGCTGGTTGAAGCCTGTCATAAGCGGCACCCCGCCCAGCAAGCGGAGAGCACACACCGCATGTCTCTACCGTAACGGTATCTACGTCTTTGGGGGCGGCGATGGCGTGCGCGCCCTAAATGACGTGTGGCGCCTAGACGTATCGGATGTGACCAAGATGTCATGGAAGCTCATCTCCGCGCCTTCGAGTAGCACATCCTCCTCCCCAACCGGCGACCGACACGACCTCAAATTCCGCGCCGACCGCGACATCAAGCCCAAAGCGCGCGGCTACCACACCGCCAACATGGTCGGCGCGAAACTGATCATCTTCGGCGGCTCCGACGGCGGGGAGTGCTTCCGCGACGTCTGGGTCTTCGACGTGGACACGCTCTACTGGAAGCCTGTCAACATCCCCGTGTCATACCCGCGCCTCTCTCACACCGCCACGATCGTCGGGTCCTACCTCTTCGTCATCGGCGGCCACGACGGCGTCGAGTACAGCAACGAGGTCATGCTGCTCAACCTCGTCAACATGCAGTGGGACAAGCGCATCATCTACGGGAAGCCGCCGAGCGGGCGCGGATACCACGGCACCGTGCTGCATGATAGTCGGCTCTTTGTTATCGGTGGCTTCGACGGCGTGACGGTATTTGAGGATGTGTATATCCTCGAGCTGGCGGTGCATGCTTATTACTCCCAGATCTCGCATTATACTATTGATGTCTAGGATGCCGTGGGCGGCCGGGCGCCGGGTTCGCAGTCACCAGAGGAGAGGGGTTTATGACGACGACGATCAGCTGGCGTTTAACCCCTCTCTTGACTCTCCCTCACATGGCTGGCACGTGGCTACCCCTCCATTAGGCGGTCTAGAGCTTTTCCAAGCCTGGCCCAGATCTGGTGTTCGCAAGGAGAGCCCGTTGCGTTGTAAGCAAGCCATGGTGGAAGGGCCGGATGCTGGGAGCACTCCTATTCGCGCCCGGTTGGTGTGAAAGTTTTTGCGCTTGGCGAATCGGGAGGTCCCGGATGAAGGCTAAGCCGCTCGGTGGAACGGGGTTTTGTGGGGTACAGAATTACTGATGGACGTCGGATGCGTCACACTGCGCTTCGGGATTTGCAGCTTTTGTTTATCGTCTGAGGATTGGTTTTTATGACGGGGCTGAACCGGTGAAGATTTTCTTGGGTATGAAAGAGTCATTTGGCACTTGATGTGGATGGCACTGGAGTGGCACGGATGGCGGGGTGCATTTTATGGACGGTAAGAGAGGAAAAGGTGTCTTTGAATAAATGAACGAATTAATCTATCCACTGATAAAAGCCCGAGCCTCATCGCATTTTGCGAGAGTATCAATCGCCGCCTTTGCCCATATGCCGGCTGCGCGAGTAGTAGTACAGATTTAACAATGCTTGAGCACAAAATTGGCCCAACCGAAAATGCTCCAAAGAGAGAAGATGCTGCCCTATTTACATCCCGGGCGTCCTTGCGCGGATTCCCCAACGCCTTCGTGTTCGTTAAAATGTTCACGCTTAAAAGGAAGATATGCGGTATCGCCGTCGTTTTCCCGTATTTTCCGTATATTCCAACTTGAGATGTTTAGTTCTTGGCCTGCTTGGTTGCCGCCGCCGCCGCTGCTCCCTCTTGTTGCTTGCGGGCTGCGATCTTCTGCTCCTCGGCCTCCACCATATCTATAACCTGTCAGCTCGGCTCAAACACGAATCCGTCGCTCCGACGTAGTAGGATTAGCTTACCTTTCCACAAATCCTCTCCAGGATACATCTCGTGGTGAATCTTCTTCTCGATCATGTGCTTGTGCTCGGGATCATTGGGGTCAACGACCATCACTGTCTCCCATCTGCCCCTACCCTTATTCGCGTCTCCCACCTCAAAGAGTGCCGTCACGACCAGCACAGCCAGGGTCAGACCCTGAGCGTACACTCTCGCCTGGACCAATTTCTGGGCCTTCGACAGATACGGGTTGTTGCGCACCAGCTGCAGGGCAACACCCATGCTGGCAATCCACGACGCCGTCACAATGGGGTATCTGTTGTCACGACCCCACTGCTTGAACTTATCGAAGGTGGTGTCGTTCTCCCGTGCAACCGCCATGTCTCGCGACGCCTGGTCCTTGTACAGGTTCTTCGGCATGCTCTCGAATTCGTAGCTGCGCGAGGCGCGGTCCGCGGCGACGATGGCGCAGAAGGTCGAGGAGGAGGTGATGAGGAAGGACTTCATGGGGAGGGTAAGGCCGCGGATGATGGCATAGCGGCGGCTTGCGAGACCGAGGCCGGTGAGACCAATTGCTGTGCCAAGGGCGAGACCTTTCATGCCACCTTTGAGAGTGACTTTGTAGTGAGCCTCCTCTTGTTCTTTGGTGAGGACCTTCATGGTTGATGTGTGGTGAGTATCTTATCGGTGTTGGATTAGTGGATGGGGAATGTCCCCTAAAACGTTGATGTTTGTTTGCTATTGCCCAGATTGATGAGTTGTCTTGGGATTTGCTGGGCAGTGGGGGAAAGCTGGTATTTGTTTGTCGGAGTTATGGTGGAGATGGTGGAAAGCTGTAGCGTGACGCAAGAATTCAGATCGACTGAATAGGTTTAGCGGGCACGGACACCTCCCGTTCCACCGAAGCCACCGGTTACGTAATCCGAAGGCAGATGTGGTCAAACAATAACTTCTAGAAACCATACTTCATTGGCCTATTTGATTATTTTCGATGTGGCTGTATTTCATCCATCGTACTCCCTATGATGTTAAAGAGTTCCAAGAGCCAGCTGATAGGGAACTTTTTTGTCTGTGAGCGAAGGAATGGGCTCGTACAGGACCGGATTAACTGCAGATCACAGTCTCGACTACAATATATAAGAATACGGGCTGGGCTTCGGAAAGAAGGGATAATATTGCGGGGATGCACACTCGTATACTGTTCTGGACACAAGATCAAGCTACAGTGGTATAAAAATGGGTATCTTCCTGGAGCTGTGGAATTAAGCTCAACGATGGTCTTTGAAGCGTTATCTGATGGAAATGCAGAAGAATCGTCTGTGCGTACATCCAGAAGAAAGGCGGCTTCGGGATGGGACCTCAAGATCGCCAGATCTGTGATGCCAGCCCTCGAATCCAGGCCCCGTTAAAATGTTGAACGTCGTCCCAGGCGAAATTTTGAGGGTCCAGGATATGTGGACTCCCATGTCCTGGCTGTTGTCCTGACTGTCAACACTGATCGTATTTCCGTCTTTAAGAGTGTCATTTCGAGTTTGGGAGTCAGTGGTGGATGGGGTCTCCTGAATATTGGGGATCTTCAGACCGCTCTAGCGTTGACGCTTCTCTTCATCCCTTTACCTTACGTCACGAGATATATCGTTGTCAGGTTCCAAAGAAGGGGGCAAGCGTGTCAAGCTAGAGTATCAGCTGACACAGAACTGTGATGTGATGTTGCGGTCTCGAGAGAAATGAGCGGCCGGAATAATTCCTCAACTTTCAAAAGCAACTAGGACGCATATGCTCTAGCCCAGGTTGACCTAGCTCCCGTTTCGCGTGTTTTATTGTCATTGCCATGCACCATAGCTCGCGACCAATTTCACAGAGTCTTGGGAGATCAAATGTCCCAGTTCTTCATGCGGTGGTGGGAGCTGTATACGAAGCATATCCGTCATGTTTTGAACAGAAAAGCGCAACTATGGTCTAGGTTCAAAAGATGCTCAACCATTTCACGGCTCTGTCACTAAACTTTACTGCAATGTACGGTACCGCCCTCCGCATGGCCATGACTCGGCTTTCTTGTGTTCTACTACACCTCTAGTAGCCTTGTGGAACTTTGGGTTACCCGTGAAACTAGGACTTGGAGCCATGATTGGGCTCTAACTTCGGTAAGACACTCCGGGACAAGCGGTTCCAAGGGGCAAACACTTAGCTGCTCAACACGGCATATCGAGTTCTGCCGTCACTGAAGGATGGTCAGCTTCGATATCTGAGGTCACCGCCACCAACGGTCATTCAAAGTCAATGTCTGAGCTCAAGTGAACGTCACTCGCTGGCGACAGCGGTGACAGGAGTGACAGATAGCAACAGGGCCGAATCGGACTTCAAGCCATGGGATGCTTTCGGGGACCCCAGAAGCTGTATAGATGCGCGTTTGACATGAGAGGAGGAGTCGACCAGGAGTCGCGCGACCAGGAGTTCAACCTGCCGTTAACCAGGAACTGTACCAGGGACTTTTTACCTTGTAGTAGAGCAATTTAGATTTGCTGTAACACTGCTCTATTTTGTAGCAGCCCCATAAAACTAGCCGTAGTAGGAAATCTAAACCCTAGTAGGCTTAGCATCATAATTGCCTAATTAGAATTGCGGCTGCTACAGTGTAGCAGCTAGGGTTACTATCTATAAGTAGTTAGTTAAATTGAATTGGGTTAGCTGTAAAACTATGTTCTAACATATGAAGATGAAGTTGGTGATAATTCCATTAATCTATATATAATAATTACAGTATGAATACTTCCTATTTAACATTCTAGTTAACGTTCTAGGCTAATATGCCTCCTATCTAGCCTTCGAATCTACTGAATATACCCTATAGCCCCCCTATTCCTTTGTCTAGCTTTCTGAATAGCATTAGATGGCAGTAGCCACAGCCATCTAACTGTTATGGCTATGGTAACATAACGTCATGGTTATAGGGCTAGCAGGGCTAGGCTCTAGTAATGTGACTTATAAGTCACAAGGCTAGCAGGACTAGGCTGTAGTGTGACCTAGCTAGTGGATAGTTGGCAAACTAGTAGATAGTTAGATAGTTTGAAATAGTAGATAGTTAGATAGTTTGAAAAAGCCCAACTATCCTAACTATCCTAACTATCCCAACTATCCCAACTATCTATAAGGCACGACGCCACTATATAAGTAGATAGTATTCCCTTAGATAGGAGCTTCATGCTCAACTTAATATAGTATTCTTTACAATACTATAACGTGTTACTTAGAAAGCCTTTGTGTTTAATCCCCTGCCTCCTCTGTTAAGTCAACCTTATGTAAGAAACCTCTATGCATTCTATTAGATAGGAAGCAGCATTACACTTTAAGCACCACTTCTACGAGGTACCAGCTTACACACAAAGCAACATGGCTAGAAATGATACTAGATCAAATGTCAGAACAAAGGGGAAGGTAGCCACTAAACCTATCATCAAAGCCACGTAGGCTCATCCCTTAGGCAAACTCAAGATTGCATTCCCTAATACCTTTAATGGGTCGCAAGAAGCTGAAGAGTTTCCTCATCTAGAGAGAGCTATAGATGGCGTTTAACGCCAAACACTTCACAAGAAGTAGAACAGATCCTATAGGATTTGGCCCTCTTATAAGGACTAGCCTTAGAATGGATCTCTAATTACCTTGCTAACTACATGACCTATCGAACATCAGAAGGAAAATGCAACACCTAAGCCAGCTAAGAAACGAAGGAGATTTTTGTATCCTAGAGCAGATTCATTAAACAACTTAAGGCAAACTTCAGAGACATCGATGAATGACGGAATGTAGTTAGGGCACTCTAGGCTCTTAAGCAGAGAGGGTTAGCAGTTGCATACACTGCTAAGTTTTAACAGCATGCAACACTCACTAACTAGGGAGATGAGGCTACCTGCGACCAATTCTACACAGGTCTAAAGGACCATGTAAAGGACCAAATCTCAAGGTCTGACAAATCGGATGACCTTAGGATGATTGAATTAGCCTAGAAGATTGACAACCGACACTATAAACAGCAACTTGAGAAGAAGGGGGGACCACCTAGTTAACACTAGACTTAGAAGAGAAGACAAACAAAGAGTCATTAGCCGACACTATAAACAGCAACTTGAGAAGAAGGGGGGACCACCTAGTTAACACTAGACTTAGAAGAGAAGACAAACAAAGAGTCATTAGCCCTAACCTATAGAACTCGATGCTACTTTCAAGCCTAATAGCAACCCTACAACCCTAACAAGGAGCAACAGCTTAAGGTGTTACGATCGCAGCTCACAGCTGCTAGCAACTATGGGAACAGGCAGCTATAGTAGCCACTAAGGTTACAAGGGATCGCTGTAAGGATACAGGGCACCCAGCTCATAGTAAATAGCATATGAGAGTGCAAGTCGGAGGCTAAACGGATGCTATCCTATAGGTCTACTATGAAGGATACAAAAAAGATCATGAGGAACCCCGTTGGGTCAATCCCCTTAAGTACCTGAAAACCATCCGACTCGGTTCCGACTCGGTTAGCCCACCCAAATGATCACACGTAACCCCGCAGCTACCCAGAGTCTACTCCCTAGAATGAGAGACGAGAAGGCATCCTTACAATCGCTAAGTGAACAGCTGTATATTGTAAGGATGCCTCCGCCCTCAGTGACAGAAGGGATCGGAGTCGGACAGGTTACGGTCACGTGGGGAGAGTTAGGGCAGGTTAGCCGAGTCGGACCTGTTGTTTCGGGTACTTAAGGGGATTGACCCAACAGGGTTCCTCATCATCTTTTTTGTATCCTTCGTAGTAGACCTATAGGATAGCATCCGTTTAGCCTCCGACTCGCACTCTCATATGCTATTACTGTAAGCTGGGTGCCCTGTGTCCTTACATTATACAAAAAAGATCACACCTGCCGGGTGTAATGGTGGGTGCACCAGATGTGAGAATCTAGCCACCCAAGGAAGGGATGAATTTACTAAGACAACACACTGTCTTAGGAAAAAGAGCCAAAGGGTCGTAGCTTAGACTATTCCACAACACAGCAATCAGGTGTGTGATGTAGTGAAGTGGTTCAGACAAGTTGCAACAAATGTTGAGTCTGGGAACTCAGGGGTAAGTCAGAGGTTAACACCTCACTGACTTTTCAGAAACAAGGAGTAACAAGATGAATGCTTGGAAGCTTGGAAAAGACGTGGAAGTATGTGATAGTCGATTTACTGTATTGTCTGCTTGCCCTTTCTTAAGGAAAGGGCAATCCTATTTATGCTAAAGGAGTGTAGTTCTCTCATTTTCCAAGACTTTCCATGACTTACCAGGCTTGGTAACTGTAGTCGACGTAAGAGAATCCCATAGAACCATCTCTTAGGTTTGTAGCCTATAGGAAGTAAAAGGAGGTCCAAGGTCAGAGTACCCCTATAGACAAATTATGTCATAGACAAATTATGTCATAGACAAATTATGTCATAACTTAACCAATCTTGTGGGTAACTAAAGAGCGATGACATGTAATGAATTATAGAGGTTCGTAGGAGCTTTTAGAGCTATCGTTCATGCTCCTAGGCCTCTAGTTGGTAGAGATATGTCATGTGGTAGTATGAGTGATGTCATGTAATGAATCATAGAGGGTTGTAGAGATATGCTATGTGGTAATATCGGCCCAGTAACTAAG